GTGATTGTAAACCAGGGACAGGTTCCCATGTAATAATTGAAGAATGATCATCCGTGTACAGACTGACCAATTATGTTCTTTCAGAATCGAAGCTAAGTAGTTTGAAACTTTGTTTCCCACATTTCTTTTGCGTGTCTTTATCCAGTTCTGAAAGTCCCTGTTGTTTAGTGGATCACAGTACTACAAGAGAAGGAGCACTAAACCTTACCATTTGAAAGACGCTGTTTCAAGGGCAAGGATTATTATTATTAATTACTGTCTGCTTTCAAAAGGCTCAGAGTCTGAGAACTGATCAGTATTTTGAGATGTATAGAGGGAAACCTATAGTAGTATTTGGGATATGGAGGACAAGATGACAAACAAGAATAATCAGTCTTTTTAGCTATGTATAATAAATATAACTATTTTCTTTGAAAATAAAGTTCCATATTTAACAAGCACTTTTTATTTCTAAACTCTCACAGCCCGTATCTTAACAGCTTGTACAGATATCTAGTCGCTAGCCCTTGTCTAGAATAGATAAGGAAAATTCAAGATTAATTTGAGGAGTCGTTTTTGCTGACTAGCCAACTGCTTTGGCTATTTGTCACTGTTCAAAAAAGTGTCTTTTGAAGAAGGAAAGATAGAAATATCGCTAGCCAAACAGAGAGGTCAGGCCCAAAGCATAAGCAATATTTTATCCTGGTTGCCAGTCCCATTGTCGGGCAGAGCCTAAGGTCCCGGGGACAATCTCCTGATTGGCTCAGGCTTGCATGTCACCTATATTCGCTCATTGAACAATGATGTAATAGATGGTTTGTGGGCTGGATGAAATCATCCCCTGGGCCGGATGCGGCCCACGGGCCAGCAGTAGAACCACTCTGCCTAATGGAAATCTGCTTTGCCAACATGGAACATATATTTGTAATCACTTTAACACTATAGATCGATGACATTTTGTAAAGTGACTGTTATACTGTTGCATCCCTATGTATTTTGCCTCTAATAGAACTTTACTAAACATTTGTTCTGCTGTTTTTCTGATGATTGTACTCATGTAACTTGTTTCCGTGCTAGAAATGAATACGGTCTGTCATTTCTTTTCTAGTATCCTTTCTCTGTCTTGTACAGTTATATAGGGAAATAATAATGTACAATGGGTGACCTGTGTTATGTTATGATTGATCTGCTGTGAATTTCCTGCATTTGTGTGTTTATTTTAACTGGTTGATGTAGTACAGTATACTAGAAATACCGTGAACTGAGTAACATCCTGTCTTCTTATCATTTCCTTTTGCTTTGTAGCTAATCTATTGGCATTAGAAGCTTGGCATTGGAATTTCCTGGTATTATAAGAGGAATGAGGACGCTTCTGTGTAACTTTTTTCTTTCTAACTTACATTTTCAGGGAATCATGGGTGGTTTAAAATACTTGCAAACCAAATTTGTTTGGGTTAATTACAATTATGTTAATTTACAACAACAACAACTTGGATTTATATAGCACTCTGAGAGTTGTTGTTGTTGTTATGTGGAAAGACAAAGTGTGTGTGTGATCATTAGGTGGCCTTGCAGAATGTTCAAATGAGATGGTCATTGTTAGCTGAGGAATAAAAAGAGGAAAACAGTATCTATGAACCAAACTAGATAGACTTGAAAGTCGTGAAAACTTGTTTGTTCCTGTGTATAAATACAGAGTATAATCTAGCCTAAAGATCTTAGAAGGAGAGAAGGAAGAAAATACCACAAAGAAAACATCTGTAGCGGTATATTCTGTTCTCTGGATTGGTAACTATTTATACCTTTCTGTATCATGCATATTACTATATAAAGGTTGAAAAGTTAATATGAGCTTGATTGTCTTGGGGTCCTAAACCACATAAACTCACAAATTCCCGAGTCAACAATTTAATTTAAAATAAATAAAATTAAAATATAGTGATGATCTTAGTTAACACTTTGGATGAGATGTCAAACCAAGGTCCCAAGAGCATGTTCAGTTAAAGTTCACGTAGCACTATTCAAAAGCAGAAGGGTGGTTCTCCCAATGGAGAAATGATTTGGCCAAAAATCCCCCAGAAAAATTACTCATTCACTTCATGGCTAATTGTGGACATTGCTGTGCAAATTGGCTGCTGCTTTCACTTAAAAAATCACAGTCATTTCATATTACAGTATATGTTGTGAAACACTTTTAAGATGTTGTTGTGATGTATAAGGCATTCTACTGCAAGCAAGGATTATTTATAATTTGAATTTCCTCACCTGTCTATTAGCTCCTTCAACATTGTTGCCTACATTCAGGCTAATGCTTCACAGGTTTTTCTAAATGGATTAGTAAGCATTTCTCTTGTGCAAGAAAAATAAACTAAACCTCTATTCTGATATGGGTTAACCAAGGACAACAGAAGTTAGTGCAGTTTTGCACTATCAATATCAAATTTCATTAGAGAAAGTTCATTTTAAAAGAGGAAAAAAAGGAAGGAGAGTCATTGAATGTTTAATCTGAACAGCTCCTAAAATAACATAACATGTAGGAGCAGGAGTAGGCCATTCAGCCCTTCGAGCCTGCCCCGCCATTCAACCATGGCTGATCTTCTAATCTAACTCCAGCTAATACCATAACCCTGCCTTATCCCCATATCCCTTAATCCATTTTGCAATAAGAAATCTATCTATCTATCTATGAATATGTTCAAGGACTGAGCGTCAACAGCCCTTTGGGGTAGTGAGTTCCATACATTCACCACCCTTTGAGTGAAGAAGTTCTTCCTCAACTCAGTGTGAAAGGGCTGGCCTCTGATTTTAAGGTTGTGACCCCTGGTTTTAGTTTCTCCAACCAGGGGAAACAATCTCCCACTATCTACTCTATCATGCCCTTTGATGATCTTATAGGTTTCTATAAGATCCCCTCTAATTCTTCTATATTCTAGAGAATATAGGCCCAAATTGGTAGCCTATCCTCGTAACTCATCCCCTTCATCTCTGGTACAAACCTGGTAAATCTACGCTGCACCCCCTCCAAGGCAAGTACATCCTTCCTTAAATAAGGAGATCAAAACTGCACACAGTATTCCAGGTGTGGTCTCACCAGGGCCCTATACAGTTGCAGAAGACTTCCATACTCTTATACTCTAATCCTTTTATAATGAATGTTAACATACCGTTCGCCTTCCTAATTGCTGCTGCACCTGCAGACCTTCTGTGATTGGTGTACAAGGACACCCAAGTCCCTCTGGACGCTAACACATTCCAGTCTCTCCCCTTCTAAAAAATAACCCGCTCTACTGTTTTTGCTACCTAGGTGGATGACTTTGCACTTCCCTACATTATACTTCATCTGCCACCTACCTGCCCAATCACCTAACCTATCTATGTCTCGCTGCATTTTTTTGGGTCCTTATCTTTTGGACTAACCTTTTATGTGGCACTTTATCGAATGCCTTCTGGAAGTCCAAATAGACCACATCCACTGATTCACCCTTATCTAATTTACTGGAAATATCCTCAAAAAACTCTATGAGATTTGTCAAACATGACTTCCCTGTTGTAAAGTCATGCTGACTTGGCCTAATTATATTGTGCTTCCCTGAATAGCGCATTACCACATCCTTAACCAACGATTCTAAAATGTTTCCTGTCACTGATGTGAGACTAACTGGCTTATAGTTCCCCATCTTTTCCTTTCCACCTTTTTTAAATAGTGGTGTGACATTTGCGATCTTCCAATCCATGGGGACTGTTCCAGAATCCAAGGAATTTTGGAAGATCAGACATAAGGCCTCCACTATCTCATAAGCTACCTCTTTTAAAACCCTGGGATGCAAGCCATCCGGACCAGGGGATTGATCACTTTTTAGTGCTAACAGTTTCCCTAGCACCTATTCTCTACTGATGAAAATTTCCCTAAGTTGCTCCCTGTCCTTAGCCCCTTGGAGCATCTCTATTGTTGGCAGACTTCTAAGGTGAAGACAGATGCAAAGTACCCATTTAGGGACTCTGCCATGTCCTTATCCCCCATTACAACTTCTCCCGTCTCTGATTGAAGTGGACCTACATTTACCCTCACTAGCCTATTCCTCTTAATGTATTTGTAAAAACTTTTACAATCTGACTTAATGTTCCTAGCTAGCTTACCCTCATACTCCTTTTTCTCGCTCTTAACGAGTTTTTTAGTTTTTTTTTGCTGGTTTCTAAAACTCTCCTAATCTTCAGATTTGCTGCTTTTCTTGGCAGTTTTTTAAGTCTTTTCTTTTAATTTGATGCTTTCCCTAACAGCTCTAGTTAGCCACGGATGAATTGCTTTCCCTGTGGTAGTCTTATTCCGCAAGGGAATATGCGACCGCTGAGAATTTTGCACTACATCCTTAAATATTTGTCACTGTTGGTCTAGATTTTTATCTCTTAATCTTATTCTCTAGGCTATTTTACCTAAATCTTTCCTCAAACCTACAAAATTAACCCTATTTAGCTTCCTGAACACTGGCATTTTCATTTAGGGGATCTATTATTATTATTATTATTATTATCTATTTCTAAATATCTAGTCACAATTGTAATAATAATGAACCTTTATTTGTGCTTTTGAGAAGCTACCCTGTGCGAAGGACCCTATGTAAATGCAAGTTTTTGTTATTGTAGATCTCAATATTAGATTTATTCCAATAATATTAGTCATTGGATCAGTAATGTTCGTTAACTGAAGTTCTCAAAGTTTGTCTAGTTCTGAAAGTTTATTCCACTGTTCCAGCTCTTGAAGGGTTAAGTAAAATATGAATAAATTATCTTGGCCAATCATGGCAGTGATTTATTGTTGGGCATTAAGTTCCTCTGTGCATCTTGCTATTCATAAAAGAGAAAGTACAGTCACACCAGACTTAGAAATCAGTGCTTCCACACTGCTTAGCTACGCTCTTTGAATAGTTTTGATTGTGAAGTAGAAATGGAAAATTTGACAAAAACTTCAGAGGTCAGCAGCAACAGCACAATCAGTTCTGAAGATTTCAATAAGAACTTGATGAAGATTGTTTCGAAGCTTTTTGCTGTCGCCCTTCTGTTTATCATGCTTTCCATGGGCTGCACTACAGATTTGCACAAGCTGTGGGCTCACTTGAAGAGACCTAAGGCTCTCGCTGTGGGCATGGCTTGTCAGCTTGGGGTGATGCCTCTCGTTGCAATAATCCTAGGACTTTCTTTTAGTCTGAACCCAACTTCAGCAATCGCTGTTCTGGTTATGGGTTCTAGCCCTGGAGGAATTGTTTCAAACCTGATAAGCTACTGGACGGATGGAGATATGGATCTCAGGTGAGTGCTTATAGTTTGACTTCTCTCTTTCTCTCGTGGGTGCCTCCCAATTTGCAAGCCTATTTAAATCCTCTTTTTCTTTGCCAATGACTGGATTGATGTTCCCAGCAGATGACAAGTTTCAGAGATTTCAATAATGGGGCAATGTCAGTTGTAGTGTCTGACAGAACAATTGCCCAGGATCTTTTGTCCAGTATCTTTGTGGTGATGCCATCCAGTGCCCAACAACGTCATCTAATATCCTGCTTCTGTAAAAATCGATCAAAACCTTTTGGAGCATTTTCAGAGTTAAGAAAATTACCAAATGACCTACTACTGACTATCCTCTTTGCAGGAAGCTAAGCAGGCTCTCTTTGGAGCTGAATTGGCTCCAAGATGATACTTAACAACGTAATGTCGGAACTGAGCCAGCCCTCTGGTGGTTTCTAAGCAAGAGGGGTCTTCAGTACTCCTGGGCACAGCTGATGAGAAACTAGCTAGTTTGGCTCATTGGCAGGACTTGGAGGGGCAGAATGGTCTCTGGGGTTCAAGAATTCAAGTGCTCCGAGATGCTACCCTGCATGAAGGGTGCTATATTTAATGCAAGTTGTTCCACTCAGCTTCTGTTCCGTAAAGCTTGTGGCAAGCTTTACAACATCAACCACAAAAATTAGTTGTATAATGCCTTTCACGTCGGGAGGCCATCTCAAGGTGCTGGACGGTCAGAGTTTCGGACCCGAGCTGGGTTTCGAGATTGGGGAGGGTGGAGGGCAAGGGGTGGAAGGAGGGTGATCGAAAGCACGGTCGAAGAGGAGGGTCTTGAGATGGGTCTAGAAGGAGGCAAGGGAGGGTCGAGGTGGAGGGTCTGTGGAATGGAGTTCCAGAGGTTAGACTCTATTAGTACTCCAAACACATATCCACCAAGCATTGGCTCCTGCCAAACTGCTCTTGCCAGATCCTTAGCAACATAATACAGGGACAGCTGACATCAGACTAATCATTGACGGATGATCTGCCAAAATGGAAATCAATGCAAAATAAATTTGTTCACAACTCTGACTACTTGAGTAGATTAATATATCACTATCACATGTATCACCAGTTTGACTCAGTTTAACGCACTCTTGCCTTTTAGTTACAATGTGTGGGTTCGAATGCCTGGAATGCCAAGCTTAATTGTTTTGCTTCTACTTGCTGTTGAGAAAATGAATTGTACTTGACAGGTTGAAAGTGCTGAAAATGGAACTCACTATTTTTCCTTATTGTTCTTCTCTCCACACTCCCATCACTCCAATCCTTGCCAGGCTCCACTGGCTCCCTATTGTAGAACAGATTGTGTAGAACATAAGGCATTATGTTAAACCAAGAAGCTAATGTTAGTGAGCAATTTAGAGAAATTAACATCAGTAAAGAATTAGTACTAGGGAAACTGTTGGGATTGAAAAATGATAAATCCCCTGGACCTAATGGTCTGCATCCTAGGGTTTTAAAAGAGGTGGCTGCTGAGATAGTGGAAGCCTTGTTTTTGATCTTCTGGAACGGTTCCCATTGATTGGAAGATCACAAATGTAACACCACTATTTAAGAAGAGTGTGAGAGAGAAGATGGGGAACTATAGACTAGTCAGTCTGACGTCGGTGGTAGGGAAAATTCTAGAATCCTTAATTAGGGACATCGTCGTGGAGTACTTAGAAGACCATAATGATTAGGCAGAGTCAACATGGCTTTACAAAAGGGAAATCATGCTTAACAAATCATTTAGAGTTCTTTGAGGGTGTAACTAGCAGGTTAGACGGGGGGAACCAGTAGGTGCAGTGTAATTAGATTTTCAGAAGACATTTGACAAGGCGCCACATAAAAGGCTGCTACACAAGATTACGACCCATGAAATTAAAGGCAATATATTAGTATGGATCGAAGAGTGGCTAACGGGAAGAAAACAGAGGGTAGGGATAAAAGGGTCTTCTCAGATTGGCAAGATGTGGCTAGTGAGTGCCACAAGGATCAGTGCTTGGCCTCAACTATTTACAATCTATATCAATGAGCTAGATGAGGATATAGAACTTAAAATATCTAAAGTTGTGGATGATACTAAGCTAGATGGGAGATTAAGCTCTGAGGATGACACAAAAAGATTGCAAAGGGATATAGATAGGCTAGGTGAATGGGCAAGCAGGTGGCAGATGGAATATAACATGGGGACATGTGAAGTTATTCACCTAGGTAGTAAAAACAGAAAAGCAGATTATTTTCTAGAGGGGGAGAGACTAGATAGTGTTAGTGTTCAGAGGAATTTGGGTGTCCTTGTACACCAGTCACAAAAAGTTAGTATGCAGGTACAGCAAGCAACTAGGAAAGTTAATGGTATGTTGACGTTTATTGCTAAAGGTTTAGAATGCAAGAATAGGGAAGTCTTGCTGCAACTATATAGGGCCTTGGTGAGATTGCACCTCGAATATTGTGTGCAGTTTTGGTCTCCTTATTTAAGAAAGGACATACTGGCCTTAGAGGGGGTGCAGTGTAGATTCACTAGGTTAGCTCGTGGAATAAGAGGGTTGACCTATGAGGATAGGTTGAGTAAACTAGGCCTATATTCTCTAGGATATAGAAGAATTAGGGGTAATCTTATAGAAACATATAAGATTCTTATGGGGCTTGACAGAGTAGGCAGTGTGAGACTGTTTCCCCTGGTAGGAGAATCTAGCCCCTGGTAGGGGTCACAGTCTTAAGATTAAGGGTCAGCCTTTTCAAACTGAGTTGAGGAAACACTTCTTCACTCAGAGGGTAGTAAATTTATGGAATTCTCTACCCCAGAAGGCTGTAGATGCTCAGTCCTTGAACATATTCAAGACTGAGATTGATAGATTTCTAAAGGATAGAGAGATTAAGGGATATGGGGATAAGGCGGGCAGATGGAGTTAGGTTAGAAGATCAGCCATGATCTTATTGAATAGTGGGGCAGGCTTGAGGGACCGATAGGCCTACTCCTGCTCCTAACTCGTATGTTCCTATGTTCCATCATGGAGCTGCTTGTGGTGTGTGAGTAGCTGCAGCAGCATTTTGTCCGGAATTACTGAATTTTTGTTCTAATTAACAAGCATATTTAAAATGGATAAGAATACAAATGAATCAGGGCTGCGTATTTTGTCTGATTGTCTGGAGGTTAACCAGCGTCCAGTTAAAGCGGCTTCCATTGTTACACACCTTCATATAAAAATTCACTCTTCGATTTTACCTCCAGGCTATTTATGAATGACTAGATGTTTTTAAAGGATATTACCAAATTTCAGTTTCAGTTCTAGTCTGAAAGAAAATCACATGATCAGCTTGTAAGAGATCAAATGCTATCCTAGTAAATCATTAACATATAATTCAGAGACAATCCAGATGTACATATTATCATTCTTTGTTTTGCCTATTATCTTAATGTTGTGCTTCAGATAGCTTGCTCAAAACCAAACTGTTTGACTCACTTTGGTTTTTATTTTACAGTCTTTGTTTTTCCAGTATTTCTTCAATTACCAGTGACTGATGCAAATTATGTTGTCTTTGAACTTTGTATGTTTGGCTCAGATAATACAAATCTGAGGAACCTTGTTGTCTATACTGTCTGGACAGTAAAACTCTATCAACTGGGACCATAACAGTTAATACGATTTACATGAAGTTGGAGTTGCAATTTATACAAACTATAAATTGTATAAAATCTGATTTAATCAATAATCTACGCAGCACATGCATAATTCAATGCAGCCAGTAAGTGTACATGTTGTGTGCATGTTCTTCATTGCAGCCATTAAGTGCTCAAGGAGTAATGGATCAAGACTACATTTTCTGAGATTCAATGTGTCTTGATCCATCAGAACTTACTGGAAAGCGTTGAAATCACATTGAATCCCGAGAAACATTGTTTACACTTAAATAGTTAATTATAACTGCTCACATAGATAGCAGTATGTACTTCGCCATACAAGGCATCAGGCAGCTGAAATGTCTAGTAAGAGCAGGGTCAAGTTTTTCAATAGTTACCCGACTGAAATGCCTTTCTCAGAGCAAGAATGGCTTCTCTCCGCACTGTGGTCATGAGGGCCAAGATCAACAACAATTTGCATTTATATATTGCCCTTCATGTAGGACAGTGTCTTGGAGCATTGCATAGTGGCAGGGTTGGATGCCAAGCAAGGGAAAAGGGGCAGAGGAAGATGACCATAGCCATGGTTGAAGAGGTAGGTTTTCAAATATAAAAATAAGCCTTAAGTAATTAAGTCAGTAAGGTCTGAACCGTATGGTTCAGTTGAGATATTGAAACAGTAAAACAAAAATTTGAAGGCATTTTCTCTACCTTATTACTCATAGTCAAACATCCCAGTGATAGCCTCTAGCCTCTAAAACAAGCAATAAGATCATATGTCTGTCAGAGAATGATTTTGTCCTCTGATGGGTGAAACTAAAATTGAGTTTTTAAAATTTGTGATTTAAAGAGCGTGCATTCTGCAATCAATCAATGATAGGAAATGCTTCCTTTTAAAACACCTCAAGCTGCAGCTCTGTTTTTATCATATAATACAATATCCCTCCAAACATCTAGCTCTCTCCTTTTCTGAACATGCTTCTCTCCATCTCTTAACTGACTGTGCTTATTACAAAATGTAGAGTGGCATCTTTAAAACACATGGAATTGATGGGCGTAATCACAATAGATGTGTAGCTAGCTGAGCACATCAGTTTAGCCCACTACCCATCCCATGATTTCATAAGAGACATTATTTGATAACAATGCTGTACTATATCTCTTCATCTTATCCAGGCTACACTTTCAAACTCCTGCCTCACCAGACTCCCCCTATGCAAGCTGCAGACACAAAGAACTCTGGATCTTGTGTCCTCTCCCACACCAGGCTCAGTGAATCCTCACTTGGCTCCAAAGACTCCCAACTCCCAGCGGATTAAATTCAACAACAACAACAACAATGACAAAATTACATTTATAGAGCACCTTTCAAATCGGGAGGACATCCCAAGGTGCTGGACAGTCAGGTGTCAGGACCCGAGCATGGGGGAGGAGTAGGGTAGGGGTGAGGGAAGGCAGGGAGGTGGGAGGGCGACTGAAGACATGATCGAAGAGGAGAGTCTTGAGACCGGCCTTGAAGGAGGCAAGGGAGGAAGCGAGGCAAAGGGACTGTGGAATGGAGTTCCAGAGTGTGGGGGCAGAGCGGCTGAAAGCTCGGCCACCGATGGTAGAGTGGGTCGGGCGGGAGACATGGAGCTGGCCGGAGCCTGATGAACAGAGGGAGCGGGCGGGTGGGTAGGGAGTCAGCAGGTCAGAGAGGTAGGAAGGGGCAAGGCCATGGATGGCCTTGAAAGTGAGGAAGAGGATCTTGAATTTGATCCTCTGCGGGTTCAAGATCCTTGTCCTAGCATTCAAATCCCTCCTACAAGTTTCTGCCCAACATTTTTTAATAAAGTATGCTAACAAGGATTTCCATTCCACTTGAGTAGTGAGTCACAGTGCAAAAAACACATTCAATGACCCTCTTATGCTGTTCATTTTCCCACAGTTTTTCTCTTTGTCAAACTAATACATCACTGTACAAAATGGTGACTTGCTCCTCTTGATCAAAGCAAATTAACACCATTTGCAACAAGGGGTGCGGAGGTTAAAGACATGTCTTCAAATTATCTCCATGTGAATCAGCTGGCATATACAATAACAAGTATGTAGGGTCTCAGATAACAAAAACTTTGCATGCTCTGTAGCAATAAGGCTCAACATGCAAGGATTTGATTTTGAATTCGAGTTGCTAAAAATGCAGAAGATTAAGAGAAATAAGTCTGAGAGTCACAGATTGTCCTTGAGTTAAACTCTTCATCTGCAAAGCACACCTCTGGTTACAAATGATTTTTATTAACATGCAGTCATTTCTTAGCCTGTTTGGTGTCCTCTGCCCTATCATGCTGCACCATCAGTGAGCAGGCTTTCAGCCATTCTGCCACCATTCTCTGGAACTCCATCCCAGAGTCTTTCCGACTCACTCCATCCATCCTCACTTTTAAAGTCGACCTCAATATTATCTCTTTGATAGTGCCATCAGTCACCTTTCCCCCCTCCACTAACCTCTCCAGCTCCACTTCACCCACAGTTTGGGTGACCAGCCAGTTTTGTAAAGTGCTTTGAAACATCTCCTAATGTCAAAAGTGCTGCATAAATGTATATTGAATTGTACTACTTTTCAGCATTATTATGACTGTGTCTTCAACTATCCTGGTCGTGGGCCTCATACCCTTGTATCTTTATCTCTACTGTATCTCGACAAATATAACCAACATCTCAACGCCTGAATCTAATGTCTCCACATACCCAGCCAGCGTCATGGTCATCTCGACCAAAGAGGGTAACATTCGAATTCCTTTTGAACAAATAGGTGAGGAAATTTTTACTTGTGTTTTTTTCGGTGCCTTGGGACGTCCTCCCGTCGTGATACAAATGTAATCTTGTTGTTGTTATTGTTGTTTCTCTGTGGAATTTTAACAGAATTCGGGAACGTGCTTAAAAATATATATTTTGTGTATAAAAGAAGGCCTCGAGAGACAGATGTCACACAAATCAATGCTATTGGTTGCTAATGTAGAAGGATGGAGGAATATTGTCTTTGGATACTAATGAGCAATAGCTTTTACAGATATCCATGCTTGAAAGATAACAGATTCAACTGGGTAACTTCATTGGATTCACTTTGCAACTAAAACTTGGATTATACCTGGGTTTCAGGATAGGGAGGCAGAACACTGAAATTTAACAGCCTGGAGTGAGTTACATTTCCTTAGGTGTCAGCCAGTGTCTTGCAGAACCAATAAGGGTTACGATCAAATGTGGATCTGAATTAGCACTGACATGAATCCAAATTACACCAGCTAGGGGCTTTCAGCACTGATACATGAATCTGAGTTTATAAACAATATTGAGAATAGTCAAGCCTTCAAAAAGGTTAGGTTTATGTTGGGTCAATCTGTACGGTATAAACAAAATAATATTGTGTCACATTAGATTCTCCAGTACAATAAAGTCATTTTAAAAAATAAACAATTTCAACTGTAACATTAGATTCCCCAGTAAAACATAAATCATTTAAAAAAATAAACAATTTCAACTATAAATGACATTCTTGCTGTTTGAAAATGTATGTCTTTTGGAAAAAGTCTAAAGCACATCCGTAGGGATGTTTCAAGTGCTGGCAAGTCTTTAATGATGATAATAATCAAATGTTGTCAATGGGATAAGTATGACTGACTGTAGATGTCATGATTTTAGTGGCTTGCTTCATACTATTTATTGCTCTCAGTAGCTGCTTTGTTGTTCAAGCAGACAACCTCTTCCAGCTGCAGCCATGAATGGCACCTCTTAAACTTACATGCTGAGAAAGAGTTATATAGAACATAGCAGCACGGAAACACGTCACTCAGCCCAAACAATCCATGCTGGTGTTTAGACAACTACAAAATAGTACACTTGTATAGTGCCTTTTACAATAGAAGGACGTCCCAAGGCGCTGTTAAGGGTTTGCTTCAGGTTGGAATCAAGAGGGGTGGAGGGTAGGGGTGGGTGGGAGGATGGCCAAAGGCATGGTTAAAAAGGAAGGGCTTTGAGATGGGCCTTGAAGGAGACAAGGGAGGGGGTCAGGTGGAGGGATTCCGGGATGCAGTTCCAGAGGATGGGGGCAGAAAAGATGACGATCTGACAGTCAATGATGGGCCGGGCGGGGCGGGGGACATGAAGCAGGCCAGTGCGGACAATGTTGCTGAGATGGAGGAAAACAGAATGGGTTATGTATCCGGGGTTTAAAGGACAGTTGAGGGTTGAACTAGACACCAAGGTTCTGCACTGGGAATACTCCATTCTGTACCTTAAACTCCCTATAGAGTCTCCACTCTGGTGGGATTGAAAGGTTGAACCCAACAGAGTTTCAAAAATCAGTTTTGCTGAATTTGGTCAAACAAAGTAGCTAATATTACACTGACTAATATGAATATTACCGACATGTTCCAGGGTCTATGGATATGGATGAATGAAACAATTAATTGTGTTTCAGTGAAGTCAGTAACTGATATTGCGCTCCAAAAAACACTGCACTTTAATGTGACGTCCTTCTGACGTGAAAGGTGCTATACCAAATACAAGATTATTATTACAATATGGAATGATACTTTTCTTTTCTAAACCAGGTATTGGATTGGTTACTTTGATTATTCCAATAGCATTTGGAATTTTATTCAAAAGGAAGTGGCCAAAACAAGCTAAAATCTTTCTCAAGGTAAGTGTGTTCTTTTTCTTCCATTTGTGCAAACTTCAGTACGACACACTGGATAACTCAGGATAAATTCATGTTGCCTTCTTACTCCCTGAATGTAAACATAAACATTAATTGAACAAACTACCAACATAGGCAGTAGAGCAAGAAAAGGTATAGTTTGAAAAAGGAACCAAACCTTCAAGTAGGAGGGTTCAGAGTTGTTAGATTTAGATATAACTAGCTGTATCCATTGCAGCTAATTTTGCAATCAAAGGATCCAATATAGAATGTAGATGCGCACAGCAATGTCCCATAAACAGCCATGGAGTGACCATTTTATTTGGGGGATTGTTGGTCAGGATACAGGAAAAAACTCCCTTCTCCTTTCAAATTGTGCCATGGGAACTTTATTATCCACCTGAATAGGTAGTTGGGACCTTGGTTTAACATCTCATCCGAGGCGTATCATTGAACGAGGCGATAGGGCATTATATTAAATGCAGGGATTATTACTTTTATAAATTGAGCCAGTTGATATCAACATATATCAACAGTTGATATCAACAATCAGTCCTTTGTGACGTAGGAAACCTAGGCAGAATGACAAACAGGGAAATGTTGCTGTGAAGGAACGGCAACAATTTCCAAATGTGCACTGTATTTTGCCTCTGTTTTCATGGAAATGTGAGGTAGTGGGAATATAAAGGTACAATAAGAGGTTGCAGAGCAATTAGAAACAATAGCTTTAAATGATAACAATTTATATATTTACACTTATACAGTGCTTTTTATGTTGGGAGGACGTCTTGAAATGGCTGACTTTACACAGCTGACTGGGCACCGAGCTGGTGCAGGGTGGGAGAAAAGTGACAAAGTGTGGGTGAAAACATAGGTCAAGGTAACCTTAAATAGTGGAAAGAAAAGGGGCAAAGCAGAGGGACTCCAGGATGGAGTTCCAGAGAATGGTGGCAGAAAAGCTGAAAGTTCATTACCGACAGTGAGGTGGATCGGGTGGAGATATGAAGCTGGCAAATGTTAGCTGAGTGGAGTACTTTACAATGGTAGGGAACATAGAAACATAGAGCACAGATGAAAGCCATTTGAACTTTTGTATCTATAGATACAAAATTGTATTGTATAGATGATGTAGTATAATTCCAAAACATTTCCATCTGAAACAATCTACCAAATGAACAACTTCTGCTAAAGCACAAAAATCTAAGTTTATGTCTTCAGCATTAATGTAGCCTGGCACATTTATAAACCTGATTTCTCCTGAAACCTGTTTTCTTTTTTTTTTACACATTACAACCGTGATCAAATTCATATTCTGACCACACTTGAATAACCAACTGCGTTTTTCCACAGATGGGTTCTGCTGTGAGTGCAGGACTATTAATTATTCTAACACTGATTACCTCAGTGCTTCATAAAGGCCAGTGGGGTACGGATTTGTCACTATTGGTTATAGGTATTATCAACCCATTTATTGGGTACTTGGCTGGATTCACCGTGGCTGTCATCTTACGCTTGTCATGGCAAAGGTAATGTTCACATCATATTCCTTTCATGACATTCATTCTGCTTGCACTCCCTGTTTCATATTGGATCATAAAACTCACTCTATTCTCATTAAACACTGTACTGCACATGTCTGCTTTGCAGATGATTGTGATTCTTTGAGACAATGATTTCACTAATTATGACACAAAGGTATACATTATGTGATTTTTTTTACACATATGGAAGGTCTCAAATTCTATCCTGGTCTGTGCTGTTATTAGCTAATGTTAGAATTGGCCTGTTTGCCCCTGAGCTGGGATGGGCAAACCCCATCTAATCCCTTGGTATAAACACAGATGTTGCTGGGAACACGCAGCAGGTCAGGCAGCATCTATGGAGAGGAAAATGAGTTAACGTTTCAGGTCAATGACCTTTCGTCAGAAGAATCTTATGGTACTGTATCAAGGTTCTTGATCACTTCCTAATGATCTCTGCATGTCAGAATGGCCACAGAAATGGGCTTGGCTGTTACCCATTACCCTCCCTTATTCAAGTCAGCCAGCTGAAACAGGATACTCCCACAGTCTAGGTTCGACCCCCAATTATCCTTCCTCCCCCACATCCAGTCCCTCACCAGCACCTCTTTCACAAGTTGTTCTTGATCCTATTTAAACTTTAAATATCTTTAATGTGCTCTTTATTTTAATTTTACGTTTTGTTAACAAAATATACAGTCAATTCACTTTACAGTATATTCTGTGATGCGCTTTGACATATCTCGAAGATGTGATAAGGTGCTACATCAAATGCAAGGATTATTATGATTATTTAACCAACACAGGTAGACAGTTCATTTACTATCTGATCCTTTTGGTTCATTGCTCCTTCATTCATGTTCGAAAGTACTTTGTGTAGTATTCGACTTCAAGATCCTCACTCTTGTCTTCAAATCCTCCACTCCTCTGCAGCCCCCTAACCTCTCTGACTTCCTCTCTCCTCACAACAGTGCCCGTTGCCTTTGCTCCACTGGGTCTGGCCTCCTCCTTGTCCCCCTGAATCCTCCGCTCCACCATCGTTGGCTGTGCCTTCAGCCAATACTCCCTGAGGCTCTGGAACTCCCTTCCTCACTCCCTTCGCCTCATCCCCTCTCTTCCTATTTTCAGGTCTCGGCTGAAGACCTTTCTTTTTGACCGCGCCTTTGGTCACCTTCCCCCCTCCCCCTGGCTTGGCCCCGGGATCCATTATTGTAAAGCGCTCTGAGACGCCGTCCGGTGTGGAGGGCGCAATATAAATCCAAGTCATTGTTGTTGTCTAATGAATTCCCGACATTTACTCTATATTGCTCACAGAGGCAGAACAGGCATTTGGATGGTTGTACAAGGTTTTATTCTACTCCAGCATGAGTCAGTGTTTGAAGCAGAGTAGAAAATTGAAGGGGAAAATAGATGATTTAAAAAGGAGCAATATAATGAAATGATAGCTCTGTTATATATAAAAAATAGTCTATGTGCTAACTAATATACTGTAACAGAGGAATATCATTATTCTATTTAATAGTAATTCATAGTATCTTTTCTTTTTCAGATGTCGAACTATAGCAATAGAAACAGGAACACAAAATGGATATCTATGCGCAACCATTCTTCTAATATCTTTTGAAGACCATCTGGAATTACAACGCTCCTTGGCCGCATACCCGTTAATTTACATTTGTTGTCAAATCTTCTATGGATTTCTGATTGCAGCAGGTAGGTGCACACAGAATAAAAGGTAGGATTAGAGTATCATAGTCATTATAGGAAAGGTATTACAGAGAAGTAGAGGTTACAGCATAGATTCAGTGAGATGATAAGAGGGATGAGGTAATAAAAGTATGAAGAGACTGGCTAAAATTTATCTTTTCCAACTGGAGCAAAGAGATTGAGATGGGATGTGATAGAGATTTTTAATTCTGAAGGGACAAGACATGGTCAATATTAAAAAAAATTATGATAATCCTTACATTTGATATAGAACCTTTCATATCTGGAGGATGCCTCAAAGCGCTTCACAAGGTATACTGTAAAGTGCAGTGACTGTATATATTTTTAAGCAAACATAGCAGCCAATTTATACAATTTGCCCAATATTGTTTTTTAAGGGGAAAGAGTCAAATTCAAATTAAAAATGGAAATACAAATGGGAGAATAAGAAAGAATAATTGGAATAATAAGCAGGATTAAAGCTTTTATTTTTATTTTCAATTAAAATTATGTTTAAAGTGTTTGATTTACTTCTGTTTAATTCACAGTTTTGAAAAAGTGTGATTTAGGGAAACAGATAGAATTGCCCAGATCCGATGGGCTAATAACCCCCTGAAAATTTGTTTAAATGTTTAAATCTGAATGTATCATTCCTTTTATTTGGCCCATGTTTGCTTATAATAATGCTGCTATTACAAGATGATTAGATCAATTATTTGCCTATAATTGTAGGGCATCACAGCAGAACCCAATTGCGTTCACAAACATACACTGTTAACTGGATAGCATACAAGAGCAAAAACCTTGGCTGATTTCCCTGAGTTCAGGCAAGATGCAATTAAACTAATCCTAGTATTCTGGCTGAGATCAGCCCGTTCAACACAAAGAAGGAATGAAACTTGTGACTTTTTGACAGTGCCACAAAAAATTGTTTGTTTAACAATAGAGGATCTTTGGCTTCTTTTTAAAGCAAATTACCTCACTTAGTCCCAAAATTACTGTGTTGACAAGTTTCTTTGACATCGTTTGGAAATATGTTGAAACTTGTATATATTCAATGTTCTCAAGCTGTAAAAATAACACATGTTTATAGCTTTAAAACATACAGTTGTTAGTGATGATAAATAAAATGTAACATATGCTCTGTATTCCATTTTGTTTTACTGACATGTAGCCTATCAGCTGTACCAAAGACAGAACAGCAACCATTTCCAGATATCAGCATTATTTACAAAGGGCAAGAAAAAGATGAACGTCTCAAGTGGTGAAAACAGCGAAAAGCTGAGCCAGCCTAACCAAGCTACCACAGAAATGCTTGAGCCAGTCTTACATCAACGTTTAGTTGATTCTACAGAAGAAACAGACTTTAATTCTCAGCCATTTATCTCAAATTGAATCGTGCACTTCTGACGGCATCTTGCAGAAGTTGGAATACAGGAAATATATAGGAGTGGAAAGGACTCAAAGTAGTCCCAAAGTAAAATCATCATACCCCAACGTGTCTCTCAAACTACCCGATTGATTTCTTCACCAAATAGTTATTTACTCTTCACTTGAATTCAATTTGGCTGTCGTGTTCGTCTTTTCCATATATTTTCATTTATTGTATAAAGTAGTAAATTCTCAGCTGTCGGTTTTCTCTCCTCTAAATTTGTTTCTGTCCTCACTTATTTTAGTATTTGTGATTATGTTAAACAAATTATTAGTTTATGTACACTCTATAGGATCTTGAATATTTCAATAGGATACTGTAGTTCTCTTTCTAATTCAGGTGTCTATTTTCAGGTATCAGTTTTGCTCCTTTTCGAAAGAGATAGATTGTCTTTTTACTCTTCTTCCCGTTTTCCTTTTCTCTCCCATTTGTATTATTTTTATTATATTTGTTACAAAATACTTTGTTAATTGTCACTAATTTACCATTATATTATATTGGTTACTTACTTTACAGGCCAGTGTATCAATTACTGGGAAACATAAGATTCCAACATCAGTTCTGATTTAAAAAAAAGGCTCTTCAGCCACTTTCCAACCCCACTTTCCAACCCCACTTTCCAACCACACCTCCTTCCCATGACAACACCAAACCATTTGGTAAACAAATACAGCATTTGGACTTAAGTACCATTTACTGTTTATCAGAAAAAATGGGTGAGGCCTGGACACAGTTCCTAAACACTGGGATGATGGGTATTGTGGCAGTTTGTTCTGACTGTCTGATTGTGTAGACTCTTGCGCCATATTAGTATTAGTTCTCATTTCTGTGCTGATTTTTTTAATATGAATGCTTCATCATTTGACTGGCTCTGATGTTGAATCATAACTTCCAAAGCTAAAGTAAATGAAATAAAATGTAATAGCTTGTTGTATTGTTGTACTCTGAAGACGGGTATCAGAAAGTGCTGGAGATCAGGTCATTGAAATAAAACCAATTAAAAACCAGTGCTGAGATTATATGATTGTGTTCAGACTGCAACACAGATAGGGTTGAAGTCATCAGTCAGTGAATTGGCTGACATGATGTAAAAAATGAGATGTCAAAATAAAAAGCTGAACAGCGGGTATAAAATATTCTTAGCATTCTTGTTTTAAAACTCATGTTTATCCACTTTAATAATAATCCTTGCATTTGATGCTGCTCCTTATCATGTTGATAAGGTGTTACACAGGTGTTAAATATGTATCCGCTTTAAAACTGTCTGCCTTATTTGTTTTATTCAAAATAAAATATTAAAAGCGACACGTGAGAGAACAGAGGGATGTTCTTTCTTTTACACAGTATTCATCTGTTAGCACCTTATAAACTGGTTGTAGAGTAATTACAAGGTGACTGCAAGGTTTCAGGGTACGGCAATGCAATCTTCTAATCGGTAGGATAGTCTTTGCTGGATAAGCAGCAGAAAGCTTCCCAGACAGTGTACACAATGACAAGCTGTATTGTTTTAGCTGGTTGAACTCCAGCAGTACACCAGTGCACAATCTTAGGTCCTGAAGCTTTGGCTCTTGCCAACGTAGACTCTAATACTTCTTGGGTTTAGGCAAGCAGGGTATGTCTTCAATTCCAAACAACCTGGTGCTTCCATTCATATATGATCAAAGACATTTCTACATTCTACAAAACTTCATTCCTACTCATAGGCTGTGGGTGGCTTGAAGAGGCTCAACCCCCCACCCCCCACCCACACACAAACAAATCTTCAGCTCAACTCTTTAAGGGGAGGTGAGTTTTGAGGAAAGATTCACAAGATCACAAGATTGATTTTATTTAATCACTGCCTGTTAATAAATTCACTGTGGTATCCTTGACCTTGGTGTTTAGCTCATTTCCTGATTCAAAAATAGGGAGTGAAACTGAAACTTGAGCATGACAAAGAATGCTTTGTCAAAATTATGCTAAAAGTGATGTTCTACCCCAAAATCAATAATATCCCTTGCTTTGCAGTCAAGGCAATTGATATAATGGATTCAGAAGAAAACAGCTCTTCATTTTGAGCACTATACTGGAAAAATAAGTAAACATTTATGCAATTAGTTGATGCATTACTCCTTCTGTACTGTAAGATTCTATGATTATATGTGCCTTTAAAGAAAGGAGAGAGGGAGGGAGGTGGGGGCCTTCTTGGATGGAATCCCAGAGAAGGGGAGGCGGGATTGCTAAAAATTGCTGCTGTGACCTCCGATGGTGGGGATTGATGTTTCACTATGTGATGCTAAACATCTGTTTTATATTATCAAACAGTGCTTCAAAAATGACAACAATCCACTCTGTGTGGGTATGAATCTGGACATGGGATATGATGAATAGGGGAAAAATATTGTCCATTTTGTGATTTCAGATGGGTTCAATTACACAATTTTGACAACTACATGTCATCCATCTGTTCTTTCCATTCCGAAGTTTGCAAGGAGTTAGCTAACTTGTTGAGCAACGTTGCTCAGACATTCATGGGCTCAAAGCTTTTTTTTGTCAGCCTAGTGTCTAACACATAGGAAAACCCATCACCATGCTTAAGAATATCCAAACCAAGCTGAAATTTCCAAGCGTCGCCCCCTACACATGGAGTCCTGTAGCTCAGTGGTTTAGAGCACTCACCTTGCAAGTGAGAGACCTGGGTTTGATTCCCGGCAGGGTGAAACCTTGGGCAAGTTTCCTTTCTCCACACGCCTGATAATAATCCCTTAAGAAAAAAACAATAATAATTTGGTCACTCATCCACAACTGTTTGTGGGCCACTGCTGGCTTCCATATTTCGCCCACAAAATATACAGTCAATTCACTTTACAGTATATTCTGTGAAGCGCTTTGAGATTTCTAGAAGATGTGAAAAGAACTATATCAAATGCAAGGTTTATTATTATTATTAAATCCTAGAGATAGATTGTTGGAATAGAATGCACACACTCTCGCTGGAGGGATGCATCCTGCTTACTTAATTCCAGAAAGTATTAGGTGGAGCTTGACAAGAGCCAAGGTTTGGGGATCCCAGAGTGTGTGTTGGGGTACTGCTGGAGACTAACCAACTAAAACTGCATAGCTTGCCATTGATATTGCCATCTGGCAAGTTTTCCCACTGCTAGTCCAGCTAGGACCATCCTACCCACTAGGGTTTTGGCTTGCAGGGTTAACACGTGCTCTGGGACACTACCTCATGTGAAAGGAGCTATATAAATGCAAGCTGTTGTTGTTGATTGAGATGACTCCCTGCCCTCAGTGACTGGTCTGCCGTTCCAGGACGTGCCGATGAGCCAGGCTGACTGTGCTGTCATCAGCAGTGCCCTGGAATACTGCCGACCTGCCTGTCTCTGGAACAGAACAACCAAGACCATCACAGAGGGCTGGCTTGATTCCATTGCCAGAGGATAGTCACTCTCAAAGCTTCAAGTGCTAAAATCTGTACAGAACATTGGCACTCATCCAGGCCTTGATGTCAAACCACAGGATAGAGGTTTAAGAATAACCTGCTTGAAGTGGCAGGATGTTGTGTTCCTCACCTTTTGGATGCAGTGGTGATTAATTGCAATTCTAAAGCTTGAAAAGAAGCTGGATAAATGTTAGGGTGGGGAGAGTACTGGAGGATATGAGGATGTGTGTAGACCGAGAGTGGGCAAATACTGCATGGGAGCTGATCATTTCTGTGCAGGGTGGGAGTGTGTGGATGTGTGGAGGTCAATGACAGACGGTGGAGCAATCACTGGACTAGTCACTGACAGACAGCAACAACAACAACAAGATTCCATTTATAAAGCGCCTTTCACGTCAGGAGGACGTCCCAAGGCGCTGCACAGTACGGTCAGGACCCGAGCAGGGGGAAATGGTCAGGGTGAGGGGAAGGAAGGGAGGGAGCGAGGAGGGGGGAAATGGTCAGGGTGAGGGGAAGGAAGGGAGGGAGCGAGGAGGGGGGAAATGGTCAGGGTGAGGAAAGGGAAGGGAGGGAGCGAGGAGGGGGAAGAAAGTCGAGAGGGGAGCTGAAGGCACGGTCAAAGAGAAAGGTTTTGAGACCGACCTTGAAGGAGGAAAGGGAGGAGGCGGCGAAGGCACTGGGGTATGGAATTCCAGAGCCTAGGGGCTGAGCGGCTGAAAGCCCGACCACCGATGGCAGGGCGATTGGGGCGGGGGACGTGGAGCAGACCGGAGCCAGAGGAACGGAGGGTACGGGCAGGTAGGTAGGGGGATAGTAGGTTGGAGAGGTAGGAGGGAGCAAGGATGTGAATGGCCTTGTAGGTGAGGATGAGGATCTTGAATTCGATCCTCTGGGGGATGGGGAGCCAGTGGAGGCGAGCGAGGGTGGGTGTGATGTGGTCCCGAAGCCTGGTGCAGGAAAGTACGGTGAGAAAGGTACGACCTAAACCATTCAAGGACAGTGCCTTGGAGGTTGAGGTGGGAGGACAAGCGGTGGAGTAGGATAGCGTGGTCGACCGTATCGAATGCTGCCGATAGGTCGAGGAGGACGAGGAGACAGAGGGAGCCCTGGTCACAGATGGTCAGGATATCATTGGTGACCTTGACCAGGGCAGTTTCTGTGCTATGGGCAGCACGGAAACCTGACTGAAGGGGTTCGAAAAGTGAATGGGTGGAAAGGAAAGAGCGCAGTTGGGAGGCGACAACTCTTCTGGGACCTTGGAGAGAAAGGGGAGGTTGGAGATGGGCCGGTAGCTTGATAGCTGCGACGCATCAAGGGAGGGTTTTTTCAGGGTGGGCGTGATGGTGGCAGTTTTTAATGGAATGGGGACAGAGCCAGAGGAGAGGGACAGGTTGATGATGTCGGTGATATGTGGGGCAAGAAAGTGGAGCTGGGAGATAAGGAGTGGAGTGGGGATGGGGTCAAGGGAGCAGGTGGTTGGTTTTAGGGATAGGTTTAGTGACAGAGGGTGGGGAAACGGGTACAAAAGTGAGTAGGGGAGGATGGGTAGCAGTCGGAGTGTGGGAGTGAGGGGGTGGGGGGTTGGTGGATGTTGGAGGGGAAGTGACCGCGGAGCGAATTCCCTTGATCTTGGATTCAAGGAAATCCAGCATCTCCTCGCAGTGAAGGTTGGAGGAGATGACCTGCGCGGGGTGGCGGGGGGGACGGAGGAGTCGGGTTGTGGTGGAAAACAGTAGCCTGGGGTTGTTCTTCGCCTCCAGGATTATCCTGGAGTAGAAGGACGACTTGGCCGAGGCTAGAGTGGAGCGGTAAATTTTGAGGAGGTCCAGCCAGATTTGTCGGTGGACCGTTAGGGCAGATTTGACACAGGTGCGTTCAGCAGCCCGCACCTGGCTTTTCAGTGAGCGGAGGTGGGTGGTGTACCAGGGGGAGGAGCGGGAGTAGGAGACAGTAGGAGCGGGAGAGCAGACCCTGGATATACAGTGGGTAAGCTGAATGCAAGGAATGAATAGTATTCCTGACAAAACAGACTAGGTTATTTTGTCCACATCCCAGCATTGCCCTCACTTTCAGATTACATCCCATTGTATCAGGAACCCAGACACTTCTTTTCCATAGATGATAATAATAATCTTTGAATTTGATATAGTGCCTTATCACGTCTTCAAGATGTCTCAAAGGGTTTCACAGAATATACTGTAAAGTGAATTGACTGTATATTTTGTGAGAGAAACGTGGTTGCCAATTGTTTCATTATTATTGTATTATAATAAGTTATTTATTTATTATCAGTTTTTAGAAACAGAGCAGATGCTTCCTCCTTAGAATCGAGTTCTTGAAGGACAAAAAGGAAACAGTTTATGTAGTGATAACATTCTGGAAAGCCACCTACGGGAAGCCTCTACTCCAGCTACTAAGGTTTACAGGCTCTGTCCATGACCTGTGATAAACTGTGTCTAACATTTCCATTACAATCACCTGACTGATTTTGGAATGAGGGGTCGGGAGAGCTGGTTTAGCAAAGGTCATAGAAAAACTGTTATCAAATCTAATGTCAAGGAGTTTAATGATAATAATAATCCTTGCATTTGATACAGCGCTTTTCACGTCTTCCAGACGGGAAAATGTATTAATTTTTGAATGCGACCAAATGGATAGCCTGGGGGAAGGAGTGAAGGTGAAAGAATAACAACCAGACATTTTTAGGACAAGGTGAGACACAGACTGAGCCAGTCAAACAAAGGTAATGTTCTGCTGGGTCAAGCCTGAAACCTGGAATATCAACAGAGGCTAATTTGAGAAAAAGCAGGTCAGCACGTTTTGTAGAGATTCGTGTTGTCAGACTTGCAGCTTTGCTACACATGCTTCTTTTTCCCTTTTCTTCGAAAGATGCTACACTTCCACACGGGTGCTGATACCTCATCCAAATGTAAGCTTGGACAGTGAGTGCTGGTAGGATATTTGACTGTAGGGAGAAGGACTTTTTTGAGAGGTCTCACAAATAAGCTATCCAAAACACATACACACACACACATATGTGCCAGCAGCCATCACTGGGTTAGCAATCCTGGTACATTTTTCCCTGTCTCTTTGTGCTGCGGAGACTTAGTGGGGTGCACAGTGACTCTGTACGTGGCTACATCGCTCCTGCAAGCTGTCAGGTCACATTGTGACTTCACAAGGAAGACTTGACATCTGAGGCGCTGCTGTGACTTCACAAGAGGGCGTTATTCAGCAAAGACTCTTGAGCTGCAGTGGATTGTAGCAATGGTTTGTGCTGCTGGTCCTGCAGGATGAAGGTCAACAAGAGGAACACAACACAAGGCTAAGTGCAGGAGCTACCTGGAGTTCTTGTGGCTTTAAACAAGCATTGTCGGTGTTGTAAGTGTAACAATCTAAGAATGGGATAGGAGTGATCAGAATTGCAAAGAAATTGCTTTGCTCGTTATAACTTTACCGTTGTTCTCACAGTTGTTTTCTCGTTGAATTAAAATCTTTGGTCTCTACCTGTTGGGGAAGTTTTTTCAATGCAGAAGAGGACATATATATGATGCTCTGCATGGCTGGTACTCTAATGCGCTACGGCAATGAGGGGTGAGTGTGAATGGTCCCAGATTTGTGATTCCCCATGTTTTCACGTGCTGAATGAAGATAATGATGCAGATCAATTGGCTGTGTGTATGTGTGTGTGTTTTGGGGGTAGATGGATGAATCACACTCATGCTCTAGCCCCCACCCCACTACTGCCCCCCACAAATGAGAGCTCAGCCAAGGAACGGGATTAACAAAGACCTTAGTAATGATAAAATACAATGTTATAGCTGTATATAAATCCAAATCATCTACGTGAGGCTCAAATGTTCTTGGCCTTAAGAACATTGGCTTAAAACGTACAATTCTACAGAAATTTGAAACATTCCTAAATTTAAGTTTAATTTGGAGGCCATTCTTCTGAAGTTCTTTTTAGGAAATGTGAGAACCCAGCTTCCAAATTATTAAACTTAAGACTTTCCAAAATGATTGACTATTTTAAATGTTAAGACAATGACAGTCTGAAGGCTGAGATTGTGGAAAATTTTGAGCTTCAGTTTCTTTAGGGTATTCAAAACAGAAAAGATGACCATACCAAGAGAAGATGGATCAGTATCCATATTTCTACAAAAATGACCACATGGTCTCAATTTATTTATTTTTTCCTTTCATTATTAATTCATTGGCGTTATTGTCCAACAGAATAGCCATGCTAGCTTCAACTTCAATCTAGTGTACTTGTTTTTCTGACTCAAAATGTATTGCTAGTACATTTGTGGAGTCCTGTAGCTCAGTGGTTAGAGCACTCGCCTTGCAAGCGACACACCTGGGTTCAATTCCAGGCAGGGTAAAACCTTGGGCAAGTTTCCTTACTTCACACGCCTAATAATGATTCCTCCAAAACAAAACAATAATAAATTGGTCATTTTCAATCCCCGACTGTTTGTGGGACACTGCTTTGTGCAATTGGTTGTCGCGTTTCGCCCACAAATATACAGTCTATTCATTTTACAGCATATTCTGTGAAGCGCTTTGAGACGTCTAGAAGACATGAAAAGCACTGTGTTAAATGCAAGGATTATTATTATTATTATGTTCTTTCAACGTAAGCCAAGGAATTTTTAGAATTACTTCTTTCACTGGTCAAGGAAACAATTCAGAGTGTGTGACAGGTCTAACCCCCATTGTTCCCAGTCCATGGAAGTTTATCAAAATCAGCAGATAGGAAGAGATTTTTTTAGCTGCTTTTTTATGTGTGGTGCATTTTGAAGCCAATGTTGGGATTGCTATTTCCAGCAGAATAAATAAGCACCGATTCCGTCTATTTCATCTATTACTGAGCCTTGTACATATGCAACACTAGATTCTTACTGTGAGTGCAGTCAGGCAAGGAAACATAAACTCCACTTTAGTTGCTGGAGTGATGCAGAGAACACAAATGTGATTAATTGTGCTGTAGCATTGTGGAGAACATTTAGCCTGTGAACAATGTTACTTCAGCAGCAGGATGGAATAAAACACCTTTAATTCCACGAGCAATTGTAAATGTTGCTGCTGAATTCAGTCTCGCAGAAGTCACACAAAATCTATGTAGTGCTCTGCTCAGGCTGCACCTAGAGTACTGCATAATAAAGGTGACCAAGGCCCAGGCACTAGAGGCATTGCATAATCCTTGCATTTGTTACATTCCCTTACCACATTGTAAAGACATCTCAAAACGCCTCACAGGATTTACTGTGAAATTAAGTGACTGTGTATTTGTAGGCAAATGCAACAGCCCAATTGCACACAGCAATTTCCTACAAACAGACATGAAATGAATGAAACAATTTTATTTGGGGCGTTATATAATAATAATCCTTGCATTTGATATAGACGTCTCAAAGAGCTTCACAGAATGTACTGCAAAGTGAATTGACTGTATATTTGTGGGTGAAATGCGGCAGCCAAATTGTACACAGCAGTGTCCCACAAACAGTAGTGGATGAAGCGACCAATTTATTATTTTTTTTCTTGAGGGATTATTACCAGGTGTGTGAAGTAAGGAAACTTGCCCAAGGTTTCGCCCTGCTGGGAATTGAACTCAGGTCTCTCGCTTGAGAGGCGAGTGCTTTAACCACTGAGCTACAAGACTCCACAGGACAGGACACCCTTCTGGTGTCCCAACTCCCTTCTCTTTTCGAATAGTGGGATCGTTAACGTCCACCTGAAAAGGCAGATGGGATCTCGGTTCACAAGATTCATTGTAAATGTAGTGACTGTGAATTATAGGTAAATTTGATTCCAATGGATGCCATTTGCTACAGAATGAATAAAATTACATTTTTACAGTGTTATCATTTCGAATAGCCTCAAAATGCTTAACCAATGCTAATTGCAACAACAATAACAACAATAAGTACTTCAGGTTTAGTATCAAACTCAATTTATAATTTACTATTGATTATGAGTGATATGTTTTCCATGAAATATGAGCAAAATCCAAGATGCATCTGAGCCAGTTACTAAGCACTATATGTACCCTGGTACCGCTCCTAATAGTAAACTACATGTGTGGTTCACTTCCCAGCTATTACTTTCCATGTGAGAGCCAGGCAGAGTTTGTTTGGTTTCACTGAACCACGCTCAGCCATGCTCAGATTCTAGGTCTGGATTTCCTTCCATTTCTATGTCTCTGCATTATCTCCTCTTGCAACATGATAATCCTTGCATTTATTATAGTACTCATAAATGCTGAAGAGCTTCAAAGCATTTCACAAGTAACTTCTGTCAAACGTAGTTAGTGTATAATGTATGAACATGGCAGTCAATTTGTGCACAACTGGAACATGATACATTGAATCATTTTGTGCCTTTAAAATCAATTGAACATTTTTTTGACAGATAACTGATGATGCCGAAAGGTATACAAAAAACCTGTATCCGCACCTCTGAGGGAAGCAATACATCATTTTCCTCATGCCTGGTCACATTGGGAAGCTGAGCTTTTGTGAGACTGACCACTCCAGAACTGTGACGCTAGATCAAACAGCATGTTCCTTAATCTGAGATGGTCTGTAGCATTGATCTGCATTGGAGCAATGTATGTGAATGGATATGACACAACAACCCACAAAAAAGGTTTCACCCACAGTAAGTTAAATATTATATTTCTAGATGAAAATGAACTAACTACAACAATAACGTTCAATTATATAGCACACTTCCTGTGGAGTAAATCATAGAGATTGTTTACATAGGCAGTGCTGGACACTGAGCAAGGGATGGGGAAGGAGCAGAGGAGGATAGATTCTGTCTTGTCAGTGTTTAGCTGAACAAAGTTTAGGAGTTGATGTTTGACAGACAGGGGGTCAGAATATCAGTGGTCCTGGAATCAAGGGTAGAATCAATGAGGTGAATTTGCATGTTATCAGTGAACATCTGAAGACTAACTCTATGTTTGTACAAAATTCTAGGTGCCAAGGAGGAACATGTAGATGATAAAAATGAGTGGATTGAGGATAGAGTCGATAGATAGAAAAAGTTGAGTACATCCACAAGCAAGGGACAGAGGAGAGGCAATCCAGCCAAACACTGGATGAGAAGGGGGTCAAGGGAACAAATGGTGGGTTTCGTGTTGGGGATAAAGGTGGAGAGAGACAAAGGAGAAATGGAGGAGAAAGGGCACAGGGTTGGTGCAGTGGAAGGGGCCTGGGGAGGAAGGAATGGAGGAATGGGGGAGAAGGAAGATGCAGACAGATTTTTTTTGTCGATTCTGGTCACAAAGCAGTTCATAACCTTCTCATATTTGGAATTGGAGGTGAGAATGGCAAGGCTTCAGTGGAAAGAAGGAGGAGGCGATTAGTAATGGAAAAAAATAGTTTGAGGTTGTCTTTAGCATCCAGGGTGACTTTGAAATAGAAAGAGATTTTCATATTGGAGAAGGAGAGGTGTTGATTTTTGATGTGGTCAGACCTCATTTGGCAGTAGTCTTGAGGCTGATTTTATGTCACCTATATTCACAATCTCAATAATCTCAAATCATGATGTTGTGATTTCAAGAAGTATAGGTGGCCGGTGTACCAGAGGAAACAGCTAGGGTAGGAGGTACTTCTAAATTTCGGGAGAGAGGGGGGAGGTAGAGAGATAGCTATCAAGCAGCTTGGTGGTGGCATCAAGGTCAGGACTGGTGGAGAGGCAGAGGGTGAGAAGTTTAAAGGGTGAGAGTGCATGTGAGAGGATGTCGGGGGAGTTTTCTGCAGTAGCAAAAGGAGAAGGGTTTAGTGGAGGGGAGGTGGATGTTGGAAGTGTGAGTGTTGAAGAAGTCATCAGAAATGGCTTCTCAGAAATAGTGAGCTCAGAAATGTCAGAAAACTTTCTGTAATGACTAGATCGAGGAGGTGACCATGGATATTGGTGGCTTGTATTTAAAGAAAATTATCCTATAGCTGGATCAAACCAAATTTAACCTTGAACAAGGTTAGACTCCCTTCTCTTATTGAATAGTGCTATGAAATCTTTAAGGTCTATGTAAACAGGCAGATGGGTCCTCAGATTGATGTCTTATCCAAAAGAGTCAAATGTAATTCTAAACATTTTGATAGCTGCTCAGTAACTAATCCTTGGATGTTGTGTTGTACCTTTCATGTTAAGAGGACGAAGGTAACTGTCAAGCGTACTGTGCAATTTGTGGGCGAATGCGGTAGCCAATTTGCGCACAGCATTTTCCCACAAACAACTGTGAAGTGAACGGCCAATTTTATCAGGGGGATTGTTGGCCAGGATACTGGGAGAAATTAGAGTTCTTTTCCATCACAAATTTCCACCATTCATTGTTATTGCTGATTGTATTTTTCTTCTATAAGACAGAATACCGAGCAATGATGATCAGAGTGCTCGGTCCAACCTCACTAACAGCACAAAGGCAACGGGAAAGAGCACCACAGGCACCTTCCAACTGCTCAAAGGTTTCATTTCACTCGCAGTTGCTGTCATTGGTTTTGGTAGTAATTTTGTTCCGGTCAAAAAAATAGACACTGGAGATGGTGAGTATACCTTCAGGAAGAGTTATTCCACTGTATGAGCAGCCAGGCATAGTCTGCTCTTGAAATCTTGTCTGGGGATATTTCGGATCCAATAGATGAAATAACTATTCTGGTGTTATCATGGCTGTAAAACTAAAGTTATCTGAAGTAAAGCTAAAAGAACAAATAGTCATAATTGTGCAGTCAATAGAACTGCAGCTTTCAGACTAGTTGCTATCTCCCCAAGCAACCTCAACAAACTTGATCTTCCCAGGGTTAGGGAGTGTAAAATCAGCCAGGCATCCTGCTCCTTGACCCTCTTCAACACTCTCTATTGGTAGTGTGTGCACATGGTAATAAGGTGAAGAGAGAAGTCAGGTTTGGCTGTGACAACCTTTCACATCAAGTGACCTGCTGATAATCACTACCAAGGTTCACACTTGAGCAATCAACACTTGGGGGAGATACCACAACAACAACAACAACTTGGATTTATATAACGCCATCCACGCCGGATGGCATCTCGGAGCGCTTGAATTACCAGAGGGAAATTGGCACCCGTGGAAACCCTAAATTAAAAGAAACTGAATCCACTTAGTTTAAAAATAAGCTAAAATATGCTATAGTGTATTTAAACATGTCATTGACCTAAAAAATGTTGAATTGTTATACTGATTCCATGCAAATATACATAGATCACTGCTTGTGCTGACAAACATGACTGTGTTTTACAGGCCTGTTCTTCCAGTGGATTTTTTGTACAGCAATATGGGTTGTTTCCCTGGTGGTTCATCTAATCCAGAATTGTCCAAAGTTCTGGCCTCTCACTATGCTAGGTGGATTTCTGTGGGCCACAGGTAAGACTATTTTCTTTGGGTGGGAGATAAACAAGGTATCCTTAGACCTGAACTGGCTTCAAAGCAACATGCTTGAACGTTACAATTCAGTTAACCCTCTGTGGTAATACCATCTTGATAGTATGGTTGCTGAACCATAGGTCCACGATACTCCAGGGTACTTATGCTAGACTAGTCAGCCTGGCTTGTCAGCAGAACATTAAGTGGTAGACTAGTCACTGGAGGCAGGCATTCCTACTTGGTTCCTGTTAACTCAACATTGAAAAACCCTAATGGGCTCTCACCAAACTGAGTCTACAACAACCAACGACAACAAAATTACATTTTCACGTCGGGAGGACGTTCCAAGGTGCTAAGGCTTACTGCAATTAGATAAGCAGGGTGCATTCTTCCAGGTAGAGAGTATATATTCTATTCCAGACTCAAGGAAATTTGAATGCTTAAATGGCATAATTATGTGGAATTTTCAGTCCAGTTTGAATTCCTTTAAGCAAATGATGGATTTCCACATGTGACCAAAAGTAATTCCACCAGCACTGCCCCACCACACTTGTGTGTCATTAGGCAAGGACCTTTAGAGGTTGAAAATATATATTTTTGGCAGCATTTTTGATGTAATATTAACATTTGTTGTAAAAGATAATACCATTCATTCACTTAATACAGCCACTGTGCTGTAAAATGCAACACTGGGGCAGATAATAATTATACAATTAGAAACACAGTAGAAGCAATTGTGGTAAGTGAATAGAAAGTGAAAAATGGAACAAAAGGTGAACCATTAAAAGACATGTTCTCTGTTGTTTCTTTTAGGGAATATCACAGTTATTCCTATACTGAAAACAATCGGTCTTGGCATGGGTGTTTTAATCTGGGCTACATTTAGTCTTTTAATGGGCTGGGCTAGTTCAAGGTAAGTGAACGACTTTAGTTAATTTCCTCTTTTTATAAATTGCGTATACACAGAGTAATTGGCTGTTGAATGAAGACTACATCTTGGGATTTTCCCCAAATTGTATGTGAACTTACCTACATTTATTTACAAGTACTTTTTAAAATAAAATAGTGCCATCATTTGGTGGAGCCAGGTTTTGCAACGGATGGTGGGGGTGGGGCAGGTTCATGGGTCATTAGTGGCATCACGTTCCCATTGCTCTCTGCGTTGACTCTTCATACCTCCACAATTTCCGCAATGCCTCTCCTCTCATAATATGCTTGAAAATTGCCATATACACCTATAGGCTGCCGTGGGGAGGTTGCAGTTGCCACCGCACACACCCCCACCCCCACCGCACTCCCCCACCCCATTACCTCTGCCACTTGTGTGTAATATTATTTATTGTAATTTTATCCCCACTCTACTTGTGCTCTGCACTCCTCTTCTTGAGCTGGGATTCAATGTGCGTTGGATGCCCTCCCTTGACTCATCCAAATAACCATTGCTTAAGTGTGAGTCTTGGCAGTGAATGGCTACTTGACTCAGGAGGGTTTCAACAAATAATTCTTCGGGGAAGGGGAAGATAAGCCGGGTCTCCTTGGAGCTGAACTGGTTTCAATGTAGTGTGATGGTCGAGGCAATAGAATTTTGGAAATCAGTCAAGTCTCTGTGGAGGTCTCAGTTGTCTGGTTCCTGAGCCAGTTACATCCCAATATTCCAAGGCACTGCTGATGTCAGTCCAACAAACCTAGCTCATTGGCAACTTGGAAGGACAGACCAGTCACAGGAAGCTTTCCAATAGGTTCCTGTTAATCCTAAAAGCCAAACTCCTGCTGGGTAAGATGATCCTAGCTAGGTAAGTAATAGAAAGAAGCTTGCCAGCCAGTGCTCTCAATGGCAAGATATGTCGTTCAACTGGTGAAACTCTAAAAGTATTGCAAAACACACTTGGAGGTGCCCAAGCCTTTACCTTTACCAACCTGTATTTAATACTCTCTGGATTTAGGTGAACAGGTTGCGTCAGTTCAGGAAGAGAGTATGGGTTCCATTCTAGACACAGGGAAATTTCCATCTGTAGAGGCATACAGATGTGGAATTCTGAGTCTGGTTTGGATACTCTGAAAGCATGGTGATGGGTTTCCCCATCTGTCAGATTAAAGAGAAGCTCTCCTTGGTCAACTTATTTCTATAAAATCTTTGTTTTAGCAACTGTTGGTGAAGGACTGTCCGCCTGTAAGCCTTGCTCTGTGAATCTCCAGTGATCTCATCAAATGGGATAGAGTAGGTGCATTGCTGGGATTAGCCATTTTGACAATATTGAGGAGTGGGCAAGCATGTTACATGTGAAAGGAAAATCATGGGGTTGATATGTACTAATTTAGAACAGGACGCAAAAATATTTAATTTTTCAGCTAAACCAGATGTGTGACACAGGATCTCCACGCAAACATGATCTCCTTCTGGATGCTTTGGAGTAGGGATCCAGTGGGTCATCATGATACATAACAGGGTAAAGCTGCATAAAATAGAATTGGTACATAATAATAATGCTTGCAATTGATATAGTGTCTAATCAAATCATTGAGACATCTCAAAGCACTTCATGATAAGTGTATTGACTATATTTTGTAGGCAAATGCAGCAGCCAATTTGTGTCCTGCCTTGACCTACAAACAACTGTGAAGTGTGAAGTGAATGAACAATTTTGTCCGGGATGATGCATCTTGGTTTAAGTGCACACATTTTGTACCAATGTTCGGGTGTGATGAATATGTCTAGACAGGCGTCTTTCTGTCTGTATATTGTTTAGGGATGACTTGTTGGTGTGTCCACTTATTACTTTGAAACCAGGATGCAAATTATATCTCAGTGTTTTGACAACTGGAAGTGCTGATCATCAGTTGTTTAGAGAAGTCACTTTTTGATAAATGGATCAGGTTTGATCTGGAAAACTACAAGCTTGGACTATCTGTCCTGTACCTGTCTCTGATTTGGAGACTTAATTAATCTCCATCTACTCACATGCTGAGTCCTGTACCAAAGTAAATTATATATTTGAGCTCCTTCACTGAGAGCAAGGATACAACACTTACTCAATCTGCAGGAGATTGCAAATGCAAATCCTGATTCTACATATAGCACTGGTCCCATTGAAACAATGGTATAAATCAAACAATTTCTGTCGCAGCTTAATTTAACAATCATTTTAATGCTAAATATGTTCAAGTCAACAGCTAAATGTTGGCCTCTATTGTGTCACCCCTTCCTCCCTCCCATTGCCACAATGTTTTGGCCCCAAACCAACCTGTGGGTCAACAGTATAGTTTACTTGCTGACAGTTTTGGGACCAGTTAACTGATTTACTGGTTGAGTTATGACAGGATCCTATAATCAGCTGTGACTCAGCTCTCAAATGTTGTGATCCAAGGCTGGCAACTCCAGTAGTGGAAGCACGCCAGCTTAGGCCCAACCATTATGCTGAAATCCACGGTTGGGGAGAGAATGAATATTCACCAGCAATTGTCGGTTGGTGTGACCCATTTACTGAATGTAATTATTATCACTGTTGATAACTATCACATCACGTTTTTCAATTTCCCACATTGGTGGGGATATCAGATGAGGGCATTTTTTCCTGTGGAATGAAGTATTATTCCACAGGAAAAAATGCTCTCATCTGATATCCCCACTCATGCACATCTTGCAGCAGTTATCACTGATGTTGGATGTGTGTGTGTGTGTGTGAGCATGAGTGTGGGTGTGGGGAAGGGGAAAGATTAGGCCAGTGCTAACTATTGCCTGCTTTTCCCTGCACTATTAATCAATGTAATATTATAAATGACAATATCATAATGTACAGTTGCCCCTTTGTATGTTATATAAATATACATTATTGCCTGCAATTGCCAATTAAAGATGGCAAGTGTTTTTCATTAACTTGATACAGATATTTCCTATACTATGAACATAATATGAAGGGCAGAGTATATCAATCCAATGCCTGCATATAAAAGTATCAAGCTACTTGTTTAATGTGACCGGTTGTCTAAATGTTTTTTTTCAGGTTTGGCTGGTTTGGGCTAAATGTCCAGGAAGTTCCAAGTCCTATCCTAAACTACATAGGAACTGCTATGGCAGCTTTAAGGTAATTACAACACAGAGAGACGCTCTCCAACCTACTTTGCCCTCTGGGAACTTTCATGCAGTGGAAAGATGCTAGTAAAAGATGCCTGTCTTCCAACAGGAATAACAAATAATATTTATATAGTGTATTTCATATCAGAAGAACATGAAGAACGTGGAGTCCTGTAGCTCAGTGGTTAGAACACTCGCTTTGCAAGCGAGAGACCTGAGTTCAATTCCAGGCAGGGCGAAACCTTGGGCAAGTTTCCTTACTCCACACGCCTAATAATAATCCCTCCAAAACCAAAAACAATAATAAATTAGTCATTTTCAATCTACAACTGTTTGTGGGACATTGCTGTGCGCAATTGGCTGCTGCGTTCGCCCACAAATATACAGTCAATTCACTTTACAGTGTGTTCTGTGAAGCGCTTTGGGACGTCCTCCCGACGTGAAAAGCGCTATATCAAATGCAAGGATTATTATTATTATTATTATTATAACATCTCAAAGCGTTGCATACAGCTGAGAGGGAGCCTACATTGGGTGGGGATGTGGGAGAAGGGAGCTGGGTGGATGGGAAGCAGTTGAAAAGGTGGGTGGGTTTTGAAAGTGGGGAACATGTGACAACATTTCTAAACGAATGAATGAAACAAAAAATCTAAATATTGCAAAAGAAAAGTTGCTTGCCACTTGTTCAGATTTGTTGCAGGCATTCAACAACTCTTATTTCTGGCATTTAAAATTGAATGTGTCTGCCCTCTGGTGCTCAGATCTGTTATATCACTGGACATAACAGAACAATTACCAGTCTGAGTAGCAACAATCATGCTTCTGTAGATCTTGCCATTTTTGTTTGAAAGCAAATCTGTCATATCATCAATTTAAGAAAATAATAATTCTTGCATTTGATATAGCGCCTTATCACGTCTTTGAGTCGTCTCAAAGCACTTCACAGAATGTACTGTAAAGTGAATTGACTGTAAATTTTGTTGGAGAAATGCGGCAGCCAATTGTGCACAGCTGCCGCATTTCGCCAACAAAAATATAGGCGCTATATCAACTGCAAGGATTATTATAATTATTATTATCTTTTTCGAACAGTATTACCTTTAACAACCCAGGAAGACAGACAGATAGGACCCTGATTAATGGCTTGACTGAAGCACAGATTATCATACATTCTGTCCTGTAGCTCATGGTTAGAGCACTTGCCTTACAAGTGAGACACCTGGGTTCAATTCCAGGCAGGGCGAAAGCTTTGGCAAATTTCCTTACCCCACACACCTAATAATAATCCCTCCAGAACAAAACAATAATAAATTGGTCATTTTCAATCCATGACTGTTTGTGGGACACTGCTGTGTGCAATTGGCTGCTGCGCGTCGCCCACAAATATACGGTCAATTCACTTTTACAGTCCATTTGTCGAGAAGATGTGAAAAGCGCTATATCAAATGTGAGGATTATTATTATTATTACATTCACCGAATGACAATCAGCTGAGAAATCGGTTGGTGCGAGACTCAAAGAAATCCAGTGGTTTGAAAAGTTGATGACAATTATTTTAACTAATTTCAGTGCTGGGATTCTTTTCTTTGTGAAAACTGAAAATAAAGAACTGCTGTCTGATGAAGCTTCCCCTCTGATGCAAGAGAAAGACAAGGAAAATGAAAAAGACATTGAAACAGAAAAGGATTCCTCGCAGGTTTGGCCAATGATTAAAAGCATTTTTATTCTGTGATAAATTCATTATAGTAATTTTTAAGCAGAAAATCTATATTTAAAGTAACAGCCATTGTCAGACATTGTTCAGTACACTCAGTATATGTTTTGAAATGAGCCTGAAGTCACAGATCTGGAGATTATTTTGAAGATGAATTTAACTTTCAGAGCTCAGGGAATGATGAATGGGTTTTGTTTATTGTGCTTTTTTGTGACAAAACAAAGCTTGAAGTGGAGCAGACTTCTAAAGTAGACCCTACACCCCAAAATACCTTCACTCCTTTAGCCTTATTTGTTATTGATAATCCCTCCAAAAAAACAAAAACAATAATTAAATTGGTCATTTTCAATCTACGACTGTTTGTGGGACATTGCTGTGCGCAATTGGCTGCTGCGTTCGCCCACAAATATACAGTCAATTCACTTTACAGTGTGTGTGATTTGTTACGACAAGCTCAAAATATGAGGCATTGGTCTTTGGTTTTTTTTACTTCGCAACTGCTCTGGTGTAAAACATAAACGGGTGGGTGTGAATGAATCACTGTATTTTGACGATAGTTTGCAATCTATTTGTGCCTTTCTCCAGCTCGTGATTTATCTAAGTCTTAGATCACAAGACAACTTTTTCATCGCAGATATTGTGATTCATCAATGGTTTAGTTTGCAAAGGTGTTTACAAGGTTCAAACCCTGGTTTGTTTAATGCATTATGTGATAGGTGAAAGTTGCATGTGTGTTATACATAGATATGACCTGTGGAGTCAGATGCTAACTGATGGAGAGATTGTTCTGCAGATTCTGAGGATAACTCTTCACAGGTCTGTTGAAAGGCATCAGTTATCAGTTACAACTCAGCGGAAACGCTTTGCTAGTGATTGATGTCAAACTTCAGACAGTGGAAGAATGAATTAGCATCACTTTTCTGGAGCCTTGTTATATGTACTCCACCTTTGTAGAAGCTCATGGTGGCTCTGACATCAAATGCCACCTTAAGGTCTTCTGCTTTGGCATTGATTTAATTGATTCCTAGAAGACTTTTGATCTTATCCTTCATGCTACCCTTGTAAATAAATTGAAATCTCATTTGGGATGACCCTGACCAAGATCCTGAACTCCAACATAAGAACATAAGGACATAAGAAATGCTAGACAAAAAAAGACCAAGATCCATCTAATTCGCCTTCCACCTTCCTGGCAGTCGCATGCACATATGTCCAGAACTAACTATGTGCTATATCCAATAATATTATTATTCTAAAAGAAAACTATCTAACCTGTTTTTGAAAGAATTAACACTTCCTGCTTCAACCGTCTCCCTAGGGAGACTGTTCCACAGGTTCACTATTCGCTCACTGAAATAATGCTTGCGTAGATTTGTTCTGAACTTACCTCCCTTCAATCTCATGCCGTGTCCTCTGGTTTTATGATTCTGGACAAATTGAAACAGCCTGTCATGGTCTATATTGTCTAGCCCCTTCAGAATCATAAAGACAGCAATCATGTCGCCTCTCAATCTTCTCTTTTCCAGCATGAACATGCCCAATTAGCTTAGTCACTCCTCAAAGTCGAGTCCCTCCATTATCTCAATCATTTTGGTTGCCCTCCTCTATCTGTTGCTCACATTTCTCCCTCCTCCCTCTCAACCGCAATCACTCGGATGAACTTCACTACCTGCCTCCTTGAGCTCCTCCCCACCCAGCTGTTGGTCACTCAACTCCCCCATCTCTCCCCCCTGCTGGCCAACACGGTCAACCAGTCTCTCTCCTCAGGCTCTGCTCCACTCCCCCTAAAAACTATTGTCATCACACCCCTCCTCAAAAAACCCACCCTTGATCCCTCGAATCTCTCACACTACTGTCCCATCTCCCACCTACCCTTCTTTGTCAAAGTCCTGGAACGTATTGTTGCAGGTCGACTTCGGTCATACATCTCCCTCCACTCCTCCCTTGGGCCCCTGCAGTCTGGTTTATGCCCTGCCCACAGCACAGAGACAGCGCTTGTCAAAGTCACAACCCTATATTCTCTCTATCTGTGAGCAGGGCTCCCTCTGCCTCCTCGTCCTCTCTCTGCCGCATTTGACACAATCGACCACGCCATCCTCCTCCATCGGCTCTCTTCCCTCATCCACCTTAGTGGGAATGCACTCTCATGGTTCGAGTCCAACTTAATCAACTGCCTCCATTTCATCTCGGCAAATGGTTTCTCCTCCTGCCCCCACCCAGTCACCTGCAGGGTACCCCAGGGCTCCATCCTTGGCCCTCTTCTTTTCCTTATCTATATGCTCCCTCTGAGCGATGTCATCTGCAGACACGGGTAAACTTCCACATGTATGCGGATGACACACAAATCTACTTTGCCTCCTCCGGTACCACCTCCAGGTCCACCAATGTTCTTTCAGCTTCTCTGGTAGATATCAAGGCCTGGATGAGTGCAAACTTCCTGCAGCTGAATAGGAACAAGATGGAAGCTTCTTGGCTCTGGTCAACGTCTTCACTCCTGCAGATATGAGCTCCTCAACCTCTCTGGGCTTTCTCTCAGATTCACTGAACCAGTGCACAACCGAGGCGTTCGGTTTGACCCCCAACTGTCCTTCCTCCCCCCATATCAGGCCCCTGACCAGGACCTCTTTCTTCCACCTCTGACTGTCCCTTACCAGAAAAGAAGCCGAAACCATCGTGCATGCGTCTGTCACCTCCCTCTTGGATTACTCCAGTGCACTCCTCGCCGGTCTCCCCAGCTCTGCCATTCACAAGATCCAACTCATTCAGAACTCTGCCGCCTGCATACTGACCCCGATCAAACTCCATACCCACAACTCACCAGTTCTGGCCAGGCTCCACTGGCTCCCCATCACCGAATGGATCGACTTCAAAATCCTCACACTCATGTTCAAATCTATTCACTCCCTGGCACCTCCCTACCTCTCCGACCTCCTCACTCCCTAATCCACCATCCGGCGCCTCTGCTCGACTGGCACTGGCCTCCTGCTCGTCCCTCGCACTCTCCACCCCACCATCGGAGATCACGCTTTCAGTCACTACGCCCCAAAACTCTGGAACACTCTCCCTCAATAACCTCTGCCTTGCCCCTTCTTTCCCCTCTTTCAAGTCCCACTGAAGACTTTCCTGTTCGACCGTGTTTACGGACACCAGGCCTCTCCCCCCGGCTGGGAGTCAGGCTCTGCCACTGTTAAGTGCTTTGAGATGCTACCCTGCATGGAGGGCACTATATAAATGCAAGTTGTTGTTGTTGTATCTTCTCAATTTCTCCAATACCCTTTTTGTACTGCAGCGACCCATGCAACCTGGGTGGTTGCTCCTCTCGAACCTCATCGTCCAATCCTTTCTAAGACACGCAAACTGGGTGACCTACTGGGATTCAAATCTGCAGGCTCCTGGTTTTCGTCAATTGTTTTAAAATTCAAATGCAACTAATGCTGAAACGTGGCACCTACAACAGATAGCAAAGGGCAACAATACCCTCTGATTGTGTTCTGGAGATGTTGGTAATGCATTCGCATAATTCATGTATACATAGTAAAACACTGCTTGGAGTCCTGTAGCTCAGTGGTTAGAGCACTCGCTTTGCAAGCAAGAGACCTGAGTTCAATTCCAGGGAGGGCGAAACTTTGGGCAAGTTTCCTTACTCCACACGCCTAATAATAATCCCTCCAAAACCAAAAAAGAATAATAAATTGGTCATTTTTAATCTATGACTGTTTGTGGGACATTGCTGTGCGCAATTGGCTGCTGTGTTCGCCCACAAATATACAGTCAATTAACTTTACAGTGTTTTCTGTGAAGCGCTTTGAGACGTCCTCCCGACGTGAAAAGCGCTATATCAAATGCAAGGATTATTCTTCTTCTTATTATTATTATGATTTTCAGATACCAGCCGTCCAAGTAACAAGAGCTCACACTGTTGGCTTATGATTATTTTGTCACTATTTTACTCTCAGCATGTTCCAGCCTGCCCACATCCCCCAAAGTCAGAACTTCAACCTCTCTACCTCCATCCTTTGGACTCCAATCCACAGTACTTTCGCCTTGCTTGCCTGCTTAAAGGCGTGAGTCAAGACCCTTTTGTTTGACCGCGCCTTCAGTCATCTTCCTTCCCCTACCCTCCATCCCTACTGATCGAAATCCCTATTTGGCTCAGCTGTGGGACAGAGCTGTAGACATAGCACCAGGAGATTGGAATTTTCCCTCTCATCTCCTGATATCATTCTAAGCCAATTTCCTAAAGAATAACATCATCCAAGTTGGATAAGGTTACAATGTCTTGTAACCTGCCAATATTTGGAGTGTATGTGGTGCCAGTGGAATCATATACCAGCACATTTCTGTACCCTTAGGAGAGGTGGAAGAAACACATATTTAAAGGGAATTGTGAAATGTGGAATGGCTAAAGATGAACTGATTGTTTTTCCAGCCTTCATCATCAGAAGAACCTGCTCCAGATCCATGTTGGATTGATAAACTCAAGGCGTCACAAAAGAAACTGGTGTAAGTGGAAATGTCTACTCTATAGTGTGACCAGCTAAATGATAAATAATGGGTTAAAGTACATTGGCACAGTCAACCACTAACCAGGATTCTTTCTGAAATAATAACTTGCAATTAAGTGTGAGAATAAGAAAGATAACCTAAAAATACCTTCAGTATAGGCTCATTATGAGATAATGCAACTAAATATAATCAGTATTTCATAAAATAATTACAGTTTTAGGTTGAAAGCACAGTTTTGAGTCAGAAGGTTGTTAGTTTAAGCCCCACACTGAGACTCCGAACCCATCTATTGATACTTTGGTGCTGTGCTCAGGGAACATTGCATTGTCAGAGGTGCTGCTCTTCTGAAGAGACTTAAGCTGAGATCATGTCGGCCTGTTCCGGTAGATGATAAAATTCCATGGTTCTTTTTAAAAAGAGAAGGGAGCATCTCCCAGGGCTCTCGCCAACAATCTCCAAATAAAATTGTTTGTGAGCTATTTCTGGGACATTGCTGGGTGCAAATTGACTTCTGTGATCTACGAATACGGTTACTTCACTTTACAGTAACATTTTCTGAAGCACTTTGAGCTGTGTCAATGATTTGGTATTATATCAAATGCAAGGAGAACAGAATGAAAACAACAGAGCAGTTATAGTCAGTTCTCCATAAGCACATTTTGGATGTATGTACAGTGAAAGCCGATTAAGCCTGATACATTGGGACAGGTCGTTTTGTATGGTTTAAGTGGCATCTGAGGCTATCCTCCATTACCTCTTCCCGTCCAGTCGAGGGGGGGCAGCAGCACACCTCCCTCCCATTGTCATTCCCATTGGTCGGGAAATAAGACAATTAATGGTGGCTCTGAGGTGATGGACAGCAATGGAGCCACTTGTCGAATGGATGTCAAACTAGGCACTCCACCCATTCACAAGGGGCTCCAGCTGTCAATCAATCTCAATTTAATTTCTCCCATTCTCTCCCTTGTTTCTCCCTGTTCCTCCACCCATCCCCCTCACTGATTGACAGCCCAACTCCAGCCGCTTGTGAATGGCTGGAGTCCACTGTCAATCCTCCCATCTCCATCCTGGAGCATCTCGCAGAAGGCCCGAGTGAGTACATTCAACAGCAACCAGGCATTTTGTTCGGATTAACCAGATTGTTTTACGAATTAACTGGCATATTTAAAACGGTAAAGAATACAAATGAATTGGGGCCAGGCGTTTTGTCCAATTTACCTGGCACCCAAGGTGATCTGGGGTCCGGCTAAAGCGGCTTCCACTGTATATATCATTGCTTTATTCCTTCTAAGGGCAGTGTTACACAGAGCACTAATCCTCAGCTACTGCTGCGTAAAACAGTTGAGGTGTGTTGGGATTTCTGATCCTGTAGTTTGAAATATGACTCGACAATCCAAATATGGTGTAGCAAGGTTTATTATGAACAGAGTGAACACAACATGCATTAATAAATACTACAAATGTCTAACAAATTATACTACCAGTCTTTGAAGACTGTCACACAATGTCACAGAACACCTTCCTTGTAATCCTTAAAGGGACCTCTCCACACTCGTCTCTCTCTCTGGAGCCTTCCTGTTCTTCTAACTGTTCTCACCTTAAGGTGCGATATCTATACCCTTTCTCCAAGTGTCCTTCCTAGGGCCCCTCTACCCACTTCTGATACAGTCACGTACTCAGGTTAATCAATCATTTGGCTTGGTGCCAGCCTGACTGAGTCTCCACGAGGTCTTCCCTGTGTCCTGTCTAAGATAGGAGATTCATCAGTTTAGGGCTGTATCTGGTGCTTGTTATTTTGTTATGTGGGATCATTAGTACATCCCTTTTAAGTGAATGGTTATCTCTTATCAGTATCCCGGGTTGGTACCAAAGTCCTCCAGTTTGAACAACTTGCTCATTAGTTGCTATTCTTGAGGGTTGCCTTCTGTTGCTTGTGAGGCCCAGTCAGAATCTAGAGACTTATTGCTAAGGCGAGATCCTGTGTCAACTGGTACTTTGGACCATTACCTCTGTGGGCTTGTTGTTATTTACGGATAAGTGGTGACCCCCTGCACTTTTCCAAGGCTGTCTTGTTACTCCTTCACAAACAGCGAAAACCAGGTGTGTCCTATCTCATGACTGTCGCTATTTCCTATACTACATTCGTTTAATGTTTCATTCTTATTAGACTACAACTTCTATAATCTAACAGCTGTATGGGGTACCTCACTAGAAACAATTCAAGAGCACTTACTGTGCAGTGTATTTTTTCTGTTTGTCTAATATCTGCCTAATTTGTTGCCTTGTACTATTTCTTAGGGGGTCCAGCTTAGCAATGTGTTCGGGTTTATTGTATGGCTCCAGTTTCGCACCAGTCCTCTACATTAAAAACCATGCTTTCAAAAATGATGACAAGTATTTTGGTGCAAGCCAGTTTGGTAAGAGATTCACTCATCTCAAGCATGCCAGTGAAAGAGCCTTGTGAATGTGAAATGCATTTACTGTACATCTAGTTTTAATCTTGGTGGTACGAGTAATTTCTAAATAATCAGAAGTACACTACCGGTTACAGCATTATTGACCCTCAGATAATGAGCATTTCAATGTTTCAATCTGCGACTGTTTGTGGGCACTGCTGTGTGCAATTGGCTGCCATGTTTCGCCAACAAAATATACAGTCACTACACTTTACGGTATATTCTGTGAAGCTCTTTGAGATGTCTCGAAGACGTGATTAGGCACAATATTAAAGGCAAAGATTATTATTACGCATGTTATTGTTGTGATGCTGGATCCAGGGTTACATAGAGCGCTAGCAGGTGTCGCACTACATACTCATCTTAAGCTCCAGCAATAATAAAGCAGTGTAAAGCCATAGGCTAAGCGGACGGACATTTACATTAAGTTTTGTTTTGTTCACTTTTTGCTCTGATGAGCAGTTTTTAATAATTTAATTCACAAGAGAGGGAACCAATGGAGCCTGGATAGAACTGATGTGATGTGGGTATGAAATTTAGTGTGGGTGAGTATGTGGGTGGCAGAGTTTTGGATCAGTTGGTTCCTATGTATGGTTGAGCTGGAGAGACCAGTAAAGAGGGCATTTGAAAAGTCGAGTCGGGAGGTGACGAATGCATGGACGAGTGTTTTGTCTGCGTCTGGGGTAAGGTACTGTTGGAGGTGGGCAATGTGGCGGAGGTGGGGGAAGGCGGACCTGGTCAGGGACTGGATGTGGGGAAGGAAGGACAGCTGTCGGTCAAACTTGACACCAAGGTTGCGCACTAGTTCGGTAAGTGTGAGGGATAAGGCCGGGAAGGTTGAGGTGGTCAGAGCCATAGGATAGAAGACGTTGATGGGAGCCAATGAGTATGGCTTCCATCTTGTCAACATTGAGTTGTAGGAAGTTTTTGTTCATTCAGGCCCTGATATCTGCAAGGTAAGCCGACAGAACATCGACGCAGCTGGAGGAGGAGTAGTAGATTTGTGTGTCATCCGCATACTTATGGAAGTTTACCCCATGTCTGTGGATGACAACTGCTTAAAGCATTGTTTTCTATTCATGTAACAGTTTGATATTGTGAATGATTATCTGCAACTAACATCATCTTCTCTTCCAATTTAGACATAGATTACGTTTTTGCATACTGCAGTGGTATTATTCTAACTAGCACAGTCTATTTTCTTATATACTGTGGAGTGAAGAAAAACAAGCCATCTGTTTACTCAACGGCAATACTACCTGGTATGTTGGAATGATGATCTGCAGTCACTGTCAACATGCACTGTATAATGTTGTTACTATGATTATCATTTGATTCTCAGGCTGTGTTCACACTAGTTTTTATCACAAACTATGAAGGTTTGTGATACAGCATAACACTGTACATCTTGCCTCATCCAAAAGCAGCTGCTTGTAGGTTACAAGAGGGATGTTGATCTCCCTATTTTTAAGTATCGTGACAAGTGCTTTAGGGGCAAGTTATGGGTTTTTAGCTGGTTAGACTCCAGCAGTACCTCAAAACACATTCTTTTCTCATGCCTTGGTTCTTGCCAACCTTCGCCTAGCCTAATACTCTTTGGAATTAGGGAAGCAGGATGCGTTCAGGGAGAGAGTGTGCATTCCATTCCAATAAATATCTTGGGAATTTCCATGATAAGTGGGATGCATGGAACTCTCAGTTTGGTTTGGATATTCGTAAGCACAGTGATGGGTTTCTGCACGTGTTAGACACCCAACTGACGGCCCCACAAAAAAAGTTACCAATTGAAGAGTGTTGATTAAACAGCCTATCCTTCACTGCTGAGCAAGTGACTGAGAACACTGAAAAGGAGTGGTTGTTAATTACACAATCAATAAATTATTCTATAGCTATGGGCACTTATAATTTCCCCAGCACACACATGCATTGCCTGTAAAATATGTTGCAGAATATATTTTGAAACATTTTGATATGTGCTCCCAATGTGAAAGTTCTATCAAATGCAAGGATTATTATTTATTATTTATAAATGAAAGTTGTTGTTGTTACCATCATTATTGTTGACAAGTCCATAACCGGGGGACATAAGTATAAGACAGCAACTGGAGGATCTAAGAGAATTTAGGCGGATATTCTTCACCCAGACAATAGTGAGAATGTGGAACTCGCTGCCAGAAGTGGTGGTTGAAGCAGATAGTGTGGATGCATCTAAGAGAAGCTAAATTTACACATGAGGGAGAAGGATATGGGACAGTTGGGCTGAATGGACTGTTTCTGTGCTGAACAGTCTGTAAACTTGAATAGATTCGTATGTCTCAGATTCACAAATGGGCACTATATAAACGCATATAAACTGATGTCGAGATTCTGATTATGGACAATATCCTCAAGATACTGTGCTTGGATCTGGTAACTGCTGTGGTAATTGTCTAATAACTTGGCGAGGACTAATATTCTCCAGTGAGCTGAGGAGTAATTTATTTGAATATTTAAGGTAGCGATCAGTTGATTCTTGTGTCATTTATTGCATTATACAAACATGTTGTTCGTCCACAGCCAGTTAGTGCTTTCTAATTTCTTTCATCAATAGCTTTCTTCTCAGGACTCCTGTGGGGAATAGCTAATAGTGCCTGGTTCCTGGCAAACTATTACCTGAGCGCAGTCATTACCTTTCCTCTGGTTACTGCTGTGAGTATTAAAAAGATGTTGATATTTGTAACTGCGCTTGTGGTAAATCTGTGAATCCGATGTGAAGAGTACAATATAAATGCAAATTGCTCTTGTTGAAACACTTTATATCTGCTCGGCCTAACTTCACTTTCCCCATTCACTTGCGTTTTTAATTCGGGTTTTACAATTTTAACTTATCATTTTTACTTAATTCTATCTATGTTATTCTATCTATCTTACCTTTATTAAATTTAAACAACTGCTCCCTGGTAGTAAAATACTTTGTCCAGTAGAACTGAGCCATATTGATAGGAACACCACAGGTTTGATCTCCATTGTGTACTATCTCAGCTGATCTCAATCAGTGAAGCACTAGAGTTCCAATAACTGCTCTGAGTTAGGTTGTAGGTTGTAGAAAAGGCAAATCAGGGTTCCCATTCCTGATCTCTAACTAGCAACAAAGTCTGCATATGTGGACATTAATTGGGAACAGTAGTAATTGTGTTGCCTCCACACTTGAATAGCGAGTTGAAACTCACTGATTCGACTCATCAATGAAGAACGATCACTTGAGTGAGGCTTGCACCTATGCAACTTCAGGAGAGGAATTCTGGAGCAAAATAAGTTTAAACTTGTTTACCTCTTCCATTGTCCATTTTGGAGTTGGGTGGTGGAGGGAGTGAGATCCAACGTATTAGTATTTAATTGGTCAGAAAGCAGCTTCAAAGAATGATTTTTCCCCCATTTAAACAAGCTGTGCAATATACCTTTGTGCTTCTGGTTATAATAATAATAATAATCCTTGCTTTTGATATAGTGCCTTATCACGTCGTTGAGACGTCCCAAAGCACTTCACAGAATATATTGTAAAGTGGATTGACTATCTTTTGTGGGAGAAATATAGAAAGGAGAATTCAGTCAGGGACCTAATCCTGATTGCTATCCAATGAATCCAGCTAGAAAGACTATATGTATGAACATAGTGAGTTTAAACACCATCAAACTCCTCCAATGGTCCAGTGGTTAACAGCATCCCCTCCCACACCACACTAAGTCACTCATTTCAGAGATTGTGGGTTCAAATCCTAGTCTACGCTGTTAACTGCTCACAGCAGTTGGTGTACCAGAATGATCTGTTGAAGCATCGTAATGGCTAACATCCACTTGGGGAGGTAATGGAGGGTAGCCCCCATGCCTGTTGAACTGTATCTCTACATGAGTCAGCACGTTCAAGAGGAGAAGCAACTAGACAAAATAAATCTTAGAGCATTTTTTTGTCATGACATATCTCCACAGTAATTTCAACTTCAAGCATCACCTAGTTAATCCCTGTGCTTGCCATTGCATCGAACTGTATGGGGGATAATATTGTGGATGTTGTTATCTGTTACAATGGACACAGGCCCTATTGAAATCAATTCTTACAGGTGGGGCTAAACATGCTATTTCATCTGCGGGTAAAAATAACCATGTTTGTTTACTTTTCAGGGTCCTGCAGTCATCTCCCTGACGTGGGGGGTATTTTACTTTAAAGAAATAAAGGTCAGTTCATTTGAATGTTGAAGATGTTGCTTAGAAACAATTAAACTGAGGAGGTCTGAGGAGTCCCAACAATTTCCCATTCTTAGAGTAAACTGAATATGTAGCATTTGGGCCCAGCATGTGAGACAGTGCATTGATGTAATCACATACAGTGCCATGGAATGGTCTACACTTTTTAGGATCCCTCAATCATCTGCTTCAATTTAAATATTCCCAACTTCCATAGCTCAGGTGTCCCATTGTGTTTTAGATTAGATATCGGTTATTGTACAACAACAACAACAAGATTCCATTTATAAATGGTACCTTCCCCAATTCAAGATCTACTTTCTAATTCTGTGCTGAATGGACGACTGTTTAGTAGAATGGTAAACTGAGTAAAATAATTATTCATTTGGAGTTTTGTTTAAGAATGCCATCCTGAAATAATTGATTAAAATAATCTTTTAAGTCTTTTCTCTAGCGACATTTCTGTGCATTTAGCCGTATTTTACAATTATCCATCAAACATAAAATCCACTTTTTCCCTTTCCCACTCCAATTTTCTCCTTTTCTTTCCTAAGGCACTAGCTCATGTTGGGGTGTAGTTCCAATGGTGCCAATTGTCTGCCTCTATGCAATTGAGCATTTTTCATGTGTGAGATGAGACAGTGATGCACGCAATTCAACCTTGGGGGCATGACTGCAAGCCTGATCCCATCCTCATCTTATATCTCCTCATACACACACACACATGCAGAATGAGGGCTACTAGATAGCGATCAGAATTGCAAAGCAGATTCCCTTGACATCACACAAATTGAATTACAGCACATACTACCCACCTGAGATCATAAACTTAGCACATACCACAGATCAAATGTAGGGCATTATGGCTTATTTCTACTCAATGCAGTGGTTTGAATAATCCTTTTTTTAAGTTTAAATGAAGCTTCACCTGTCTATCTACCATGACTCGAAGGGGAAACATTTCTGGTTTGAGAAAGGGGGAAAGATGTGAATAGGGTTGGGAGGAAATGCAGTAAAAGTGATAGAATAATACACATTAAGACTAACTCCTCTTCCTCAGCTACAAAATAGAAAGTGGGAAAATTTTGACAGATGTATTTAAAAAAAAAAGAAATTTAGAGAATTCATTTTACAATTCATACAGTCATTTGCCAGTCATTTGCCCATTAAAATTAATAATATTTTAACAATTTTAAATGTAACAAATTTGCTGATCTACAGTAAACACCCGATTGTCATTGACCTTTAAAATCTACCTATTTTGCCTACAGGGTGCACGGAATTTCATAATACTGGCTGTTGTGCTTTTGGTTGCTATTACTGGAACAATTCTCATAGGCTTATCTAAAATAAAGGGAATCGCCTGATATTTGGACAACAGAGACTTAATAGATACCTTTTCTGTAACTATAAAACTATACTGTACAGTGCATGATAAAATTATTAGACTAAACCTTTGGCTGTATTCGTCATGTTTGCAAATAGTATGACATGATAAAATGCATAAAGTTACATGTATAATTGATCTGCACTATACTAGCTGTGCAGGAGTCAATTGCAAGATTGATCTGCGAGGTTTCAATGCTCTAAACCTTGAAAGTAAAATTCCATTTTTGTAGCCATTTGATCATAGAGATCTGCTGCCCATCCAGCATTTTTGTTTAAAAAATAAATGAAGCCCTCCTTAGTTCTAAGGTATCAGTTTTAGGTGTGTGCCAATAGATTGTTTAGAAAACATCAATATACTAAGATTGCAACAACTGGAGTATTTCAAATTATTACTACAATAATTTTGCAATTCTTCCCCAGTTTGAAAAAAATATTTAACTACACAATGTGAAGAAAATGCCCAGGTTTGATCCCAGGTGTTGTACAATAACCAGCGCTGGAAAGTGCATGTGTGCGCATCTCAAATAAGAACCATGAAACTATGATGGCTTATGGGATAATATAGCCAGATAATTATCAGTGTCTGGGCTCACCCATGAAGAATGATGACTTAAATGTGGTATTGGAGGGTTGCCAGCAACTGTGAACTGCACCCTAATGTGAATCACTGTCTTGAAGGCAGGAAGTGGATAAAGACAAACAAAAGATTGTTGTGCATATTGGCTGAGGAGGGCAAAGCTTTAGTCAGTTAATTGAGTCTTGGTATTGCAAGTCTGAACCACTCCTTAGTGAAAACGTACCCTGTGTTTTTAAAATGGCTCTGAATTTAAACAAGCCTATTTAATTTTACCTGTAACCCCTCATGGAACTTCTGGTTGATTTATGCATGCTCTCCCCTTTGAGGATATCTCAGGGTACTCTCCTTTCTCAATTACACAACAGTGAAGCACCTCCTTTCTCCTGCAAAGCCCTCACGTTTTTTTGCCAGAGAGAGGAAATTCTGATCCATGTAATTGTTGGGGAAGAGTTTTTCCTCTTGAGTGTAATTTGGGAAACCATTAGAGTGGTCATGTTCATAGCCTGCTGGCAAACAGTGTTACAGAAAGGAAAATTGTACCTGCCGTATTAATACAAGGTTAAACCTTTGGTACAGCTGACAGTTTCTGATGCTATAGGGACTGTAAGCTTTCCAAGGTGAAGGAAAGAGAGAATAGCCAAGAGGGCAAACACGATCAGCAGAAAAATTAAACCAGAAAGAAAAAGACAGATATAGAGAAGAGGAAGGATAAGAGACACTGTGCTCAGAAGTCCGAGTCATTTTAGATTGAAAGTTAAATCATAAATTAGAAATCAAATTAGAAATGTTACTTGAAAAACAAGAGAATAAAATAAATGGGTTAATAATGGTTGTTGAATTGTTACATATAAAAAATATTACTTGTTTGGTTTCCACTCTGAGTGAGATGGACGCTGAGCAAATAACCAATCAGGAATCTCAGGTAGCAGCAAATGTTCAAATTGGCCTGAGAGTAAATTGTGAGGACCAAGAGTGTATCATGGAGCTGACACCCTCCTGTACTGGGAGAGAAAGCTAGGTTAATGTCAGAGGCCTCAAGGGTCATACCCAAGACGCTAACTTTTCTTTCTCCTTTCAAGTGCTAATCAACTTCCTCTATATTTGGAACAAATGGTTTTTATTTCAAATTTCCAGCATCTATTTTGTTTTTCTTTGTCTGTGATAGTGCAGTGTTGACTTTGATTTGATATCAATACCAACATTTTAAGAGCTCCATCTCTCTCCTCCCAGCAAAGGAGGACCACCAATTCAGTTCAGCAAGTCAGCTTGGGGGCAACACAATCTATATATATATATATATATATATATATATAAAAAAATAACAACAGGATAGGGCATGCCAATAATGTCAACATGAAAGAGTGAATAGTATTTAATTGCTTTTTAAGTGTGAAAGTCTACCTTTATTATGTACATGAAAGTGAAAGAATATTTTGTATTATGAAATTCAAAGTTGTTGATGGTCAGAAGGGATTCTACATAGTAGCTGTTTTTACTGAACATTAGTAGATCTAGATTGTGAGGTGAATAACCAGGGAATTATTGTTGCAAGATCAGCTGCTGTGTAAATATGACATTGTACCAATGTAATACATAAACATATTTTTGAATATTTGTTTCCTTGTCAGATTTTTACTGAAGTAAATTTACTTTATTCCTATTCAAAAAATATATTTTATTTGGGGTTCACGTAAAATGAAACTGTCCTAATTTAAAGCGAATAATGAAATCACCCAGAAGTACTATTTTAATATACTTCACCTTGAGCATAATGGGTCAAAAAAAATCACCACCAGGAACTCCTTACCTCACTCATTGGGTATTTGCAGGTCAACAAGCTTTCTCATCTGCAAAACCATTGTTTTTCTATCATTTTATCCTTTTCCGCCATCTCAGCCTTCACGATCTTGACTTTAACTGGTTCAAATCTTACCTTTTGCACCGACTCCACTTTGTTGCCATGAATGGCTTCTCCTCCAGCCCCGCACCTTAGGGCTCTGTCCTTGGGTCTCCTCTTCAACATCTACATGCTCCCTCTTGGTGACATCATCTGCAGACATCTATGCGATGACACCCAACTCTATCTCTCTGTCTCCACCCTCGACTCCAAGACCAGGGAATGTCTGTCAGACATCAAGTCTTGGATGAGAGCTAATTTTCTTCAGCTGAATGTCAATAAGACTGAGGCTCTCGTTCATTGAGCCAATCTGGAACCTCTCTACCTCCACCCTCCGTTCCACGACAACTGACATCCTGACTTGTCTGTCTGACTTCAAGTCCTGGATGAGAGCCAACTATCTACAGCTGAATGTCGGCAAGACCGAGGCTCTCCTGGTTGCCTCCCGCCAGTGCCTCTGCACCTCAGGCACTGGCAGCATCAGCATCTACGGATGCACAATCCACCTCACCAAGCCAGTCAGGAACCTGGGTGCCTTGTTCAACCCTCAATTGTCCTTTTTCCCCCACATCCATGCTATGGGTTCAATTCCAGGCAGGATGAAACCTTGGGGATGTTTCCTTACTCTACACGCCTAATAATAATCTCTCCAAAACAATAATAAATTGGTCATTTTCAATCCACCACTGTTTGTGGAACACTGCTGTGTGCAATTGGCTGCCACGTTTCACCCACAAATATACGGTCAATTCACTTTACAGCATATTCTGTGAAACGCTTTGAGACGTCAAGAAGACGTGAAAAGCGCTATATCAAATGCAAGGATTATTATTATTATTATGACCCGCTGTGCCTTCCCCCACCTCTGCAACATTTCCCAACTCCGCTACAGACTCTCCCCTCGGGCCGCCAAAACTTGCATCCAAGCATTCAATACATCTTTGCTCGACTACCTGCTGGTCATCTCAACTCTTCCCTCCACAAACTGCAGATCATCCAGATCTCTGCAGCTCATGTCCTCTCCCGCACCAAACTCTGTGATCCTATTACCCCCACCCTCGCCCGGCTACACATCCCCCAGAGGATAGAGTTCAAAATCTTGTCCTTGACTTCAAATCCCTCAACGGCCTTACCGCTGTGACCTGCTAACTCCACATCGAACTGTCCGTTCTCATCACTCAGCAGGTTCTGGCCTGCTACACTTCCCCGCCCGCCTCACCCCATCATTGGCGGTTGGGCTTTCCACCTCTCTGCCCCCACCCCTTGGAATCCCATCCCACAGGCCCTTTGCCCCGCTCCCTTCCTTGCTTCCTTCAAGGCATGCTTCAATATCTTCATTTTCGACCGTGACTTTGGTCATTCTCTTACACCTGACCTTCCTCCTTCCCGATTCAACCCCTTGCTTGGGTCCAAATCCCTGATTGTCCTGCGCCTTAGGACATCCTCCCAACATGAAAGGCACTATACAAATGTAAGTTGTTGTTGTTTCCTTCATTTCAAAGACAAACATGTATATAGTCTGCTTGAGGCCTCAATACCCCCAGCCAATGGCTACATTTCCAAACTGATCACACAGGAGATCAAACAAGAGAGGTTTGGATGAAGAAGGGCCTTGGTTCATTTGATCTGATGTTTCCAGAATATTTATGCTACTATCCCCCCTTACAGCTTCAAACTTTTTTTTTTGTAATGAGTCCAGATTCCTGGCCTCAACCATCACCCCTCCTGATAATTAATGACTGGAACAGATTAACATCTGAGTAATTAAATACTTCTTGGTGTGGCTAGAAATTACCCTTTGAAAATTGTGCTCCCTATAAGTATGTTTATATCGACCACAAACATGTTAGACACATTAAGATAGCCAGAAAAGGCAAAGCAGATCTACAACAATTTGTTTTTGTAAATACAATTCCATCACATCTAAGCCTATGACAGATTTTATTTTCCACAAAGTGTTGTACCCAGGTATCTCCGCTTTTTATTTACATTGTTTGGATATTTAGTAAATAATGTTTAGATATATCCAGATAAATTTGTTAAAATGTAGATATGTACAAGAAATATTATAAATGAAAATGACTTTTAAAAATTGTATATTGTACAGAAAATCTCTCACAGGTCATTGCCAAATATGAAAGACATAAAATCAATACTGTTTTTTACCATATATACAGTGATAGTCATATAATCATAAAGGAAAATGCATTCAACAGTTCTGACAAGGAGTATCCAGCCTTGAATACACTTATAACAGGTCAACATTACCAAAATAGTTGTTTCAGGTACAGCTAAAGTGTCATGAATTCTAAAATATTACCACAGTTCAATAATTGCATAAGGCATACTGATTCAGTTATTTTACATTTAAAACTCTTAGTGGATCAGAGCAACTACAAAAAAAATCAGCTTTGACAATTCCTTTAGAATGCCTTGATCAATTCTTACATTTATTTTTTCCTCTCCAGAAGGTGTTCTTTCTATAGACACATTCATGTTGTCTTTGTGGTCAAAATGAATACAAAATATTTGCCCATTTTTAAGTAAGCAGATACGTTAGTGAGAAGAGACTAGAATAAGTATTGAAATGTAACAGTCCATACTCCTACAAAAAGGAGCTAACGTTCTATGTAGTACCACAGAAACATTTATGGTGCCTTTGCCTTTTTCTTCTCATTCAGTTGAAGTTGCTTGAGAATATATAGGACAACTTGATAGCAGTACACATACTGAGCCTGCACATAACACAATACAACACAAAATCTTAGAGATTATAATTATTGCACAAAATGTAGAGCTACTTATAGTGAAACCTCTAATAGAAGCCAATGGTTCCCCTGTGTTCCCTGGTGTCCAATCCTGTCTTTGTAAAACGCTTGGAGGGGTTATCCTACATGAAGGATATTATGTAACTGCAAGTGATTGAATAGGAAGACGGGACCTCGATTTAAAGTCTCATCCGAAAGGTGCCACCTCCAGTAATGCAGTGCATCCCCAGCACTATATTGGAGTGTCAGATTGGACTGTGAGTACAAAGTCACAATGTAGGGCTTGAATCCACAACTTTCTGTTCTTGTGGACATTAAATATCCAATGGTATTATTAAAAAAGAGAAGGATGTTTCTCCCGATGTCCAGCCAACAATCCCCCCAAAATCAAATCGGTCCTTCATTTCATTGCTCTTTATGGAACTTTGCTGAGTACAAATTAGCTACTGCATTGGTCCCCAGAATACTCAGTAAATCCTGTGAATAACTTTTGAGATATCCTCCAAACGTGAAAGGAGCTATATCGAATACCAGGATTAGATATTTTTAAACTGGTGACCAGGATTTGTCCAAAATAAATTTCAACAAGGAAAATACGCAGCCTATTTCCAATTTTTCTTTTGTTGGAGGACCAAAATAAAACTGCAGCACATAACACTCGGTCATCTCTATAGTTTTTTTAAAAAATATCTTTGAAACATTAGAACACTTGTAGCTTTTGCAACTTCTGTCCGTATATATTTATTATCAATGAGGTCATCATTGTTATCTTTTCACAACAACTATGGAGAATATTTTACCCAAGTGCAGTCTCCTGTAAACTGATCTATATAATAATGCTGCACACAACTGTTTGCAAAAACATTTGATATATTCCACTTGTAAGAGCTTGAGCTGCATTATTATTATTATTACTCTGAACTGCAAATTGCTGTTTCAGCCCTGCATGGAAGGGGTTATGTTCTTGAAAAGAGAAGAAACGCAGAGAAAACTTACCTCAGTCTGGATCATCCCATTCCTCTGGCTTCTCATAGTCTGGACAATCCAAGAAATGTCAAACTGTTGTAGAATAGAAATAAAAAGTCAGGAAATACTGAGTGTGTCAATCAAAAGATTTGTTTCATAAATTAATTAAAGTTTGAAACAACAGCTGTGGAAAGATACGTTCACAGCTTGGATGATACCAGCCCTCCCTGTGGCCACAGTATAATAGTGCAGTTTGAGGGAACCCTGCATGGAAATGTTGCCCCAGTGCAAACATGGGCATTTCCCGAGATAAATTCCTGAAATTCAAAAGATGGCGGAAAAAAGAAAGAGGATCTATGAGAAGGTAAATTTGGGCGTGGGGAGGCGGAGGCAAGGAGGAAAGAAGAGCAGCATGAAGATATCCAACATTGGAAATTAGCAGTATTTGATAATTTGTCCAACCAACAAGATGGAGCAGTTTCATTCATGTCTCTGCCCTTCATCAACTGTTAAAACTCAATTTTATCTTTATCTGTACAAGACAATCGTATTATTAAGTGCCTCCCTGGAGCATGGACTGGCCTCTAATATGAGTGTTCGGTAGACTCATGGCTACTGGAGTGTGATACACTTCGAGCTTCATGTGCTATTAAAAGGCTGACTCTTGGGTTGTTGTCAGGTCACTTCTGATGTCAATTCCTGTGGGTTGTACATGCTTCTCTGTGCAAGAAATTACTCTGCAAGGGAAGTGACCCCAGTGACAATTCCTGTGGATCGATCGCGCATTGCGTGGCAGCAACCTGATGACCCAGAAATCAGGCAATTTTTCACACTTCTTTTTCCTGTGAAATATTGGATTCACTCTGATATAATGGAGTTGGTTGCCGTGTTTCAGCATTATCTCTGCTTTGCAAATCTATTCTGCAATTCTAGTTTATAGAATACAAATTTACATTTATATAGCTCCTTTCATGTTGGGAGGACATCCCAAGGTGCTTAAAATTACAAGTTGAGAGCACTGGTGGGGATGGTGGGAAAGATAACTGATAGCACAATTCAGATGGACCTTGAACGAGGTAAGGATGGGAGTAAATCAGAGGGACTTTGGAATGGAGTTTCAAAGATCAGGGGCAAAGGCAGGACAATAGTTTTGTAAGCTAAGCGCCCTTATGTAGAAGAATCAAGTGCTTTCTTGAGCTGAGGAATAATACAAGTTAAATGATACAACTGAGGTTACAAAATTATTTATGAACATGAAGATCTTACAGATTTCTGTACATTTGGCTGGTAACAGTTAACTGTAGTGGATGCCACCTTGTCTTGTTAACAAAGGCTGATTATTGAGTGTTCAGAATTGCTTAAATATTCTCTATTCTGAATGAACACTTACATCTAGATTTCTGCTGATAAACTCTAACACTGCATCCAGACAAATGAGAGTCCCAGAACGTCCAATGCCTGCACTGCAATGGGTGATGATGGGGCCAGCACTGTGGATGTGCCTCATGTACGCCAGCAAGGTGACTAACTGCTCTGGTCCATCAGGAGTCCCATGGTCTGGCCAGGCAGTAAAGTTCAGGTGAGTTATGTGCCGTGATTCTCTGCTCTGTATCAAGAAAGAAACAGTATTGCAAATGCACAAGTAGCTGATAGCAAACCACAGAAATGTTAAACATAAGTAACCACTACCTTAAAATTAGCGTGAGATATAGTGAGTTTTGTTTGCAATTAGATTTCAGACCTCATAGCTGTGGAGCTAGAAATGGTGAAAAATACTCCTCCCTCCCCAATCACCATGGCCTGATTTGGCACAGGAATAGTTTTATACTTTGCTTTCACTGTAGTTACAGGAGGTTCTAATGAATAATGTACAGTGCCTTTCTTTTTCTTTTCATTTAATGTGTCCAACCCATTTTTCTGCCCACAGGCATATATGCCTCTGCTCCTGCCCTTAGCCTCTCAAGTTACGGTTTGCTTCCATGGTCACTGGTTGGCTCCCAGGCCATTGCTGAAGTGTGAGCCTTAGCAGTCAGTGTTGGCAGGCCACTCAACTGTAAGCATTTCACACTTTTGACCTCTTCTCACTAGTCTGTAACACATGCACGTTACAGTAGAAGTTGCTGTAGATTTTTGTGGTTAGCCAGTGTGTCTGACACATGCTTAAAAATTTCCAAAACAGACAGAATTCTATACACATATGCCACCCACCTACGTATGGAAATTTCCCTGTGAGGGTGGGAGATATAGCCTGCTTGTCTAATTCTGGAATATTAGGTGCTGGTTGATAAAAGCTAAGGTTTGGGGAATCTAAAATATAAGTTAGGGTGCTGATGGAGTTTAACCAGTTAAACTGCATAGCTTAACATTGCCGGCACTGTCCTTCCTGTTGCTTGTTCGCCTAGGATTACTCTATCCATTAGAGTTTTGGCTTGCAGGGTTAATAGGAGCGAAGTGCAGTGGGAACAATCCTTGCCCCCAGTGATAGCACTTTAAGTCCTGCTGATGAGCCAGGTTGGCTGGTCTTTCATCAGCAGTGCCTTTGAATAATGGGGACTACTCTGGCTCAGGAACTGGACCCAAGATTGACTGGCAGGACTTTGACAATTTGTTGCCAAATAAATCAGCTTGGAAGCATCTGAGTTCCAAAGAAACCCAGTTTACCACCACCGCCCCTCCCACAAAGGAGGATAGTCAAGGTTGTAGAAAATTACTAGGAGACCAAGAGTAGAACTAAATTTAGCTCATATCGTATGTACATACCTCCAAATCATCCATCTTGATATGACGAATAATAAAGTTTTCCTGCGCTTGATAATTCTCAAGGGTTATCTGAATCCTTTCATCTAATACTATTGATTTCCCCATAGGTTCTGGCCAGTATCTTTGACATTTGATCTTCCCTCCTTCCACCTCCTGGGTCATCATAGCAATGATATTGGACTTTTGTTCCCAAACCATCTGCCAAAAGTCTGCCAGTGTTTGAGGCAATGGTCCTTGAGATGCAATGTATACATGGTTTGTTCCACCCACTGGAATTTTTATGAAGCTGGCATTAACGTATCCATGCTCTTCTCCCAGAAGAACTCTTGTGCCATCATCTGTCATTAACAAATACAATTATTAACAATTGTAGGAATATCAGCTTTACAGCTAGAAGCCAAGGAACATTCCAAAGTGAACATGCAAACAGATTATTTGAAAAAAGTACCAAACAACAGATAGATCAACAGACTGAATGAGCTGAATAAAAATATTTCCCCGTTTGGAATTATTTTCTTTCCAGGATTTTCCTGCAGATTCTGACTCACTTTGAAGCAACTGAATCTTTTTAGCAATTTTTTAAAAATTTAATTGATTTTTAAGCACCACACTTTAGGAAGCGAATCAAGGCCTTGGAGAGGTTGCATATGAGATTTTCCAGAATGGTACCAGGGATGAGGGACTTTAGTTATGTGGAAAGACTAAAGCTGGGATTCTTCTCCTTAGACCAGAGAAGTTTAAGGGGAGATTTAATAGAGGTGTTCCAAATGATGAAGGATTTGATAGAGTAGATAGGGAGCAACTGTTCCAGCGACATGTGGGTTGGTAACCATGGGACATAGATTCAAGATAATTAGCAGATGAAACAGATGGGAGAAGAGGAAAAGATATATTTCACAGAGAGTTGTTATGGTTCTTCTCTTCAATCAAATTTTCACCCTTTGCTTCACCTATAGCGATGGCATCTGACTTTCTGTACTGGGATGGTTTATGGGTGTTCCTCACCCTAATTGTCATTATTCACATGAGCTTTGACAGGCTATTCAACCACAAGGCGTATTTACAGTCAAACCCCATCCTATCCTCACTCAATATCCATAAACATACACGTTCCAGCAGGTTCCTCTGAATAATGATAAGGAACCATGGCTAATTTTTGAAACCCTGATTTAGAGATTCTGAGTTGTTATGGAATGCACTACCTGAAAGGGTGGTGGAAGCAGATTCAATAATAACTTTCAAAAGGGAATTGGATAGGTACTGGGGAGAGGAAAAATTTTCAAGGACATGAGGAAAGAGCGGGGGAGTGGGACTGATTGGGTAACTCTTCAAAAGAGCTGGCACAGGCACGATGGGCCGAATGGCCTTCTTCTGCGTTGTAATATTCTATGTTGAAGTACTATTGCATTAGTGCCGGCTATCCTTAGTTTCTCTCACTATGGCAAACCCAGTGAGTATCAGCACTTTAGTTAACTGTGGTGTGCCTCATACATAAGGCTGATCCTGGCCGCCAAAGTGTATCTGCCATCTTACTTCACTGAATTAAGATAATAATAATCCTTGCATTCTTTGAGACTCCTGAACGACACGATAAGACGCTATATCAAATACAAGGATTATTATTATTATTATTTATAGAGTGGCTTCTCATGCCATCGAGACAGGATGCACTGTAAAGTGCATTGACTGCACTGATTTTTTATGTTAATCTAAAAAGGTTGTCAGTCATCAGCCAGCGAAATATATAATTCTCACAATTATATATTAAAATGAATTCTGAATTAAAATGAATTATCTCCAGTATTATAACCTTCTTGTTAATACTCACATGGAAGTATGTTTTTATATCGGTTCTTTTTCCTGTTTTCCTTTGATTGCCCAATTAAACATTCATCCAAAGGCTTCAGGTTTTGCAGATCCTAAAATACAAGCGTATTTCAACATGACATAACTCTATCTCTTGTAATTTTTTAAATTTACAAACAATTAGATATTGTTGATGTTCTTTTCAATCAAATTTTCACCCTTTGCTTCACCTATGGCGATGGCATCTGACTTTCTATACTGGGATGGTTTATGGGTGTATGACACCCACCAGTTCCTCACCCTAATGGTTATTATTCACATGATCTTTGATACGCAATTCAACCACAAGGGTTGTTTACAGTCAAACCCCATCCTATCCTCACTCAATATCCATAAACGTTCCAGCAGATTCCTCTGAATAATGATCAGGAATTGTGGCTAATTTTTGAAACCCTGATTTAGGAATTCTGAAGCCAAACATGGTGCCTCAAATGCTCTACTAACTGAGATCAGATAATTAACTTGAATCTGCAACAACAACAACAAAATTACATTTGTATGGCGCTTTTCACGTCGGGAGGACGTCCCAAGACGCTGGATAATCAGTGTTTTGGACCTGAGCTGAGCGGCGGGATTAGGGAGGGTGGAAGGCAGTCGGGGGGAAGGAGGGTGACCGAAGACACGGTTGAAAAGGTGAGTCTTGAGTAGGGCCTTGAAGGAGGCAAGAGAGGGGTCGAGGCAGAGGTACTGCGTGCTGGTGTTCCAGAGAGTGGGGGCAAAATAGCTGAAGGCCCATCCGCCAATGGTGCAGTGGGCGAGGCATGTGAAGCAGGCTGGAGCCTGCTGAGCAGAAGGAGCGAGCAGGTTGGTTGGGGGTTAGGAGGTCGCAGAGATAGGGGGGAGCAAGACCATGGAGTGCTTTGAAGGTGAGGACCAGGATCCTGAACTGTATCCTCTGTGTGATGGGAAGCCAGTGGAGTCGGGCAAGGATGGCGGTGATAGGTCACGGAGCCTGGTGTGGGAGAGGACATAAGATGCAGAGTTCTGGATAATCTGCAGCCTATGGAGGGAGGAGTTAGAGAAGAGTTGGGGAAGGCCGACAAGTAGGGAGTTTGCATAGTCAAGCCTGGATGTTATGAATAAGGTATGAGGGTTTCTGCGGCCTGCGGTGTGAGATAGTGGCGGAGCCGGGTGATAGCTTCTCATCCTGTTTGCATTTTCAATTGTCTTGTCTTTACCCACTTGGATATTGGACAAGTACATGGTGCAACAGTATTCTGAATTTACAAATAACTGAATTACCACTTGCAAATTAGTTTCACACCTACCTCAAACTCCTGCAATGGAATGTGTTGTTCCAATAGCCCTTGCAGGGTTTTAATGACGGCCTCCAGTTTGGAACCAGTGTACTGGCCACCTGGAGGAGTATCTACCACAGAAAGCTGGTTTAGTTCATCTTTAGTTATGTTTTGTTGATCTGAAATACCAAGAAAACAGTTCAATATAATTGAATCTTTATACCACAGCAAAACTGACAAAATACATTATCAAACTGCAGAGATGCACAATGATAATGATTAAAATGGATTGATGTTTTTAAACCCAATCCTACACTACGTCAATCTGATTCTGAAATGCTTGCTAAAGAATTGATTTTTATGTACTCAATAAAATGCAATTTCTTGCTCAGCTTCTCACACATAAAACAATACTACTTTTAATCTCTTCACTTCACCCCTTACTTCTTTGGTTTCAAAAGAAGTTTAAAGAACTACCTTTGAACGTGCCTTTGGGCATCTACCCCCTACTGGTCTTCTTTCCCACCCAGCTCAGATTCCCACTCAGTATTCGTGAAGCACTTTGAGCATTCACTTTATGTGAAAGGCACTAAGTCAGTGCAATTTGTTGATGTACTGAAACAGCTCAAGGTTGTTGTAGTTCAAGGTTGATGCAGTACAGTTAACAAAGAAAAAATGTATTTTTTTTTACCTAAGGGTAAAGGATCTTGCTTAACCGAATTAATTGGTAGTTCATCACTCCCCCAGGTAATCTCATCTTCCTCTATATTTTCCATTTGCGACATACTGGGCACCCTGTCAGAAATTAACAAAGGTTCACTCAGTTAGCACAGCATTGTGAATATAGATCAGCACATACCACATGATCAAGTAATGAGTGTATCACAAGGTGGTTAAAGTGACCAAGATAAAATTGCTGATTTCAGTCTATGATTTCATGCTTCAGAACAAGTGCTAGAGCTACATCTGCAATTATTCTTTCAAATCACACTTCTGTTTTATGATAGAATGAGTTGCAGGGAACCTTTAAACGTCAATCTGAATTGTTGCTTCATTTTGGAGTAGACTTTATGATTCCTGGCTGGGGAATTTGGGAGTAGAAAACTCACTGAAAATTTAGCCAAGGTACAACACAAACTCCAAACATTTTTATGGATCAAAATTACACATAAAGGTCGAAAAAGATCTTTGCCTTCCTCCAAGGCAAGGATCTTACCTAGAGTTACCTTATGATGAAAACAAAGAAGGGAATTAAGATGCTGCAAGGCCAGCGTACTTCGATACTGCAATACTAAAAATAACAAATTGCAGCTGCACTCAAAGTCAAGCTTGACCTGCCCTTCACAAATCTGTGTCAGAACCAATCTGGAGCTTCTGCAAGTGTTGATAAATTCCTTCCAACATTTACCGCAACTTGATTCTGGGTACGTTGCTTACTGCAGTTAATATTTGATGCAACATAATTACATTGTTATTCATTACAATTATTTAATCTTGGAACATTGAGCTTGTGTAAAACACTCTCAATATATCATTGTGACATAGCATTGTGACATTGTGAGTCAATGTGCATTCATTAAGGTTGCATTATGCAGTGAATTTGTAACGTGAACATGAGCCGCTACTTGGAAATGCATTTATTACAGTCCTGATTTCCAAACCTCAGCCTGTAAGACCATTTTAATTAACATTTATGCAAAATTTTTAAATTCGGTATTAATTTGGAAGCCGGGTTTCCCCATTTCTTAAAAATAATCGTCTTCCACGTTACGACTGGTGAATTACGCGGTGACTAAGTTGGCCATGTAAATGTGAAGCTAATGTATAGATAAATGTAAAGGATGACAGTCAAGTACGAGCTTAGCTCTTCACATTTCCATGCTTTTAGTGTATTACCTTTTTGATATCACATCTTCAACGGAACACTCTTGAATTGCTTTCTCAATTTCTGTTAGAGGAGGGGACATTGAGGAATGAAACCCATTTTTTCTTCTTGGCTGCTTATAAAAAGAACAAACATCAGCTTTTACACAGATTTTGTGCAGATTATTGTGATAAGAATAAAACTCAATAGAACCATACAAATTTATACAAAACTTAACTATTAAAAATTAGACATTTCATATCGTGATCTTGTTTATCCAGCAAAAGTAAAGTAAAATCATAATATACATCCAATTATATTTGGCTGTATACAGCTATTTGGAGATTAACACTGCACAAGATCATAGTGTAGACCTAATAGAAGTCTAGGGTTGCGCAGAAATATTCTGGCATCATCATGGACAGTATTGATGGCTTAAACTGGACTGTTTATCCAACTAAACAATTCAGGTTTGCAGTCAGGATAATCTAATCCAGAGTATTGGGTGTATACTCATCAGATTATTCCAGATCCCATTTGAAAGACGATTTATCTGTATATAGAGCCTTTCATGTTGTGAGGATATCTCAAAGCGCTTCACACACTTGATAGGTGGCCTGAACAATTACCTGAAGAGACAAGGGGAAAGGTTGCCAAAAGCACTGTCACTGAGGTTTAAGGTGGGTTTTGAAGATAGAGAGGGAAGGGGCAAATAGGAGGAACTCCCTCTGCAATCTTTCAGTCCTTCTGTCCCCATTCTGTCTCTGAAACGGTTCAGTGCTTTCTGCATATCCGGTTACAAACGGTCTTCAGCGTCGGTTGTAAAAATAAGATTACCTCAGGAGAGTCTTCAGGCAATGAGGAACCTTCACAGTCTGTATCTTCAGATTTAACAGACTTTTCCTGGTCCTTCTGTCCACCTATCCACTTAAGAGCATCAGATCCCACCATATCATATGCATCGTTCTCTGTCCAAAAAATAAAACCATACAGATAGTCTTTTTGTTGAACACATCAGTGTTTGGCATAATAAGTTTTTGGATGTACATTTATTAAACATTGTTACTGAACACATTTGAACGAAACAGCCCCTTCACCTTTACAACCATAGTTCAATACAGCCCTAAACTGATGGGATGAAAACCTCCTTTATCTGTTATTTATAGGAGTCCTATGTGAAATAAATCTGGCAAGTTTCAAATAGATGGAGAGTTCAGCACAAATTGTCTGGTATGGAAAATGGAACATTTACATTGGAGTCTATTCTGAGGTGGAGTTAAAGGTCACTGTTGAAATTCGCTACTATAGTTGTTGGAAAGCTTGAGAGGAGCAGCCTAGGAATTTGGTTGAGTAGGGTACCTTGTTTCTTAACTGTGGGGCCCACACTCTGTGAATGAACCAGTCTGAAGGAGGTTATTGAATCCAAAAGGGCTGGTTCTCTCGAAGATGTCGCCCCAAAAATGAACATTCTTTCAATGCTATACAAGCAATCTTTCTTGCTATGAAACAAAAAAAACTATTGCAAATGGCTCATGAGGTTCATCAGAGAGGCCTGACAAGCACCTAGCAACTATCAATCATCCAATAGCGGGTGACAGATTAAGCAGGTGCCATGTGTCACTGCAGACACGATAATCCACAATCAACTCAAATGTTAAAACTATGACCTGGCATCTACTGACAGATAATGGTGAATTGAGACTTGTGGAAATGTGACTAACCCATGTTCTGATGACATTTTATTAGGTGCATTAATATCAAGTTATTTGAAAATATTTAATTGAATTTGTTGTAAAAACAACAAATTCAATTAAATCTCTGATCACCCAATCTATGCACTAATTAATACAAATTGTATAAAAATAAATTAATCATCACTTTCCTTAATCATCATAAGAACTCATTGATTACCACTGAATTAATATTTTTCTTAATTAAGGTCTTAATATCTAAATTAACCAAATTCAATTATAGTGTGAGATATGAATTACACACCTGGTACAGCATATGTATCAGCCAGTATCTCATTTGGTTGATTCAATTAAGTTTTTTATTTCAATCATACTCTTAACTATGCTCTTAATCTTATCCATACACCTACAAATACGGAGTCACTACACATTACAGTGAATTCTGGGAAGCATTTTGAGACGTCCGCCTGACATGAAAGGCGTTACATGAAATGCAAGCACTATTATTACAGTATTATTTTATCCTTTTTCTTTCTAAATTATGTTTTCTTTTCAATGTAGTCATATTTCTATCTTGGCAGCTTGACAGTTTTTTGAGAAAAAAAAGCTATATCTCAACTCTTACCATCTGCTTTATTTAATCTTCTCCTTCTCAGGGGTTTGTTCCTTATCCTCTCCTCGCTAAATATTTCCCAATCTTTTGGGCTTCCTCCAGCCTTATACTCTGCCTTTTGCAGCTGGACCCCTTCAACTGCTCAAACTGCCTCTGCCCAGATCCTAGAGCATTAATTTGAAATGCCAATGTTTCAACCTTTGAACTTGTTTAAGAGACAACCGTTTTTATCAACGGCAGCTTCATAACTGACCATCTGTGTGGGATGTCAAAGATCAGGCTGGTGATCCCCACTGCCCAAAGCACATTTCAGCTCAACGTGTGACTGACTGATGTATGCAGTTTTGTTTTGTTTAAAAAAATGAGTTCTATTAGACCATATATATCCATGCATATCTTCCCCCCATGCCATTCCAGATCAAACAACTGGTGGGCGTAATTTTCAACAGTTGTTTTTTGTTTATTTACTATAACCAACCCTCCCATGTTCTCTTCATATTTTATCTCATGGGTAATTTCCATAAAATTAAGTTGACTGTCGTTTTATACAAAGATTTTCCTCTATGAAAATTTGAAGATATGTTCAGAAAAGTGCCTGTGGGAGGGGTGGGGGGCAGTATCTTGTCCTATTTGTAGGAAAGGATTTATTCTGTCATTAACAATCAAGTCCCTTTCATTGGTTGTTAATTACAAATTTAAGTGTACTTTTGATCCATTCTATATATGTGTTCACACATGGTTTACACGTGGCGCATAATAGATGCCAGTATTAATTTGGAAAGCTATGAGGTACATGGACAAGATATTACTCACCTTTTTGAGAGAGCAATGTGGAGTTTTCATCAAATAGAAAAAGGACAAATGGTGTTGCTTCATGCAATGAGGGTGAAAGAACAATTGTTTCAATAACGGGACCTCAATAATTGTAATGAACCAGTATGAAAATAGCCAAATAAATGAGAGCCAACTCTGCTTCAGAAGGAGTAGATCTTAATCAACCAACGTTAGGTAATTTTGAGGAGGTGACATTCAAATTGAATAGTAAGAAGTCATAATGAAGTAGTGCAGCCTAATGTTCAAAAGGCTTTTACATGTACCACACAAAAGATGCTTTTAACTAAAATCTGTGTGTTTCAAAGAAATGACATGGAGATTAGTAATTAGCTGAAGGGAAGGAAGCAGAGGGTAATCATTACAGAGTTTGGTTAAAAGGAGGAGAATTATTGAGTGCAGTGCCTTAGGGAACCATGCTGGAACACTTCTTATTGATGTACATAATTGAACTTAATTTGCAGATTCAGTGCAAAGTTGTTAAATGCACAGATAACTAAGCTAGAAAACTGTAGACTCAGGGGAGGTAGATATGTAATTTGTGACATATCAAGCTAAGCTGATATGTCACAGATGATGCTAAATATGGACAAAAGCAAAGTACTGTATATTAGAAGCAAAGATAGAAGACTTGTGTATTTCATGGATATTTTTTTCTAGGGGTAACCTGAAAGAGACCCAGGAATTATACATCGACTCTGTGATCACCATTTTCAATGAAAAGCAAACATAACGCTGATCTTCTCTGCCAAATCAAATCCCTGCAATTCATGTTTAAGCTGTACAGTACTCTGGTTAGGCTGCACCTGGAGTATATAGTTCCAGTTTCCATGATAGAAAAGACCTAGCTAGGCTTTTAAGAGGAAGCAACAAAATTGATCCCCATCGTTAAAGAGATGAACAGTGAGGAATGATTCAATAAGATAGGGCTCTTCAGTCTTAAAAAGAGAGGTCTTGTAAAGGTATGCAAGACATTTAAGGCTAGAATAAGTAAAATAATTTCAGATATTCCAAGACCAAAAGACAAGAGGGCAAAGGTTCAGGGATCATGGCTGTGAAGGTCACGTTTACAGCGACATCAGGAAGTATTTCTTTATACAGAGGCAAATAGGCAGTTGCAAAGGGACACAAAGAAGAGTGATTGAGTCTAGAGTCTTGGACATTTTTAAGAAACAGCTTGATGCTCTAACAGGAGTTTGCTGTAAAATAGTTGCTTCTGTGTGGCTGCTGTGGATTCTGCATACAAACAACTGACAGCTCAGGAGTTTGCAAAGCCGTTTCTATTTGAGCTCCAAATTACAAAAAGCAGTATCGGAGATAGATGTATCAGTTTGGTTTTGTAACAGAAAATAAAGTAATGTTTTCATGCAGCTAAAATTCACCATCAGTTTCCATTCAAGCAAAGCAGGCTGACGGTGGAAAGATCATCAAATAAATTTCCCTTCCCCTCCCCCGAACCCTTAGAAGAGGTTACCTGGCTGTGGAATTTTTGTTGGAGAGTTTATTGGGCTGAAACAAGAAAGTTTATTGGCTTCTTGATGAATAACATCCAACAAGGACTGCAGAGCTTCAGCTTCTTTGGCAGTGATGTCTGAATCAAATAAGGCAGGGGAAAAATACATTCAAGTTTGGCAGAGATACGGTTGGATTACTTCAGTAGTCCTATAAGAAGTCTTCATGTTAAATTGATATAGATTATAAGCAGATCCAATCATAAGAACCTGCACATTCTAGTCACGGCAGTTTGCTAGAAACTATTTTCAGTTCATTTGGTGCCTCAAAATAAAATTGCAACAGCTAAACTGATTTTCGCCATTTTCGATGATCAGCAGGTGTTCGACACATGCCATGCAGAAAGTCTTCACCACGCTTAAGAGTATCCAAACCAGTCTGAGAGTTTCACATATGCATGCCACCTTCACATGGAAATTTTCCTAAGTCTGGAACTGAATGTGCACTCTCTACTCGGAGGAACGCACCCTGTTTGACTTCTACAAATATAGTCAATTCACTTTACAGTATATTCTGTGAAGCACTTTGAGACATCTAAAAGACGTGAAAAGCGCTATATCAAATGCAAGGATTATTATTATTATTATTATCTACACCAGTTATTATTTTATCTAAATTCAGGCCAATTCATTTCTGCATTTTAAAACGTACCAGGGAAATTCAATGTTTTGAAATATATAATTTTGAAATATGGACAGCTTCTTACCCACCAGGAACCTTTAATTGTATCATTCTGGAACAAGTTTCATTCAGGCCCCAGAGATGAAAGTAAAGGGTGGCAACTGGCAATGACTCACTCCCCCTTTTTCAATTTTAAAATAAAATTGCATTAAATTATTACATTGTTTTGAGTTTTACTCTTACCTCCACTTTGTGAGTTGTTGAAAGAACACATTGTATCAACATTTCTGATCAAAGGCCTCACTTTGTCTGGGGACTTTGTCCTGGAGACAACTAAGTTGACCAGTCCCTTGGCTTTGCGGATTGTTGTCACTGCTTTAGTGTGGGAAGCTCCAACTATAGATTCTCCATTTACCTGTAGTTAAAGAATACAGAAAATGGAAGGTGTAGGCAAGTTATCACCACATCTTTAGTGCCCCCTCCCCCACTTGCTGGTTTATATAGGGTTAGAAAGAGAAATAGTAATAATCCTTGCATATGATAAAGTATCTTTTCACATCAACAAATGTTTCACAGGATTTACTGTACATTTGTGACTATTTGTAGGCGAGACTCGAAAACAAAGAAGATTCAAGAAATTATAATAAGAGACATGATTCTGTTTTTGAAACGATATTTATTTGGGGGCAAAATTGAATGGTGGTTTGGAATTCTCAAGAACTTTGGGTTAAGTACCTTTTCTTTGTTATTTAGCAACTCAGTATTTCATTAAATGAAGGATTTCTCCTTCATGAAAAGGGAACACATTTTTTGTGATTTTTTAAAAAATATTGTGTTTGGTGGATTTTTTTAAAATAACAACTTGCTTTATATATTCATAAATATATAAATATATACATTTATTTATAAATATATTTATATATATATATAAATATTTATAAATAAATATAAATAAATATATATACAGGATGTGGAGTCCTGTAGCTCAGTGGTTAGAGCACTCGCTTTGCAAGTGAGAGACCTGAGTTCAATTCCAGGCAGGGCGAAACCTTGGGCAAGTTTCCTTACTCCACACGCCTAATAATAATCCCTCCCAAACCAAAAACAATAATAAATTGGTCATTTTCAATTTACGACTGTTTGTGGGATATTGATGTGTGCAATTGGCTGCCGCATTCGCCCACAAATATACAGTCAATTCACTTTACAGTGTGTTCTGTGAAGCGCTTTGGGACGTCCTCCCGACGTGAAAAGTGCTATATCAAATGCAAGGATTATTATTATTATTATATATGTGCCTTACATATAGAAAAGTCTCATAGTGCTCCCCAGTGACGAAGTGGGAGATCAAGTAGAATGGGAAATAGGAGGTAGTCAAAAATGTGGATTTTTAGACGACTTTTGAAAGCAGAGAGGGAGGGTGCACAGTGGAGATATTTAAGGTGGAGTGAGTTTCAGAGAGCAGGGGCAAAGTGACTGAAAACTGTCCCACTAGTCATGAGATAAGTTAACAGAGTAGAAGGAGCAGGACCACAGATATCACAGAAGTAGGATGGGGGCAAGACATGACGGCATTTGGAAGTTTAGAACAAGAATCTTAAAGCTGATCCTCTGAGGAAAGGGTAGACAAAATATATTTTAAAATAAATTAAGTATGATATTTATATTTCCTCTAAATTTCTGGACTCTTCTGTTATTGCATGATCTTTTAATAATAATTTTTTTTTAATCAATTATTTTATGAGAGAGTTCCTATATATTCCATCTTGAACAGCACATATCCATTATAAGCTTTTCTTCCTGATGTTGCACAAGTTTTTGCTAATGACATATCACCAGCTCGGCTTATTAAGGGGTGGTTCTCTGTTCCTGGTAATCTGTCAGATGTCAGCTGCAAATGTATCTTGTCTTATTCATTATCAGTTGGTGTTTTCCTGAACTGGTCAGTGATAGCTTGTATTAAAGCTTAATCATTATAAAACTACTTGCCGGTTACTGGTTTCAAAGATAAAAATTGTCTTATTTTCCTTGATTTGGAAAAAACTGAAAAACCTATGTGATTTTAGAAGCGCTGCTTTGTATTGCACCAAAGTGTTGTCCATAGCAATCTTACAAACCGTACAACCATAGTAACCAGAAGGTGATCATTTTGTAGTCAAAGAACACAAAAAAATTGATAAAATCCCCCCCCAAAAAAAAATTAATATAAAATATGCTGAAATTTAAAAATAATAAAAATGAAAACTGGCAACCCCAGTTATACTTTCAAATTTACCATCTAATTTGGTTGCATTTACAACCGGGGAAAATAATTTGAAATGTTTCAACATATAGGCACTATATCAAATACAAAGCTTCCAGTTAATAAGAAATGTTTGGGTACCAAGTCACAAATGCTGCATTTACTTACACTGTCTGCTTGATGAATAATTGTTGAGATTCCCTGCCAAACGTACAGTATAAACTGGAATTACATATATGAGCTGCCCCGCTCCTGACAATACTTGGCAGTGGTACCTTAAGAAGCAGTGCTATTTGCATAGTATAATATGGCACACTAGACCCCTTCCAATAGGCTCCTCCTTCAGTGCTCTATTGAACTGCTCGATCTGAAGAGAGTGATTTTAATGTTATTAAACAACGGATTGCATGATTGGCTTTTTAATAATACCGGAGTGTCATTTATGATTTAAAGTTAGAAATTTCCTAAGTATTGAATATGGTTTACCCAAATGCATTTCAGGTGGATCTCCCCCCACCTGATACCATTCTCAATGTCAATATCTGTGAAGCTGAGTTCACTTCAGATCGTGGCTTTTGACTACCAGATAATGCTGTTGCAGCTTTTTGCTGAATAAAAAAAAACTCCTCAGAGTTATGGGTGGTCTAACACTGTCAGGACAAACTTGTTTGGCTGTTTCACATTCCCAAACCATCCATTCCTTTATAAGTGAGCTTATTTATGGGCTGCAGGTATGGGTTGGCGATGCTCGATTAAAACAGGAAAATCTCTTTAGTGTCTGACATTGCCAGATATTACGCAGATTGCCGACTGGAATTTTGCCCATTTGATTTTCTGATATCAAAAGCAGATGTTGATTGTTACCTGGAGCAATTTGTCACCAACTTGTAGCCTTCCATCCTCGGCAGCTGGCCCAGACGGATGTACACTCTTTACATAAATACCATTCTCACCACCTACTAGGGAGAATCCTAGTCCTCCTGAGGCAGGTTTGTGCAGATCAATTTCTGTTACATTACTCTACAAAGAAGAACAAAGGTATTAAATTTCCACTGAACTTTGATACTAACCCAATATATATTGTGGAAACAAAACTCGTTTATTTGCAAAAACAAATAATCTCATGTGTGAAGGCTTTATTACTATTTATTTACAACAAGGACTAAAGCTACTGTGAAAAGATGCACAAACAGACCACAATTAAACCTCAAAATATGATGAGTATCTGTGTAACAAGTATTGCTAACATGCAAAGCACATTTTTTTTTGAAGATCACAGCACAGGTTTGAAGGCAGAAAAATCTTCAATTAATTTGATCTCATCCTTTCAGAATACCTATCCTACTGTTTTCCCATTACAGCATTAAGCTTTCTTTTAAAAATAAATGCAATGTCCTGCCCTCAGGGTGAAGAGATCCTGCTTTGTATCCTAAGATTTCCTTTCACACCCTGAACCTCAACCCCTTGTTCTGCTACTTTAACATATTTGAAAGTATTGATACAGGGTTACTTGCTCTATCCTATTATGCATTTCATGTGCCTTTTTTGCCAAGCCGAGAAACCAGATTGTATTCAGTTGTTCCGTGTAGTTTACTCCTCTAACCTTGAGAGTCTTTCACTGGGCTCCACTGCATAGTCATGAGAAATGTACACTCCAGCCTGATCAGAGCACTGTACAGCTTGAGCTAAAGGTGATCAAAATTCTTTAATCTCATTTCCTGTTTAGTTTAGCTTGCACAACATTTATTCAGTGCTTTGAAATAGTCTGTTATATGAAAGGCTGCAAATACACATTGTTGTTGCTGGCATACCTTCTAAGCTCAAGAATACTGCCTTCTGTTGACTGTTTCCTCATATTATTTGGGAACTGAGTAACAAGTCAATGAACAAGCCTTGGTAAATCTTCATATGATTATCACACTCCTTTCTTCTCCCTTTACTTTGCCTTGTGAGTATTCTTCCACACAAGAGATTCACAACTTTTGTGATATAAAAGGGTAGCCAGAACACACAAACATTTAGAATCACAAATGCAATATATCTAAATTGAGTTCTGCCAAAAAAAAGTCAAAGAGACCTTCAGGATTGAATCTGTTTGATTAGTTAATGCAGAATACAATTTGCTTTTGAAAATTGAGACAAAAAAGGTTAGCTGTAATTTTGACCACATATTCATAATTTGTCAGATACTATAACCTCCAGTTTTTCTCTTTGATTTATACAATGGTAAATATAGATTTGTACCTCTGATATGTACACACCAGGTACTGGATTAGAGTCACAGCTCAAGTCTCCGTGGATATGTCCTACAAAAAGAAGTAGCATTTAAAACCTAAACTGCAATGAACTCAGGAATTCATAGCCACAAGGAAATCTTATTCAATGAGCACAGATAAATTTATGCTTTATGAACAATAATAATCCATGCATTTGATATGGCACCTTATCACATACAAACAAAAAGTGTTTCACAGATGTTTCTAGAAAGCATAGTGATGGATGTATTTATAGGTGAACACAGCAGTCAATTTGCACAGAGCAACATTCCACAAACACCCATCAAGTGAATGAACATATAAGAACACAATATATGCTTTTGTGTTCTAAGTGAATGAACATTTGTTTTGTCTGGGGATTTGTTGGCCAGGACAGCAGGAGAAACTCCCTTCTCTTTTTAATTTGAATAGTGCCAAGGGAGCTTTAAATTCCATCTGGATAGGCAGGATGGGACATCGGTTTACCATCTCATCCAAATGAAGGCACTTTCCAGCACTGCACTAGATTGTCAGCCTTGATTATAAGTTTTAAATACTAAAGTGGACATTGAACCAATGACCTTCCGATTCTAAGGCAAACGTGCTACAAACTGAGCCAGGTGACACCTAACTTCAGAGAGTCTGAATGTGAGGTATTTTAGGTTGAATCAACAGTATTTTCTGCCAACCGATGACAAAGGCTCATTCAATACTGGTTATGTAATTCCAAATGGTAAAATTGCTCCAAAAAGACTATAGTATGGTATCATGAGAAACCAACTAACATGAGCAACATTTGTAGTACTGTATAATACACCATTTTATGATACACCATTTTATAACAACGGTTTGAACTATGCCAAATCATGAAATGCTGGGCTGTCCTGTGAACACACACTCTCTGGATGATTAGAATTCAGGGCTCAGATAAACATTGGTTGAAGCAGAATTCATATAATTTTTAAGAGGGGGGCTGGATAAATATGTGAAAAGGAGAAATATAAAAAAGGCTATGGGGAAATGGCTGGTGTATGGGGCTATATAGGTAGCTATTTCAAAGACACAATAGGACAAATGGCCTCTTTTTGTGCTGGAACTACTTATGGTTCTATAGTGAAAGGGAGGACACAAGTACATTTTTTAAAATTTAACTCTGATAGCCATTGTTCAGGTTTTTTTTCTGATCATAAAGAAACAATTGGACTTATTTTAAATCTCTCGCAACGTAGCATTAACGTGGGTCCTTCTTCACATGCAATTCAGAGGCAGGCCAAAATGGATGGCTGGTATGAAAAACATATCACACTCTTACACTAAAGTGTCGCTTTCTGAAGTGGAGGTGGTAAGATAGACTGTCTGTGGAGCAGTAGATGAAGGTACAGTGTAGGATGTGGTGTACCTGACTTGGCAGTGCTTGATGGTGATGATGAGTATTTTGAAAATGGAAAGTGGTCTTTTCACAAACACAAACATCTTTTTGCCAAATTTGAAACGTGTATAGAATGAAGCTTTGTCAAATTTTATTTTAATTCAAGAAAAAGTCTTTAGATATTCTGGATGTTTTACATAGAATAGAAACAAGAGAATTCCAGGGTTCAGGCAATGTCCTTTTCACTTTGCCCAACCCAAGTTGTAGGAATTATGAATGATGATTTACCATAAAACAGCTATATTTCAGGTCAAGTTGATCGACTATTTTTGAGTAAGTTTTAGCTACTTATTTGACACTTTTTTGGTTGATACACTGCGCTATTAGGTGCAATTATTTGAACGCTGGAAGTTGATATACTTTCCATTTTCTTTTCCCATTATAGGTATCTATATCTCACAAATAAGGTTAGACGTAGATTAAACCTCATATCCAAAGTGTCAAACATCCCTAATGCAGTGGTTCCACTTTCTTGATTGTCTAATGTTCCCTGCTTTAGACAGTCATATTTAGTACCAAAATTTGAAATTATAGCATTTTGGAACTGCTAGGAATTTTTGTAGAAACCCTAATAATCGCAGCCATTTGCAAACAGCTGGCATTGAAATATGGCTACTTATAGAATATATTATAGGTACAGATGGGATACTTTTTTGACAGTCTAATGATGACAAATGTATCAGTGATTATAATGCACTACTGTAGAATTAGCCCCAAGTCCCATTCCCAAAATAGACCTGTTCAAATCAGTGAAGCAATGTTCTTATGGCACCTATAAGCTATTTGAGAAACATGTACAGTCTGGTAGGAACGAAGTGCTTTGTTCCACTAAAGCTTGAAAAGCACATAGGTGGACATTAGCAAATTCTAACCTGACTGAGAAGGCTGAGGAGTGTTTAGTTTCCTTTGGAATTAGGTGTGGAATATGACACCAGTAAGTGATTCATCTACCTGTAATAAGCACTGAAATCTACATTTCATCCCAGTCTAAATCAGAAACTGCAAAAGCATTCAATTCAGGTCAGGATTTAGTCAGAGAAATCTGTGCTGAATCACCAAAGTGATACAAACCCTCGAAAATAAAGCTAAGGGAACACAGCGGCAATGTCATAAAACTGCTGAATCTGTTGAGCACGAAACACATTGCTGTTTGAATCACATTGATAAACTCATTGATAGGTTTATGCTATGACCTGAATCTTTTGATGCATTTACTGTGTTCTACCGAAGTCCAGGCTTATGTCCATTTATTCCTGTTTAATAACTAGGTGTTTGCTTGACTCAGTTGGTAGCACTCTTGTCTCTGGGTCAGAAGATTGTGGTATGAAATTTTGAAATCATGGTTTTACCTGATACTCTAGTGGAGTTCTAGGGGAGTGCTGCATTGTCAGAGGTGCTATCCTTCAGAAGATATTAAACTAAGCTCCCACTTGCCTGTGCAAGCAAATGTCAGTGATCCCATGATACTATCTGAAACAAATGGAAGTTTCTCCCAGTGTCCTGGCCACACTCCTCCAGATAAAGTCACCTGTTTGCTTTGTGCAAAATGGCTGCCGTGATTGCTTATAAGAAACAGTCACTATACATGACAAACATGGTGAAGAGCTTTGGGATGTTTTGACATTATGCGTGCTTCACCAAATTAACTTTATTTGTTGTATGTCATTCTATTCTTTGGCTGAATGTGATTCAATACGATACAGTTACATTTATATAGCAGCTTTCATGTTGGGAGGACATCACAAGGTACTTGATACTGCTGGGAAAGCACCTGAGCTGTGGTGGGAACCAAGTGGGGTAGAGTGGATAAAGATGACTGAGAATGTGGTTAAAGAGGTAGATCTTGAGATGGACCTTAAATGAGGTAAGAGATGAATTGGAGGGACTCTGGGACAGAGCTCCAGGGAGTGGGGGCAGAAAGGCCGAAATAGGAGGGAGGGACATCAAGCAGGCCGGTGATCTCTGAGTGAAGTTGGTGGCCGGGTCAGATGTAATAACAAATTTAAATAAACGTTCAGGAAAAAAAAATTCAGAAAAAAATTCCCGAAAAGTCTTACCATTAACTTCAGCAGATTTATTTAGCTTTGAATCTTTGTCTTTATCGTATTTGTAGAGAGAATCCACTGTTTTGGGAACAACTGGCTCACCATCTCTGCAAATTTAAAAAAAAACAATGCTTTAATTGTAGGTTTTATAAAAGGGATTTATTCATAGTGAATGATGACATTTACATAATATGATCACATATGTATTTAATTGTTGTAATATTGGGTGAGCATTCAATATCATTATTTTTCATTTGATTTTGCTGCAGTATGAATCTCTGATTGTATCTTTAGCATGTCATAAAACACTTAACTCTCAATGAAAGGAAAATATATTTTTCATCTCATCAGCAATGAAATATATTAGAATTAAGAAACCAACTACTATACTAACTGCTCTATTTTCTTTATTCAGAATTGAACTTTAGCCCAAATGAGGAACAAGATATTTGCATTCAATTTTTGAAAGGGTTCAAGCTATCTTATTTAAATCTGACAAATGATTTCTTTATTCCTGGGCATGAATAGGCACATAATCTAGATTGCACCGTTATTTGCTTCAACACCTATTCATAATCAATTCACACTGAACCAAGTGAGACCAGGCATTGTCAGGTGAAAAACTATTAAGCATCTGCACAGGTGTGGATAAACTAAACACAAAATTTTCTCCCCAGTAGCTGCTAATTCAATACTGGATCAGGTTTCTATTTAAATGATCAGTGTTGGAGGGAGGGAGGATTGGAGGAAAGAGAAGAATTCTCCAAAAGACAATACTTATTCTCTGTTAGCCAGTAAATTACTGAAAATGTCACACTAAATGAGTGTGATTTTTTAATTAATATTTTCTTTTTTTAATATGACATTCTATTTTTTGGCTGAACGTGATTCAATACAATACAAAGAAATTACATTTATATATTGCTGTAAAACATAATTTCATTTCAGATCACATTTCAATCTCAGTCACGCAATAAGATCCTTCAGGGAGCCACAATGGAAGAAATATGGTGGCTGTAGCAGATTAATCCAAATGCAAAGCATGGAGTGGAAAACAGTGCATGTGTTGTAAAGCTCAATCCTGTTTTTAATGATATCCTTCCAGAAGGTGAACCTCAAACAAATGTGATTGATGCAAAAGGGTTAAACACAACTCAAAGTTTTTAACCATTCAACATGCTGGTTATTCTGAGCAATAAAACATTTTAGTCTCATGCTGTGCTATTTCTGCAAAAGTGCTTCAACTCGAAGCAGCTTTGTAATCTCCTGGGTTTGGGTAGAGTTCCACAGGCATTAGCCACCCTCCATCACCTTATATAAGCAACCAGGCTTCTTATTGAACTAGACAGTGAGTGTTTGAGCTGGGGAAGGGATAGAAATGATAGCCAAGTCTATCCAGAACAGTTTGTCAAATAGCTATACTTGGCTACTTTTGAAGTGCTCTCATACAACAACTTGCAAACATATAATGTAGCATTGTTCATGTGGGAACAATAACATGTTAGTTTCATAAAGTATAAAGCTTTTCACATCAGAAAAATATCTCAAGGAAATTCACACAATTGACTGGGAGCTTGAGCTGAAGATGAGGGGAATCTGAGGAGGAAGGTGGTCAAAAGCACATTAGAAGGCAATTTGGAAAGTAGAGAGGGAGGAAAGCGATTCTGGGATGGAGTTCCAGCAACACAATGCAGAATGGCTCAAGCCTAGATAAGCTGATCTCTAAAGGGTGAATTCTACAGGACTGGGTATCAAGTCAAAGAAGCGAGACAGCGAGAAAAAGTCAGGCAAAGATATATGCTAACAGTTGTGGAAGAATTGGACTTAGCTATCAAGTCGTCTCCTCATAGTCACTGCCTAGCTCACAAAACAAACCCCCAACATGTGAAGGTGGCTGGATATGTGTTGAACTGTACCCAAGCAGGAGAGGAGAAAATCAGAGGGGGAATTTAGTAAACTTAGTAAAAAGTGTGGAGTCCTGTAGCTCAGTGGTTAGAGCATTCGCTTTGCAAGCGAGAGACCTGAGTTCAATTCCAGGCAGAGGGCGAAACCTTGGGCAAGTTTCCTTACTCCACAAGGAGCCTAATAATAATCCCTCCAAAACAAAAAACAATAATAAATCGGTCATTTTCAATCTACGACTGTTTGTGGGACATTGCTGTGCGCAATTGGCTGCCGCGTTCGCCCACAAATATACAGTCAATTCACTTTAAAATGTGTTCTGTGAAGCGCTTTGGGACGTCTAGAAGATGTGAAAAGCGCTATATCAAATGCAAGGATTATTATTATTATGAAATCAAAGTAACTAACAGTTGTCAGAAAACAGCTTTATTTATTGATGTATTATTTTAATGATCTCTTATTTTCATCATGATGCAGCCATGCTAAATGCAATGCTCCAAGGATTAATTAGTGGTATTGATTCAGAACTGAGTCAGACAAACCGTGGGTTGCAGTCTAATTCCTGCGCTTGCATAAATGGTGCCTTGTTAATGAACAGTCAGTCTCAAGAATAGGGGTGTGTTTTCTTATTGGCTTTTTCAGTTCAATTAGTGAGAATGTAAACAGATTGTTTCTGAGGAAAACTGGCTTTTATTCCTTTAGCAAACTCAATACAGGCATAAACCTCATATAATAATTACTACTATCCAGGGAGCTTTTAGATTGACCCTTCCATACCCAACAAACACAAAATAGAAATAATAGTTCCCCTGATGTCTCAGTGGGCAATGTTTAGGCTGCTGTGCTCATACACTTAATTACTCAAACCACAAAGACCCCACGTTCAATCCTGAATGGAATAATAGTTCAACTCCCACCAAGGTGGAATCAGAAAGTCCAACAATTGGCCTATAATCCAGTGTAGAATTATTGTATCTGACAAGAGAGTTAAACATAAATGTGGTATGGAGAAAGCAGGCTAAAAGGAATTCTCATCAGCTGTTATAAAAGCAGTTTTGAAATTTCTTTCTAGTTGAGCTAATAATAATCCTTGCATTCGATATAGTTCCTTATCACATCTTCAAGACGTCTCAAAGAGCTTCACAGAATATACTGTAAAGAAAATTGACTGTATGCTTTGTAAGTGAAACATGGCAGCCAATTGCATACAAAAGGTGTCCCACAAACAGTCGTGGATTGAGTGACCAATTTTTTTTAAGGAATTGTTACCTCCGGAAAAGCGATCCGCCAAATGACTAACAACCGGGTTCTTACTTACTGCAAGGGTAACAGAGATGTGTAGAGTAAGGAAACTTGTCCAACATTTCGCCCCGCCCAGGAATCGAACCCAGGTCCTCTTGCTTGCGAGACAAGCGCTCCAACCACTGAGCTACAGGATTCCACATAATAACCAATTAATATGTAACCTAACTTGCAAAACAGAAACATATTACAAATTACAACAACACACAGATTTTGCAATACCTTGTGGCTTTCAAGGTGATGGTAGGATATACATTCAGAAGAGCTGCCTTTGCCTCATTTGTTGTCATCCCATGGGTGCTGACCTCATTAATATAATGGATAAGGTCCAGTGGCTGCAGACTCCCCTCTGTGTCAGCAGCTGAACCTGGAGTGATGTCACCAATGTAAATTGCCTGGTAAATGGTTTCACTTCCTCCAGCCAGAGATAAGCCTAAATAATAGAGAAGACTCGCTCAGAACATTCACTGGTTCTTTATACTGAGAAGTTGTCCAATGATTTTAACATTTATCTGAATGTAAATTGTACTGTAGAATTTAAATAAGAGGTCATGTGTGCTTTCTGAAGTTAAACTGTACACAAAATACTGCACACAAATGCAGCAATCCTGTCTATCTAAAACACACAGTAAGTAACAGGCACCATCTCAACTTGGTTTTATTTTTAAGTAATAATCCAGTAGAATGAAAGACATTGTTATGTTAAACTATAATGATCCTTAACCTCCCCGTTAAATAAAATATTAATAATTGTTAGACAAAGAATTTGAAACATACAATGCCGTTCACAAAAATGTTAAATCTGTAAATTAACCATCCGGTAATGAGGATTTCAGTAACATTTTATATCGCAGAACAGCTTGCACTAACTTAAATACATATCTTTACTGCACACAATACTTAGTTATATTCTATACTATTGAAAAGAAAACAGGAAAAAGCATTTTTAAGACTAGACAAGATTTCAGTAGAAAACGCAAAATAGGTACTTAAATCTCTCATGACTTTTTTCATTATTACAATGACTATTTTTTCATAATTACAATGACTATTTTACAATATTTCTTGTAAAATAACATTACCCAGTTCCTGTTCGTGGGAGATCATTGTAATCGCAGGAAGCATATCTGGCTCTATTGGAAACTCTGGTATTTCCAGGACTCTTCCAATCACGAGAGTAACTGCATCTGGGATTGATCGAAGAAAATCCACTGCTTCTGTGTGACTCATGCTGGTGATGTCAACACCATTCACCTATTGCAGAGTGCCAAAAGAAACTCTGAAGTTCTTATCAAGTAAGCCACAGCTTCAAAAAATTGAGTCATTCAACATAAACGCCCCTTTGCATGCCTACTCTATCCCTGGTGGTGCTCGGACTTGTTATGTCTGGAAGCTTTGGCTCGTAGGAAGCCAGGCTTGCAATCCGACTCTTTTTTGTTATTCAAGCAATGATGTGTGCGTTAAAATCCTGAACTTAAAAATGTACAGAGAAGCAATTCCTTCACACAAACTTTAAACTTTACTCCCACAAAAACTTTGTTGAAATGGCAACAGATGCTATTCGTACAGAATTTCATAGAATTTTAACAGGAATTGAAAGATTGGCTTTGGTAAAACAGTTCACACTAGCATCAATCAATACAGATTTGGCAACCTTCAGACATTCCTACAATTTGCACAATATATAAGTGCCAGGTAATAAATTATATTTTGATTGGTTTGAAACCTGCAAGAACCTTACTGTTCAAAAGATTTAGAAACAGGATATTTCATATTCTTTTTCACTTTTCAAATACACTGTACTATAATATCATAATTTCCTTTAAAAATCTAAGATAGTTACAAAGCTTAAATCACATTGTATCCTAATTGTAAACAATCTGTTTTTAATAACAACAACAGCAACAATAACACAAAAGATTTGGAGGATTTAACTATTCTTATATAATATAATAATAATCCTTGCATTTGATATAGCGCTTTATCACATCTTTGAGACATCTCAAAGTGCTTCACAGAATATAATGTAATGTACTGACTGTATATTTTGTGGATGAAACATGGCAGTCAATTGTGTACAGGAGTGTCCCTCAAACAGTCATGGACTGAGTGACCAAATTGTTATTATAGGAGGTTGGAAGAGGTGATTTAATTGAGGTATTCAACAATGAAACCAACTGACAGATTAGATTGTGGACAACTCTTCACTCTCATAGAGGGCTCTCTTACAGGGCGGGGTGGTGAGGCATAGCCTTAAATTCAGTACCAAAACAACTGAGGACACAAAGACAGAGGGTTGTGTCGGAATTAAATAAAAGATTGCTTCTTTTGATATGAGATTCTTTCTATTGCTTTTTGTCATTTAACTAAAAGGGCAGAAAATAACTAGCCCTTCTATCTTCTTTGTTTCTCAAAACACACACACACACAAATTAAGCTAATTATTTTGGACCAAGTTTTGGCTGGTTATACATACCATGATAAGCCTGTCACCAGGTCGTAGTCTCCCGTCACTTTTTGCAGGATCCTGGATGACGTCATGGATGTAGCAGCCAATGTTGTCATCTCCTTTGGTCACTGTGAATCCCAGACTCCCTTTTTCTGACTTGTTCAGAGTGACGTGCAATTCTGCTTCCTGTAGTAACAAAAATTCCAATCAGAATAACTTAAAACAATTTTAACTAATTAAAACTACTGATGTATTAAGTGAACAATTTGTTTAATAGATTCTCACTTATTTGTTCAAGAAAACAAAATGATACGAACTGTAGAATTAGTCCCAATTGCATGTAAATACAATCATAATAACCTTACTTTTGGTATAGTGTCTTTGACATCGGGAGGACATCTCAAAGCATTTCCCACTTGTAAAATGTAGTGACTGTATGTTTTGCGGGTGAATGCAATTTGAGCACAGTAATGTCCCATGAAGTGAATGACCAATTCTTTATTTGAGGTGTTGTTTGCCAGGACTCTGGGAGAAACTCCCTTCTCTTTTCAAATAATGAAATGGGATCTTTAATGTCCACCTAGACAGGCAGTTGAGGGCTCAGTTTAACCTCATCAGAAGGATGGCTCCTCTGACAGTGCAGCAAATCCCCAGCATTGCATTGGTGTCAGCTTAGACTATATGGTATCGACAGGGGTGGAGGGAATGGAGGATGGGGGTAGGAGGGTGACCAAAGGTCCGATTCAAGGGAGGGTCTTGACATGGGTCTTGAAGGAGGCAAGGGAGGGAGCGAGGTGAAGGGATTGGGGGATGGATGAAGGCCTGACCTCCGATGGTGGGGCAGGACGGGCGGGGGACTTGGAGCAGGTTGGAATAAGTAAATACAATGATTTATAAATAATATGTAAATAAATGATTTATTCTGTCAAAAAATGAATAGGAATTTCAAAGGAAACCAATAAGATCATAGTTACAGGATGTAATTCAGCCTCCTCCTCCTCCTCATGACACTCAGTGTCTAGATGTTGTGCTGCTGCTACCTCTGCAGACCCAGAGGTTACTGCTTCAGATCTTGAACTGGAAGTAAGTGAGTTCTCATCTACTGGTGTAGGAGAGGGAACCTCAGGTCCGAGACTGAACCTCTGTTCTGTCGAGAGGTCTAGAAGTGTCGGTGAAGGCGGTTTTCTACAAAATAAACAGAATAGAGATAAGCTCGGAAAAACAAATTTACATTTACAAACATTGTTCTGGTCAGGCAGGTGCCTGATAGACATGCTAGCCCTTGTTTTGCTAAAGTCTCCAGTTACAACTACCAAGGAACTAAATTTTGTTTGCCAATTCTGGAGTACGCACTCTCTCTGTCTGGGGAATATACCTTGCTTGCTTACCCACGTCACAGATTGACAGATGTCAAGGCAAAGCGTGCAAAGGAGTACCTACTGCAATTGATATGCTTTGCTCTGCTTGTCAAGTAAAACAGGCTTCATTCCTGAACTGAAAATAAACTAGTTTCCAAGTGTGATATCTCATTATTCATTTAAAAAAAGGGGGTGGGGTGAAAAGAGTATGCAATAACATTGGTTTGTCTTTTCATCTCTAAGACATAATGGTTCAAACCCAGTTCAAGTAAGGAAAAAACAGTCATTACTGTCTCTAAGAATTCTATGTCCACTGAACTTGGGAGGTCTCAACCCAATTCCAAGTAAGTGTGATCACGTATGTGCTATTACTTTTTTATTACAATCATGGAAGGAAAGAACCTTGTTAAAATGGACAGTCTGAAACCAACCTGCTGGTGAGCTCCAGTTTAGAAGTTGAATCCTGAGGGGAGAAGTAAACACTGGCCTTTTCCTGGCTATATGACATTTCATACTGGTTGTTGGAGAAGGAAATCACATTCCCAGTCATTTGGCAAACAGTGATGCTTTTGTTGGTGCTGGCGTCTTGCTTTGATGTGGTGTGCCTGTCCCCATCATCACAATCTGTACTGTCACTGTAGCTGTCCCTTCTGGAAGAAGACCTCAGTCTCAGATTCTGAAAGTCTTTATTTTCAATCTCTTCATCATTACCACAGTCATCTACACTGTCACCAGTGAAACTGTTTGTTTTTCCAGACTCCGCTGAGCTGTCAGTGCTTTGGTACTGTAATTTGGTTCCGTAAATCCCTTCAGAATGTGAGCTAATTAAACTCTGTAACACAAAAATCATACTTTAGTGGCTTTATCTTCATTTGTACAAGGCTGGAAGCACCTCACAACTCAGAAAACAACAATAGATAGCAGGAGGTTTTCAAGGTTACAATCAAACCAGAAAATAGAAACATTAGAAAAAAGTAAAATATATACAATCCCAGATTCATGATTATCTTCCATGTGAATTCCAAGGAATCGTATCATTCCAAGGAATCACTCCAGATGCAAACAGAATATAATCTTTACAAAAGTAAAGCATAAATGAACCATATGCCTTTGTCAAGTGTGATTGAAACACTTCTGCATATCTTGTATTGATGTCTTTCTGATTCCTGTTTTTGAGCATACTCCATTTGTAGTGTTGATACTGTGGAAGTGTACATTTTTCTAACTGGACTAATACATATGACTAATATATATTTGGTTTCCTATTTTCCATTAAAAATAATTCTGCAATTGACCATAAACATTAGCAATAACATAAGCAATAACACTCACCAAAGAGGAGTCAACGCTTGGTAATACACCATGTTCAGGCCTGCAAAGCACCAGAGTAACATCTTCAGCTGTGCTTCTGAGGACGGACACAATTTCCTGCAGAGAAGAGAAAGTAAAATTGATGTTGTCTCAGACAGCAACATTTTTTGTTTTTAATTGTTCTGTTCATCAAGGGGAAGTAGTGTCAGACTCAAAGAATGGAACACTGTTGTTTCATTACCCATTTTTAGCAAACACTTTAGAGTTCAGTACAGCACAAGCTACAGAGGAGGCTCCCTCTGTTGTGTCCGAATGATGGGAGTTGACCTTACTATGATATAAACAAAAGGCTAACAAAACAGAGGGAGTGGCTAGGATCCTTAAGTGCCAAGTCTGAGAAACCTAATTTTGTTTGTGCTTACAAAAGCATAGCGGCCAATGATAATATACTTGCAAAAATGTGGACTTCATACTTCTGAACCAGCCACTTGATCTCTCTAAAGTTAAATAAACCCTTCAGAGTATCCAGCTATGAAACACAGAATCCTTGGCAAAAATGTCTAAATGACAGCAGTGAAAAGGCTGACTGCATGAAAGTCGATTCCCTAGAATAAAAATAATTTGCACTTCTTGGGATGTGTGCCTCGAGGTCCAATATCTTCTGTGGTGGTCGTATGTTATTGAAGTGATAATCATTGTGTTTAGGTACCTAATATATCTTGTGGTGGGAGCTCAAATGATTGTATTCATTCAGTCAGTTATACCCAGTCATTTTGCAATTTGGAAGAACTCGACTCAACCCAATCAGTTCATACAGATTTCTTATAAAGCTACAGTGGAAGATATTTTAATATCATCCAGTTAGTTTCTATCAGATAGTCCAACATAGAATTAAAAAGCCCAGATCAATTACCTTGTATCTGGTTTTGCATAAGCTCTCCTGACTGCAGGTAATTCATCATCTTAAAATTCCTTACAACTAAAGATATATATCCAGACATAGGCATTTGCAACAAACCACTCTTCCAAGTTGGCTACAGTAATATGCAACAAACCCCTCGCCGAATTTGGCTGAGAAAATATGTATACATTAATAAATGAAGCTGTTAGCAAAAGACCTCCATACAAGCAGCTGCAGCAGGCTGCCATTCAGCCTTGGTACATCTACACTGGAGATTCGGTGACCTTCAGCGCTATTGGTAATACAGAACTAATGGTGGACAGTCTCTGTAAAGCTCTATGGATGAGATTCATGGATTTCATGAGTCACAAACTTCCTGATTAGTCTGAGCCACTACTGCAGTAAAACCACAATCTGGAGTGGTACCTGCTGTGACTCCCAATATCCACTGTATCATATTTTCTACCTCCTCCTCCATTAGGATATGTGCTGCAATGATTGATACACTCCTGTTTTCCATCAGAAAAATACTATAGTATTCAATGTTCTATCCACATCTCACCGCCCTCAACTCCCTTTCTCAACTCTGCAGTGCTGCATTAGTTCCTTGTTAATGTAAGTTAAGAAGTCCCGATTAAGTTGTACAGGTTGAATCTTGTAGAATGTAAATGGGCATTTCCAAAGAATATCAATGTCAATTTTCCATTTCTAGTTTAATTATCTCCGGAGGCAATACAGCAATTAGTTTCCCTGCTGTGGAACTGGCTGACCTGACTCAAGAGACATCACTGTTCATCATCTGAGCGAGTGCAAAAATAAAGCCACTGCAGTCTCTGCTGAGACCGAGACCGTCAGAAAATGACTTTAAAGCAAATAAAGGTCCTTCAGCACTGAAACACGGCACTGTCTCCTCTTTCCCACCACATTTCCGTGTTCAAGATAGGCAATAGAAATGGGGTATAACTTAAGTGGCTGCGCAAAAAAGATGGGACAAGTTGGAACCTGTAACTTGTGTTATTATTATAAAAAGTGAGCTATCCACAGCAGAAAATATTAAAATACAAAGTTTATCTATTGAAACTATTTAGTTTATCTATTTAGTGTAGACTTTATCTACTGACAAGTATTATATCAAGCTGGTCTCTAAACCAGGCTGTTTTTACTTCAATTATCAGTCACATTTCAGGGAGGTTGCTTTTCATGCACATGAAAACAGATTTTAGATCTATAGAAATACGAGATGGTGTTTGTTTGAGGTGTATTCGGCACAAGTTGGCAAGAGCCAAGGCTCTAGGACCCCAGCATGTGCATAAGGATACTGCTGGAGTTAAACCAACTAAAACCACATAGCTTGCCATTGAAATCACTGTCTAGCAAGCTTCCTGCTGCTTGTCTAGCTAGGACCATCCTACCCATTAGGGCTTTGGCTTGCAGGGTTAAATAAAAGCTGAGTGGGAAGAATGCCCCAAGTGATCAGTCTGCCCCTCCAAGTCCTAGTGATGATGAACCAGGCTGGCTGGTCTGTCATCAGCAATGCCCTGCAATACTGAGGTCTCTTCTGGCAGAAACCAGATTACTGAGGAATATTTCGATTTTGACATTCAGTTTCTAAGCATGTTACCTTGGAGCCAATTCAGCAACAAGGAGATCCTGCTTTATCTTCCCTCCAAGGAGCATAGTTACAAGTTGGACATTTGACAAGTGTTTCAAATAAAGCCTAGATTAATGCATCATTAGTTAAATTGAAAGTAGCACTGGAAAAAAAGGGCTGCTTTAAATAACATATGTATTCAACAGTACTAAGAGATTTAAACAGTGATTAAAAACAATGCACTCAGTAAGGACCAGACATTATTTTACAGAATAGCCTGAATTTTTTTTGCGTAAGTTTTGTGTTATCTGTGTTTTTTTGTGCTTTCTCCAGGAACGTTTCAGAGTCTGTCGTATGTCAGATACCACTGTACATTCAGGAATACATCTCTGCAAGGTCATAAGGAGAACATTTATATTAAATTTAACCCCAAATTCCATGAACACTGCAATGTGTGAATTACCAATAGTTTTTATAAAAGCCACAAAATGTCCAAAATAAATTAATTATTTTTGGAAGTCCTGTTTTATCATCTCTCCAGTGATGTTATTAGTGTTTGACTATAGTAACATGCTCTGGGTATCCATGTCTAAGCTATACCGAAAAATCACTTTGGAATAGTTCAAGAGAGAAGTTACACTTTCATTTCTGAACAGTTATAACAAAATCAATTTGCAGAAATCAAAAGTTAATTGCAGTTCATGTTTTTTGTACTAAAACATAAAACCATTTCTCGTTCCTTACCTGCTTTGTTAGTCCTTTTAAAGGAGTGCCGTTCACCTGCAATATCACATCACCAATAGCAATCTGCCCACATTCGGATGCTGGTTGCCCAGGGAACAGTTTCTTTATTCTCACTATTTTCATCCCAGACTGGTCAGGGACAGCTTCATTCCCTTCTATGAAACTGAAGCCTAATCCTGAGGAGCCTTTCAACAGCTTCACTTCAAACTTGTTTTCTATGAAAGTTAAAACAAACAAAATCAGCAACATATGCAATTAAACATGACATCTCGTTTTAGTTTGCTGGGTTGTGGTTTGTACCTTATCATCCACCTTTTCAAAGAGTATGCTAACAATTAAATAATTTAGATTTATGCACGAAAAAGACAAAAATTAAAAGGGGAGGGGAGAATGCAGGAGAGTGGATGCATTAAGTGGAAAAAAGCATCTGCACAAACATGTGCCAAATGGTCTTGTTTGTGAGCTGTAACATTCTATGAACATGACGATATAAAACTTGTTAGCAGGACAATTAGTACAGGATAGTTGTTAATCCATTAGGCACTCACTTAACAATGCTTTTAACATAAATGCAGGTTCTTTGGGATCATACATTTTATCTCTGGGAACTTTGGCCTGGCACAAAAGTAGTAGGGCGAGATCTCAAAATGGTAACATTGATCTGTGCTGACTTAACTGATCTCAGCTGGAACAGAGTAGAATCCCACTACAATATAATACTACATTTTTAGCTTCATTATTAGGGTTACTACAACAAAATGTGAGTGCTTCTGACATGCGTAGGAAAAAATAAAAACAAAAGTCAAGGTGCTTTGCCTCTCGATCATTACCCACTGATCCCTGCTAGAAATGCATATGCATGGACTTTAGGTGAGAACTGTCTCCCATTCTCTCCTTGCATTCAAGTAGTTTAATGTCATTCACTGGCACACCCACAAATGAAGAATGTAATTTGGGCAGGATGCTAAATATTGCTGCCTTTAGATCCATAACTCAGCAAGACTATAAGTCTTTTTGGAAGAGGGGTGGGGGAGAAGAGAGAGAAAAAAGAAGCAAAATTACAGAACTCTCCTGCTTTCTTTCCCATATTCTTTTTTGAATTCGCCATCATATTTTCTTTCAATACAATATTACCAATTTTCTCTTGATGAACACAAATCAACATATTCCCTCACCATCAGTAACAAAACTGTAATCTTTGTCAGTGGCTGGCGTGTGTTTGGTCTCGAACTCCAATTTATCAGATGAGTCAGGAGGTCCATTCTGATTATCTGCAGACGGAGGTGTACACTGTGGTGTAACAGGAGCGTGAACACTGGTCGCGGGAAGCTGCCCCTTCTCTAGTAACAGGCTGACAACCTGAAGAAAAAGAGATTTCACCCAACAAAAATTTAGGATCAAGAATAGAAGCTATCAAGCATTGCAATTCCATGATCTGATCCTCCTAACTATGTGATTAAAACCATGGGGTTCCACAGAAAATCTGGCAGTGTAATTATGATAACATTTGATATAGCACCTTTCACATCAGGATGATGTCTCTAAGCCCTTCGCAGCAGCCAATTGCACACAGCAATGTCCCACAAGCAACCATGAAGTGAATGACCAATTTTATTTGGTAGATTGCTAGTCAGGACACCTGGGAGAAACTCCCTTCTCTTTTTGAATAGTGCCATGGGATCTTAAAAATACACCTGAACAGACAAACAGGATCTTGGTTTTACATCTCTTCTGTAAGATGACACCTTACATTACAATACAAATTTACATTTATATGGTGCCTTTCACCTTGGAAAGACATCTCAGAGGGCTTAACAGAACCGGCTGGGTACCCATGAGGAGGAGAGAAATCCCCTCCCAACAGCACAGAATTGGAGTGTCAGCCTAGATTATATGAGTACCAAATCCTGAGCTGGGTCTTGGAACACACAAGCTTCTGACTCATAGGCGTGAGTGCTACCAATGGAACCAGGCTGACAATGCATATACTTATTATTATTATTATTATTATTATATACTATGTATATACACAGCATATATTATTATAAACGTAAGTCTCATTCAGTGCCAGATGTTACTCTTGTTTACAGGGTTGCTAAGCAGCTTTCTCACCTGGCCTGTGTTCCTCAGAGTCTCTACTGCCTGCTTATGAGTTGCACCCTCCAAGTTGATTCCATTCACAGAAAGGACACGGTCACCTGGCAGGCAACAAGTCAGAAAAATATAGGTCAAATATAATAATAAATCCTGCATTTAATACAGCACCCATAATGTCAAAACATCTCAATGCACTTCAGAGTTTTCTGTAAAGTGTAGTGCCTGTGTATTTGTTGGTAGATGTGGCAGAAAATTTGCACAATGTTTTACAAATGACCATGAAATGATGACCAATTTTATCTGGAGGATTGTTGGTCAGATCACTCCCTTCTTTTTTCAAAGAGTGCAGTGGGATCTTTAAAGTTCATCTTTTCTGTTGTGTTGAGAAAACCGCTTACCTTTTTGGACACGTCCGTCAGCCTCAGCTGTACCACCTGGTATAATAGCCTTTACGTAAATTCCACCATGTCTCACACTTGTATTCACACCACCCTGAAGTAAAACAAATACATAGCATGAGTTAATGCTACAGATACTGAAGATAAACAAAATCAATGCAGCATAACATAAAAAAGTCAGCATTGTAATTTATTTCCAGTATAGTATAACACTCTGGAAGATGTTGGAGCATTAACCCTCTGTGCCACAGAGTGGTGGAGTACAGATTTGCACCTAAACTTCTGCAATGTTAGCTAAGTCATGTAACAACTTCACATAGGATAATATCTTGGAGCATTTTACAAAGATGGAGTCAGCTGCTGAGCAGGGAGAATGGAGAGAAGAGGACGTAATTTCTCTCATAACAATTCAGAAAACGTATGTGAGCAGTATGTATGTGTATCTACCTTAGTGGGACCGCACTGTTTGGTTCAAGTCCTACTTAACCAACCATCTCCATTTTGTCTCAGCAAATAGTTTCTCCTCCCGTCCCCACCGGGTCACCTGCTGGGTACCCAGGGCTCCATTCTTGGCCCTCTTCTTTTCCTTATCTATATGCTCCCTCTGTGGATGATGTCATCCGAAGACACAGGGTAAACTTCCACATGTACGTGGATGACACACAAATCTACTCTGTCTCCTTCATTACCAACTCCAGGCCCGCCAATGTTCCATCAGCTTGTCTGGCAGACATCAAAGCCTGGATGAGTGTCCCCATCACCGAATGGATCAACTTCAAGATCCTCACACTCGTATTCAAATCCATTCACTCCCTGGCACCTCCCTACCTCTCCGACCTCCTCACTCCCCATCCACCTCCCGGCACCGCCGCTTGACTGGCACTGGCCTCCTGCTCGTCCCTCACACCCTCCGTCCCACCATCGGAGGTCGCGCTTTCAGCCACAACGCCCTAAAACTCTGGAACACTCTCCCTCAATCCCTCCACCTTGCCCCCTCTCTCCCCTCTTTCAAGTCCTGCTTGAAAAGTTTCCTCTTCGGCCGTGCTTATGGTCACCTGCCCCTCCCTCTGGCTCAGAGTCAGGCTCCGCCACTGTTAAGTGCTCTGAGACCCTTCCCTGTGTGGAGGGCGCTATATAAGTACAAGTTTTTTTTGTTGTTATATGTAAGCAGTATGCACGTATGTATATGAGCAGTATGCACGTGAGCATATATGTATGAATGTGATCATGAATGTATTTGTGTATTTGAGACATAAATGCTTATGTTAAGTTGCTTCACACAAAGACTTTTTTTTAATATAAAATGGAAGCACGGAGTCTAAATCCTATGCATGCTAAATTTGGTATAAAAAGAAAGAGAAAGACGAAAACCTTGCCAAACAGTACCGTGACACTTATGCCCAAGCTGTTCTCTTTTTTAGATAATTCCACCTCAAAAACATCTCCTGGCTTCAGTACAATGCCACGGCTGGTATTTGAAATAACTTTATTTTTTGTTTTATCTGCCGCAGAGTCCTATGTGCAAGCAAAGTAAAAGTTAGTTGAAGGAGTGTTATTCAGAAAATAAATTAAGTTCAGTCTCCAGTTGATTAACATGTTGTTGCACACTGTTGTTTACAGTGGTTAGAACAAAATTTGCTTTGCAAATGCTGTAGTTTCCCAAGAAAAGATACGCAACATTATATCAGTAATACACTTCTCATCCTAGCCAGTCAGGGATCATGCTGAAGTTAGGTAAGTGAGAACTAAACTTGGGCTAATCTTCCTGCTTTTGTTGCTCATGGTAAAAGTAAACTAGGAAGAAAACGCCAGAAGATGAACAATCACAGCAACTGCAGTATTGACTTTCGCAACTAGATGTTGCTCTTGTTCTTTGCAACAGATGTCAGTATATAGCATAAGTAGCAATTACCGTTAAAATACAATATTTTGATTTCAGGAGCCCTGCAAACAAATGAACTGTTAACATAATTTAATAATAAAAGAATTTTTTTTTGATTAATAAGTGTGAGTTACTATTGGACGCAAATTGGAATCACTTCTAGCCGTCACATACCAAAATTCCAACACATTGCCAAAGCCTAAATTCCCAGATTCAGCCAGATTCTGAGCACTGCTTGCTTGAACTGCCTAAGAGTGGAATATTCCAATACCTGGCACAACTGTTCGCAGATTTATTACAAAGCAAAATAGAGACTTGTGTAGAGCTATCCTACAGCAAAGTCTGAATGGGGAAAATCTGCTGGTCAAAATGAGAATGTACAAAAAATACATATATGCACAATTATAAATCTTAGGGCTCCAAATTCACTGCTGTGGTGCAGCTGAGCAGGCACACAGTTATGGGGCATTGGGTTGCCTCAAATTAGGCTAAATATACAATACAAACATAGTCTATGGAAAGATAATTGGAGTCGTACTCCATTGGTCTGTACACCATCTTTAGTGTTTAAATATTATTTCTGACCTTGGCAGACTGTTTGTATTTCCCATTTTAAGTGCACGCACCATAGTTGGTGAATCTACTAACAAATTGGGAATAATCCACAATTTAGGCTCTTGTCTTTAGACAGATAACACAGGTGGGATTCTTCCAAAATGAAAAATGTAAAATCAGAGCTAGCCAACTGGGAGAATCTAGTTCAGGGTGGCTGTTGATTAATCTGTGTTCGACTTCTCACTGAAAACTCAAGTCTTCATCAAGAAAACATCAAATGTCTTGAGGCACATCCTAAATAATATTAAACAAAAGACAAAAATACTGCAGATGCTGGAAATCTGAAATAAAAACATAAGTCGCTGGGAACACTCAGCAGGCCAGGTAACGTCTATGGAGGGAGGAAAATTAGTCATTGTTTCAGGTTGAACTCGTCAGAACTAGTCAGTTTTGAATGTAAATAGTTCTTTGCACAACTGGGAAACTCAAGCCTAATCATAATAAAGGCACAATATATATAATGCAATTTTGACTTGGAATTATGGTTAATAAACAAAACCAAAAAGGAACTTGAAGTTAAATTATTTGTTTGGTCTCTTCTAACATGACAATAAAATCACCATGATATATATAGATCCCATAAAGATTAAAATGTCTGTCATAAAATTAAAATTATAGCCAAAGGTGGAAAATCCCATTACTTTTTTAGGTCTTTGCCGCTTTTGAAGGCTGGAATATGTTGCTTCATCCATGTCAGAGTCACCTCGGTCGGAGCAGTCCATTCCTTTAGATTTTTCAGAATTAATCATACCCAAGTACTTTGCGTTATCTAGAATCGTATGCACTACATCTGGTTTTGATGCCGTGGGCACAGAGACCACTTCATAATTAGCGTGCTGTGGTGCTCGGTTTCTCTGGAGACCGTTCAGTTGATTTTGTGAAAGGCCGGCACTTTCAGTTCTTGAGTCCTGAGAGCTCAGACTTTCTCTTCGTTTCCCATCAACCACAGCTGATGCTCCTGGTGGATATGCCTTTTGCTGAACTCGTGATCGGTTGTGCTCTTCTGAAGATGATTCCCCTTCATATTGCTGTCCCCCTAACCTATGACCAGGGCTCCTTGACAGACTCCTTGGTCCTCCTTTTCTATTTGGGGGAGATGCTGGATAACAAAAGTAAATACAGTCACATGTACTGCTCGAACAATCTAAAGCAGAGATTGGTTTATGAAAGACAAAATAGTCATGGATAGGTCTACGTTTTAATAAAAAATTAATAATTGATCATTATGATTATAATTATAAAATATTTAGTACACACCACTGTTTTTTAAGGAATTATTTCCCCCCTTGAATCCAAAAAGAAAAGCTGCAGGTGTCAATGTTACACAGAAATGACTCAAGGTAAGAAGATCTGTAATATCTCCTGACTTTACAAGTGTTTGAGGAAGTGAAAAGATAAAGAGTATAGACACTGCTACTGTGACCCAATGAGCACATGAGTAACAAGGATATGAATGTATCTCGTCATTTATTGTACTGCAAGCCATATTATGTACTTCCATCTTCTACATTACTGAGAATCAGTAAATACTATCCTAATAGAAAAAACAATGTGCAAAACTTTAGTCTGGATACTCACATAGGATATATGTGTTCCAAATACAATACTGCAATGTGCATGGTAATGTGTTGAGAGTAACAGTGTAGAAGCCTACAAATGTTTGGCAGCACAACTACAAAATCTACAACATCATTTGTAAATGGTTTCTGCTTCTCAACACGGAATCGTAAAGCAAAGCAGTTCATTCTTCTTGTCAGAGTATTACTCTACATTTTATTTTCTGGTACAACTCTTCAATTTCTGATTTATATCAAAACAGTTTTAACCCTGTACAAATACATTTTAAAATGAACCAGATATATACTTCATGAACAGCAGATTTGAATGCTGCATTTATACAGGTGCTCTGGCAGTGCAGTGACAAGCTATATAATGCTTGTTTTTCATTGCGTTGACTATTCTATTTTGGTGCTCTTTGCATGTTTACCTTGATGATTCTGCAGAATGCCAAAAATGGGTGATTGATTTCTATTGCCATTAAAAAGCTGTTCTGGTGATCAAATCTTTTTAAAAAAATATTAAATTTCTGTTCTAAGAGACTGAATCAACTCCAGGGGGATGGGTAGTGAATGTAGCGTGATTCACACGCACTGTACACAAAATGTGCAGAATATATGTAGCATAAGTTACACTCGCACAGAATATTCAATCAGAATGGAATGTCGGAATTGAGTCTGTGGCGGTCACACTGGTCCAGTTCCTGAGTCAGGCAGGTCCACAGTGTTACAGGGCATTGCTGATGACAGCACAGCCAACTTGGCTCATTGGTGGGACTCGGGAGGGTCAGACCAATCTCTGGGGCAGGGATTATTTCCACAAGCCAAAGCCCTAACTGGATGGTGGCAAGCTTTCTCAAACAGTGAGAAAGTTTGCCAGACTCCAGCAGTACCCCAAAGCCTGCTCTGGTGTCTCCAGGGCTTGGCTCTTCCTAGCCTGCGCTTAATTAAAATTGGAAATTAGGTAAGCAGGATGTGTCCTTCCAGGGAGAGAGCATGCAGTTTATTCCAAACAGAGGAATGTCTGTGTAGGAGGAATACATGGAAAACTGTTTGGTTTGGATACTCTTAAACATAGTAATCAATTTCTACATAAGTCAGACACCTGACTAAAACAATTGGCTGGATTTTAAAAATGACCTTTGAGAAATCCTGTTTGTTTGTTTACTAGAGTCAGAAAAGCTTTGGAGTGTAATTTGTACCAATTCTGGACTTTACAAGAGATACTTAACAAATAGCCTTTTCTTACATAAAAAAATGAAAGAGCCATTTTAATTTTCCATCACTACTTTTCTTCTTTGACTTTTCCTGACAGGTTTTATAATTTTCAATAGGTTAGCTCATTGATCAGTGACTGGCTCACAATAATTACCTCATTGATCAGCAAATGGTTGACAACATGGCTAGAAAACTATGCATTGGATTGCTTGACTAGAATAGTTGAAACAGAAAAGGTGGGGGAGGAACTTTTTTTTACTCCTGTCTTTACAAATCCCCCCAATCTATTGCTGTCAGGTACAACCTTCCCCTGGATCAAAGTTTTGAAGAAGATATTTAACTTTCAAGGAACCAATCTTGATTTGGATGATTAGGTTGCTATATTTGAATGGGGCATTTGATGATCCTTGTTTTAAATGAAATTTCAGAAAATAATGCATTGAACAGCTCCTCTGTTTCTATATTTTTGGGTCAGATACGTGTTTAAACTGGGTCTGATTGAAAAACCAGACTACTGAGACTGCCACAGAGAGTTGATTCAATTCCGATATTCCACTGCCAAGCACGTCACCTTGGAGCTATCTTAGCTTGAAACAGAAGTTCTACGTTCCCTCTCCTCCTTTCTGAGGAAGTACAACAACTTACATTTATATAGCGCCCCTCATGCGGGGCAGTGTCTCAGAGTGTTTAACAACCTGAGCCTGAAACCCAGTGGGGAGGGGGGGGGGGAAAGGAGGTGATCATAAGCCGTTGCTAATACAGAACATTTCCATACAGGATTGGTATCTTCCTCTAGAAGAACAACATAATGGGATTTTCTCAGTAACTATCATTGTATTGTATTGTGAATGTTCAACGACATTTTGAAAGATGGCTATTGTAAGAATTTAACCACCTCTGAATTCCCACATGTGGTGAGAAGAATTGTTTGCCTGATAAGGGCGTACCAGCAGGAACTGAATGGTTTACTTTAGGATAAGTGAGTGAATGGTGGGAGAAGCTAAAGATAATAACCTGCACCTCAAGGCTACAACATCTGCTAACTTTTATCATTGAAACCTAACCTCCTATTGACTGTAAATGCAAAGCAATACTGACAGCAGTTCAAACCCTAACCTTTAACGAGTCCCAGCATGAATCCTTCCCCACAGGGAACTGATTCAAGGGAATGACTCATTCAATATTGGCACCTGGAGAGTAGGCTTTGGAAGGCATTGTCTCTCTTCTGAACTCCAAGCAGAATAAGTCCCTAAAGTTCAAGAAATGCAGATTGAGCACAAATCAGTTAAGGTGTTTGGAGCTGAGGTTCTAAATGTTCTAATGCAATTGTTTGGTGTAAACCAATTCAGCACCATATCTAGGTTTTACGCTTAGATTTTTGTTATTCAGTTGTATGTATAAAACCTGAATGAAAATCAGTACCTCTAGAGAGTTTGGCCTGAGAGATCATCAGGGTCACATCCTCGGGGGCATTTTGCAAAATCTCCACTGCAGCATCATGGGTAAGACCCTCCAGATTCACCCCATTCACAGATATCAGGCGATCACCTGCAGGGGTGAAAAAAGAAACAAACCCCCCCCGATTATAAAAGCCAAGCCTCTCTTCTAGTGAACATCACTCAAAAGAGGGGATGAAACTGCTGGAGGACAGAACATTTCGTACTGTAAAACAAGTGTGGAAATGTTACGGAAATCATTCTTGATTTATGATCCCTCAGTGTCAACCCTCAACAGAATGGTATCCCTCACTGACATACAATTAAAGCAAATGCTGAAGAGAAATTTTTCACATATGAGATTGGATGAAGAAAGCTCCTTGACCCGTTCAAACTCATCCTTCCAGAATACCCACCTCACTTTACCACTCTCCCATTTTTTCAGAACTAAAGCAATGTTATCTTGATTTAGTTTGAATATTGTTGTTAACTTCAAAGTTGAATTTTGAATGCTTTTTCCTTTTTGACAAGTTTCAATATTCTGAACTCCAAGACATAATCAGCCCTTTGATGTTTTATTTTTTAAAAAGCATGGGAACAAATAAGATATGACCATGCTAGTTCATTTGGCTATCCCCAAATTTAAAAAAAAATCCAGTACTCCTCTATTTCTCATACTGTTCAAATTAATTTCTTCTGAAACTAGCTCTCTGAAATTTGAGCAAATACTCCCAGTTGAACAAACTACAACTTAAATGTGTGATGTACTACTATAATGTTACAGAAATAGTTAATAAACACATCTATGTCAAACTGTTTAAAAAGTAACGGCTAAAGTAATAAAAAAGGTACCTTTTTATCAAGAGCCTAGGTCATGTTAATAGTGTCGTGTGCCACCATAAAAAAGTAGCAGTAAGCGTGGTGCTTCACAATAACTTACATGTTCCCAGCTTTGGACAAATGGCCGACAAGTTGCAGAATCATTTGCTATACATAAAGCTGATGATATATAAAGGATTCTTTTATTATTGACTAAACACTAAACACTATCCACTGTAAAAATACAGGCAGTACCTGGTTTCATATGCCCCTCAAGCTCTGCTGGTCCTCCTGGTGTGATGCTATTGACATTAAATCCCATACAGTCCACTTTGCCAGGCTTTTCTCCACCAACAATCTGAAAACCTATTTCCAAATGAAACAATAGTAATTCAGTTCATCAACCTAATTGCCAACACAGTTCTCATGTGCCTGTTACACTAAACTAGTTTCTGCTTAATCATTTCCCTTTCAGTGCAAATTGACTCAAAACTCTGTAAACTCATGGGCCTAGTAACCTCATGTGCAAATACACACGTCGCAAGGCGCTGGACAGACAGAGTTACAGACCCGACCTGAGGGTTGGGGTGGGGGAGGGTGGAGGGCGGGGGGGGAAGCAGGGAGATCAAAGGCACGGTCGAAGAGGAGGGTCTTGAGGTGGATCTTGAAAGTGGCAAGGGAGGGGGCGAGATGGAGGGACTGCGGGATGGAGTTCCAGAGGGTGGGTGCAGAGGGGCAGAAGGCCTGGCTGCCAATAGTGGGGCGAGCAAGGCGGGGGACGTGAAGCAGGCCAGAGCCTGCTGAGTGGGGGGAGCGAACAGAATGGTAGGGGGTTAGGAGGTCGGAGAGGAAGGGGGGAGCAAGACCATGAAGGGCTTTGAACGTGAGGGGCAGGATCTTGTACTGTATCCTCTGTGTAATGGGAACCCAGGGGAGTTAGGCAAGGATAGGGATGAGAGGGTCATGGAGCCTAGTGCGGGAGAGGACATGGGCTGCAGAGTTCTGGATGATCTGCAGCCTGTGGAGGAAGGTGTTCGGGAGGCTGACAAGTAATAAGTTTGCATAGTCGAGCCTCAATGTAATGAAAGGATGTATGAGGGTTTCAGTGGCCTGCGGTGTGAGACAGTATCGGAGCTGGGCGACGTTGTGGAGGTGGGGGAAGGCAGAGCAGGTCATCGTGCAGATATGGGATAGAAAGGATAGTTGAGGGTCAAATAAGACCTCAAGGTTCCGGACTGGCTTAGTAAGATGGAGTGTGCAACCATGGATGGTGATGCTGTCAGTGCCTGAGGTGAGGAGGCGCTGATGGGAGCCAATCAGCAGAGCCTCGGTCTTGTTGACGTTCAACTGAAGAAAGTTAGCACTCATCCAGGACTTGATGTCTGACAGACATTCTGTCATGACAGCAGTGGTCCTGGAGTCAAAGGTGGAGGCAGAGAGGTAGAGTTGGGTATCATCCGCATACATGTGGAAGTTGACCCCATGTCTGCGGATGTCACCAAGAGAGAGGATATAGATATTGAAGAGCAGAGGACCAAGGACAAAGCCCTGAGGAACGCTGCACGAGACAGTATTAATGACAGTAGTGACAATATAATTCCTGATGGAATAATATTTTGGGTTAGCAATAGCGAATTTGCATGTTTTCCACGATGACCCATTATCTGCATAGCTTACTTATCCACATCAGACTGTATCAATTATTATGGATAATCGCCTCTCTACTGCAGTACAATTGCAATTCAGCTAATCACAGTACAGAACTGACGTGGTGATGATAAGCAGACTTGTTTGTGTTTGTATTGACCACAAATATTATATCATATATTCCATCTTGAACTTGGTTACAAATTTAATATAGATTTAGTAAAATTTGCCATTATATTACATATTAACAATGCAACAAAACCTGCAGATATAGCATACCTAAACCATGAGTCATGTCCTTCTTCAGCTTCACAAATCTAAGCTCTTTCTCTGGTGAAGGGAAAGCATTGAGATTCTGGTGAAAAGTATCTGTCAAATATAAGAGAGTAAAACTTTGAAATTTTGTACACCTACAGTTTATTGCAACAAAAAATGTAAATCCAAAAAACTCTCTTTTGTGGTTTACATCAGACATTTCTGTCAATGGAACTAAGTAGATTTATAATGTACAAATTCACCCATGAAATGCTGATTAATATGCTAGTTTCAAAACGCTTCATTTTTTTCTTGGAAGAAGCTATTAAATTAGAACGAGCAAAAGGACATTACTGTTTGCAGTGCAAGCACAAAAAAAACACTCAGTAATTCTATTACTGATCAGGAGATTTGGGACTCTAAAGAAGCTGCCTCAGTTGTTAAGTACAAAAGCCTACACAGAAAGGTTTACAAATTGTCAGTGAATACTTTGGTAACAATTACTGGCTATTAAAAATATTAATGGATTATAGAGCGTTTTGTTGCGGATTTGGTTTTGCGCAGTTTCAGTTTATGAAACAAAACCAGTATGTAAAACCCCACATGAGGTTTATACTTTATGCAGGAATTTGACCCTTTCCGGCTTGAAATTAAATCCAAAGTAAATATTAAAAATTAAAAACCAATTATATTTAATAGCAGCGATGCTGGAGGATTATGAAACTACATACTTTTAAAAAAAAGGTCACCACGCTATATACTTGAAGACAAATATCAAATAATTAAGTAGAAGAGATCTTAAATATTGTTAAATATTAAGTCAAACTTTGCTCAACTCTTTGAAGTGTGCAAGATTTCTGGCATTGAAAGGATTGTGGCATCATGAAGTGAAGTGTCTCGACTCCTGTAAACCTGACTCCTGTACTGTGTGGAAGGTCTAATATACTGAAGTAACCTCACCATCCCCCACATTGTAAATCAAATGATCTTTAGCCATGCATTATTAAGCAGAATGCAAACCATGTCCAAAAATTGCAGTCTGACCAATTAGTTCCATCACATCAAAAACATGTCAACTTAAATGTGCTCCATTAATTATATAATTTAGATTCATAATTATTAAACTGAACAGTATGGAAAGTGTGGAATTAAGAAGTGATCGTCAGAGAAACGTCAGTCTAAAGTATGAATCCTTCAAGGATCCCTATATATGTCATGCTGACCTATGAGAATTTGCCTCCGAAGAGATCTTGGGCTGCAGTCAAGTTCTCACCAGTATGCACAAGTGATACACATGGTATACCTTAGAAAAGATGCACTTTATGTTCCAATGCACTTTATCTAGGGCAAGGCGCATTCACACTCTTGTTACACAACCATTTCTCCAACAAAAGCTTTTTCAACCTGATTGATTCTTCAAACATATATGTAGTTGTTGGCCATTTTCTCAATCTTAATTTACCATTTGTATCGAATTAGTGCAATGATAAAAATGCCGATAGTGAACACTGCAAACCAGCCGTGATGTGATACGGAAAATGTGCTGATGCACAACTGCTGTTGTAAATACGAATATCTTTCATTTCACTTGGCAAAAAGCTTATTTTGGTATTCAAAATACAAACAAAATGATTGTGTATTTAGATTAAAAAAACAACTGGCAATTTTAAATCTCAAGTTTTCCCCCTCTCAATCCCTTTTATCCTCTGATTAACTTGATACAGTATAACAGTGACTGTTAAAAGCTGTGGTGCTCTGCCAGCACTTTTTTCTTGCTTCTTTTAAGAAAAACACTTGTGCTTAAAAGAAGCAAGAAAAAGTGCTGGCAAGCACTTTACACATAACTTCCAGCCTGCACTGAATGCTGATCAGATCTGGTCAGATGTTCTATGCGGCTTAGTTTTTTATGGATTATTTACCAAAATCCGACAACTCGAGGCATTTCTAAACACTTACTGGTTGTTACTGGAAAAGTCAAATGAACAAGAAAAACAAACCCTTTCTCAGAATAGGGATGGATGAAATCAATGCTTCATATTTTCTATGTTTATATTTTCTTTTTTTATGTCCTGGGGTTATCACTATTATATATGTTATATATATTATATATAATAAATAAAAAAGATTTAAAAGTAAACAGAATCAGTGAAAGGAAAATAAAAGACGCAAACATTACCTGCAACAGGTTTCTGTTTAGACGACAAGGAAACGGAAAGAAACAGAGAGAGTGATAGAGGTAGAAAAAGCAGAGGGGTTATAGAAGTTGATGTTGCAAAGTCACACCAAGACTTTAGACAGTGAAGATACTTGTAAAGTCAGCTCGCTCTGCCTACCATTGGCTGTAAAGGTAGCAGGGGTTGATGGGGTGCCAGAACTGTGCATGCTAAGTCCTGATAACAAAAACATACAATTATGCAATATAAAAGCTAATCATTTTAAAAGTTCACAATCATTGTCAAATGTAAGCCACACAATTGCTTGAATATTGAAATGATTTAACCTAATAATTTTGCTGGGAACCTTTTATCAAATTGTTCGCAGACCCATCATGCTCAGAGAGAAACAGAGAGACCAAATACTTCCAGATGCTCTCACTTCTATTACAGTTTTAGAACAGATGCACAGGAAAATGTTTTTATTGGTCTTAAGAAGACAAGGAAACAGTTCACACCCTATCTCTGCTATCAGCCTACTCCTAATTTAACTACTGTCTAATTTACTGTGAGAATTTAGTAACTAATGAGGCTCGGAGATCCATCACATCAGGTTTAAGAGGAGTTTTATCCCAAATGTTTCATCATTCATTACATTTCTTTTTCTTTTCGCTATTTGATAATAATTCTCAACTGCTTGTCATTACTTTGGTCAGAGAACTCTGCTCACTCATCTGGACCATTTGAGTGCAGTGATATTATTCTGTGATATATATTCTTGCATTCTCATTGTGAATTATGGGTAAACTGTATCTCTACAGAAGGTCTGATTGCACACAACACGCCTTCTCATGTAACACAATTTTAACTATACCAACACCATAAGAGTAGGCTTTATATAGACGTAGAAGTCATTGATTACATCACACAGTTCTGAGTGCGAAAAAGCATACTAAAATTACCTAATAAGTGAGCAGAGTGCTTTGATAGGACAATAAGAATCACTCCCTTTTAGATAAATGGAGAAAACGCAATGTACCAGGAATGATTCAATGCTGGAGTTTAGATTCCCTTTAATCTTATAGACGCACTTTTTCAGAGTCCAGGAAGCTTTTCTTCATGTTGCTCTATTTTACACAGCAGAGTACTTTCTAGTTGCTATCATTTTCTTTCAAAAACAGAAAACTCTCTGGATACTGTACCAAGAGACCAGACTTTACAAAGCTCATTAGTAAAAAAAAATTATAATTGGGTTATAAAAGTTATTTCACTTGAAGAATGAGCACAAGGTAAAGTTAGAGCAATGTCTGCCATGTTCATCTATTGGCTGACTATAAACCTTTATTTCGCCTACACTGTTGCCTCGATAATTCACCAGGTGTATACAAAGCAAAACTTAATACCTAATCAGTGAGACAGATTATCAATATTGATTATTCTAATCACCAGGATAACTAAAAAAATTCAAGTTGTTGATCAAAAAGCCATCTGAACTGTACAAAAAAAGGAAAAGTTTATAATCAAGGCGGAATCTTACTGGGAACTGAAACATGCAGCAGATCTCTAAAACTATGCATTAAAAGTAAATCCCTATGAATGGCAAGTACAATATTTCATATATAAATATAAGTAACATTTCCAGGAGCTGCCTGTGACTGACCTCCCACATATGCCTGATTGGAGTCTTCAGTGGATGAGGAGTCAGATGTAGTATTTCTTCGCCCAGGGCTTCTGTGAAAGACAGCCTGGGACTTCTTTGGACTGAAAGTACTTGAACAAAACAAAATACAGGTAAACAAAGAAGCAGAGATGAACAGGATTAAAATACTTTCTTATGCATATAAAGTGCTAGAAGACGGTTCCTAATGATTTTATTTTACTTATCTTATTTTAGCCCAATAATATCACAGGGGTTTTGTCACTGCTAGCTAGCTTTTTATTCTGCACTTATTCATTATGAGCATGGAACAAAAAGTTTGTTAGCAATAACAGTGAGCTTAGATGATATGAAAGGAAATCTCCTGTTTCTCAACAACGTATTTAATGCATAGAAAACTCAACCAAAGCTTCTTACACTCAGTAATTTGGATCATTTCACCCTAGTATTTAGACTTGACAGCATCCATTAACATCTGCGACAAGATTAGCAGCCTTTCCTCATGTGTTGAGGTCATGCCTGCTAACTTCAGCTGTCTAAAATACATGGGGAAACTGGATTTTAACACTTCAAGAATTTTTTTTTTATTTTGCTATTAATGATAGCAAACTTTTCATTCCATGTTTTTGTTCGGCTAATATTGAACCCCACCACAAATACCACTTAAACAGATGAAAGATCTATATAATCATACGTTACTAGAGTACATAATTGCAGCTAGTGCACGGCCACAAGATGGAATGTTTGCGATAAAACTACTGCTCCCTGCAAAGAAGTTCATTGTTATCACTAAGCAGAAGGAATTCTTTTGAAATTTGTTTCACTGTGGAGGTCAAATGATCTAGACGAGGACATTGAATGTAACATATCTAAATTCGCGGATGACACTAAACTAGGTGGCAGAGTAAGCTCTGAGGATGATGCAAAAAGATTGCAATGGGATATAGATAGGCTAGGTGAGTGGGCGAGTAGGTAGCAGATGGAATTTAATGTGGGGAAGTGTGAAGTTATTCACCTAGGTAGAAAAAATAGAAAAACAGATTATTTTCTAGAGAGGGAGAGATTAGATAGTGTTAGTGTTCAGAGGGATTTGGGTGCCCTTGTACACCAGTCTCATAATCTAGTTTGCAGGTGCAGCAAGCAACTAAGAAGGCGAACGGCACGTTAGCGTTCATTGCAAAAGGTTTAGAGTACAAGAGTAGGGAAGTCTTGCTGCAACTGTATATATACTTGGTGAGATCGCACCTGGAGTATTGTGTGCAGTTTTGATCTCCTTATTTAAGAAAGGACATACTTGCCCTAGAGGGGGTGCAGCGTAGATTCACTAAGTTAGTTTCTCGGATGAGGCGACTGACCTATGAGGATAGGCTGAATAAACTAGGGCTGTATTCTCTAGAGTACAGAAGAATTAGGGGAGATCTTATTGAAACATATAAGATTCTTAAAGGGCTGGATAAAGTAGACACTGAGGGTCTGTTTCCCCTGGTAGGAGAATCTATAACCAGGGGTCACAGTCTTAAAATTAAAGGTCAGTCTTTAAGAACAGAGTTGAGGAAACATTTCTTCACTCGGAAGGTAGTGAATTTATGGAATTCTCTACCCCAGAAGGCTGTAGATGCTCAGTCCTTGAGCATCTTCAAGGCTGAGACTGATAGATTTTTAAAAAAGAGGGATTAGGGGATAGGGCAGGTAATTAGAGTTAGGTCTGAAGATGAGCCATGATCTTATTGAATGGCGGGGCAGGCTCGAGGGGCCGAATGGCCTACTCCTGCTCCTAATTCTTATGTTCTTATGATAGGAATAATTTACTGCAAGAAGTTAAATATTGCAGGAACAATTCAGCATATTGAACAGAATTTGTTTGGAAAACACTTAATAGTTTGCAAAATAGGTAGAAAAATAATAATTTTCAGTGAAAGAGGAAAAGTGAGTTGATTTGTTTAATAAACTAATAATCATCATCTATACATATAGAAATATTTTCAAAATTGAAATAGTGGAGACCATGATTATCATATGATTCACTACTCATACCTCATGGAATGGGAAGGGGATATAAAAGCAGTCAATTCCTTTGTCAGAGTGCATTTACAATATACATTTACATTTGTATACCACCTTTCACATCCGGAGGATATCCCAAGGCGCTGGGACTTTGCCATGTAACTGAACTGATAAAGTAAGAACAGTCAATTCCTTTGTCAGAATACATATACTCTACCATCTATCTGAGCTGATAATACTCTAAAACCAGCATCTGAGGTCAGTGTCATTTATACCAGCATGTTCCACACTGCATAAAGTAGGCCGGTCTTTATTGTGTTACCTAACATCTGCTTTGGCACCTGATCAAACCCGTCAGAAACAGTCTTTATCCTTTATTTATTGGCATTTCTGAATCAACACTTCTTTATCCTGGAGGATTACAAGAAATGTATCTGAATCATCAGCTCTAATAACTATTTAGTATTCAAATGGCTTATTTTCATCAATTACACTGAAAATGAATTGGAGTGCCCAGATGGAGCTTTTGTTAACTGATGGTTAAACTACAAAGCCACTTCCTGCTGAGTAATAGTTGTAACATGTTTTGAATCAAAACATTGTGGCTTTTTTTTAATAATGTTAAGCAGTTGTCATTTTAACCTGTTGGGTACATAAAGGATATATTTTTAAGATTGAATTTTTTCCCATTCAAACTTACTTAGTTATCGGAAGCCACTGATAACAAAGGATAGAAGCGTTTTTTTTACAAAAGAGTGGCTATAATTTAAATAGCCATTTATGTAATCTGCTTCAACGCGAATATAGAAAGCCTATAAAGAGTTAACATTTTGGCCAATCATTTTCCTGTAGATCACAAACATTTCGTCATCTCGAGGTTAGTTGCCTGAGAAGGTTTAACAGTTTCTGAGAATGATGAATCACCCCCACCATTTACTTTACACTAGCCCATTTGGCTTCATTTCCTGAACATCAATTATCCTCGTATGAAAGCGGTTCTCGTCCATCTTCTAATAGAAGAGTGAGTCAAACAGGGTGGATGAGGGAAGCGTTAGGCATAATCAGAAGAGTACAGTACATGAATGTTACAAAATTTAAAAATTCTTTCATTTGGTCTCACAGTAGATCATGTGATTACATAGAACGTACAGCACAGAAACAGGCCATTCAGCCCAACTGTTTAACCCTACAAGAGTCTCCACATCCTTCTGATCATCTATCCCATGACACTCTATTCTTTTCTCCCTCATAATCGAGAACTTAGATGGCAACCAGAGGATTAGGTGCTTAAGTTGTAGGTTTGCCTTGGTTCCGTGTTTTATCAGTTTGATTCCTCAGTGGTGTATGTACATGATCGATGTAAATCCAGATTGGTGATGGTGGACTAAAGGATGGGAAGGCAGGCATTGAAGACAATCCTGAACTGGCTCCAAGGTGACTCGCTTGGCAACAGAATGTTGGAATTGAGTCAACCCTCTGCGGTAATCTCAGTAGTCTGATTCCTGAGCCAAACAGGTCCGTCGTATTCTAAAGCACTGCTGATGTCAGACCTGTTAGCCAAGCTCATCAGTGGGACTTGGAAGGGCAGACCAGGCACTGGGAGCAGGGATGCTTTCCACTCAGCTCCTGTTAATCCTGCAGCCAAAACCCTAATGGGCAGGGTGGTTGCGCCTGGACAAGCAGGGGGAAAGCTTTCCAGAGAGTCTTTCAATGGTAAGCTATGCGCCCCTACCAACTGAGCAATAGTTCCATTAGTTTGAAGTGCAGAGCTTAAGAGCAGCTGCTTACCTCTTTGCATACCATTCAAGGTCATACCAAGCCCTGGATTCCTGTGTATTCACGAAACCAGGCTCCAGGTAACATCTTCCAGCAGCTGTCGTCCCGAGCCTCAGAGTTTCCTCATCAGCTATTTGACAGACATCTGCCTTCAGGGTGGTAGGAGGATCTTTGCAGAACAGCTTGTGATATGCCATTCACCTTGAATTCAAGCCCAATCCTGTATATCAGGCCTACTGAATATTAATTGCTTAATCCAGGTTCTCATATGAGAAAGAAGACAGAAAAAAAAAGAAAGAGAATGTCTAAGAGAAAATGAGCCAGCTAGAGAAAAAAAAGCTAGAGGGGATGTAATGTTTGACAGTGTAACTCTTATTGGAAGAAGTTTGATTCAGCAATTTGAATTACGAGTGATGTTTTTTATTTGCATTGTTTCCACCCCAATGTCAGTCACACTGTATGTGGACATTGAGTTCTCTACTGTCCTGTTTGTGAATATGACCACAATACTGACCCATATTACCCAGGTATTTAGAAAGCACTCCTGTATATTTACCTCCAATATCACAGGTATGCATGGTGTCATTTTACGTTTCTTTAATTGCAACTCTTAGCCAGTTTTACTACCAAATATACCTGCTTTTGGTTCGTCTCTCATTTCCTGCCACAAATTCTGTATCTGACCAGGGACGTGAAGTCTTCTCTTTGAACTCAGCAAGCTCTTTCTGAGCAATCCGCTGACTTGACGTGCATGGTGATTGGCTGTTAAATGGGGGAGCACTCTTTCGATGAGACTCAAGAATTTGACTGAGATCATAGTAGGATTTGCTAACGATGGGAGGATACTGATCCCACAAAGACCTTGGCACCTTGTTTTTGGACAGACAATGCAGGGGCCGATTCAGTGCAGCCTCTGATCTGGACATCCGCTTCATGAGTTCAGAATGTGTTGCCTGTGGTAGATCGTTTAACTTGCTAAAGGCACTGACGGCAAGACTCAAGCTGCTATTTGCCCTTCCCATTGCAAACGTATCCGCAGAGTCTCCATAATAGTTCAGGCTGTTGAAAGACAGCTTTTCTAAGAAGAGAAAATAAATATTTTATTTCAGATGGTACCTTTTTTTATAGGCGACACATTAATTTATTTCTCCAAACACTTCCAAGCCTACTACACACCTTCCTCTTGCCAAAAACTGACTGAAGAGCTTGTTCCTAAGTCTTCAACCAATGCCACAAAATGGTGGCTATCATTTGCCATGTGTAAACATGTGTATTACACATCTTGTGTCAACCACATGAAAACGCATATACCCAGAAGGAATTATACTTATTTTTAACTAAGTCATTAAGAAATTAAGTGGATTTTTAAAAATGGTGTCATTAACAATTTCATGACATGGGTTCATAACAATCCATGGTAGCTGCAATTTCCTCTGTACACGTGGGTTACACATACAACAAATTATACTTGTATAGCTCCCTTCATGTCGGAAGACATCCCACAGCACTGGACAATCGGGGGTTTTGGACCCAAGCTGGGTGGCCGAAGGCACGGTTGAAGAGCAAGGTCTTCAGACAGGACTTGAAGGAGGCACAAGAAGGGGTGAGGTGGAGGGAATGTGGGATAGAGTTCCAGAGTGTGGGGGCAGAGATGCTGAATGCCCGACTGCCAATGGTGGGGTGGGATGTGTAGGGGACCTGAAGCCAGCTGGTATCTGACGAGCGGAAGTAGCTGGGGTTATGAGGTTGGAGAGGTAGGGGGGGAGCAAGACCGTGGAGAGTCTTGAAGGTAAGAACAAGGGCTTTGTACTCAATTATTTGATGAATGGAGAACCAGTGAAGTCAGGCAAGAACAGGGGTGATAGGTTCCCGGAGCTGGTGCGGGAGAGGACACGATCTGCAGAGTTCTGAATAATCTGCAGCTGGTGGAGGGAAGAGTTGGGAAGTCCAGTGAGCAGGCAGTTGGTGTAGTCAAGCCGGGATGTAATGAAAGCGTGGATCAGGATCTATTTGTATAAAATATTTTAATTGTGAAAGCAACAGTGAAATGTGGGTACTTGTGCTTCCATTTTAAAATTTGAATTCTCTCTGATCATCTGATTACAGAACAGTACAGAAATGTTGGGTGGTTCTCTCATTGAATTGCAGCTAATTTTATTTTCTGGTACCAATTGTGCCTAATAGGTTACATACATACCAAAATCCTTTAGGTCCTGATTGTTCTGCCGTGCCCTCATCTGAAGCTGGAATTTGTGTTGGGATGAAGCCAGGTGCAGAAGATATTGACAGGTCTTGCTGCTATCTGTCTGAAACAGATGCTTTATGCCATCTGAAGTGTTTTGCAAGGTAATCTTCTTTCTCTGTCATCAGGAAGAGAACATGGTATGAAATAATTATAACGATAAATGAGAAACATTAACTGCAGTATTAGATTAAACAGTTTGACTACAACAACTCTTTGTGGTTACAATGCTGAACTTATACTCAACTAACATATGGTTCATGGACTTTTGAAAAATAAAACCAAGATTATATTGACTCATTCTATTATAAATAACAAGTTTCCTATTAAATATTTTCAATTGCTATAATAACACTTGGATTTGATATAGCTCTTTTCACGTTTTCTAGACGTCTCAAATCACTTCACAGAATATACTGTAAAGTGAATTGACTGTATATTTTGTGGGCGATCTCCCCCTCCCACATACAAAGTAATTGTCTGTAAATCAGTTCAAGTTGAGTCAAAAGAGAACAACTTCTGTAGTTAAAATGATTGAGTTAGAAGAAGCACATGGGTTAATAATAAAGCGCTCTGAGATGCTACCCTGCGTGGAGGGTGCTATATAAGTACAAGTTGTTGTTGCTGTAAATGATAGGTAATGTCAATAAATATGACCTCTTGGGGAGGAAGGAATTAAAGTTAAAAGATTACAATATTGAAATACAGCACTGTCCTTTCACCTCATATTCACAGAATAAAACACAGTCTCTGAAGGAGTTTCTCCTGGAGTCCTGGCCAACAATTCTCCAGATCAAATTGATCATTTACTTCATGGCTGTTTGTAGGGCATTACTGTGTACAAATCATCAGCCACATTAATCCTCACAAATCTGCCAGCAGAGTAAATTTGAGTAATCAACTGCACACAGCCATCGTTTCTCTTCCATTATATCTGTTATGTGGAGTTCCTGATTTTAGGAGTGAGTTTTGGGAAAAGCCTTCAGTAAGGATAATCCGGAGAATATAAATTATTCCTCTGTCAACCTATCCAGTAACAGACTAGCCAGTTGGCAGGGTTACCTGCTATCACTCTCAACCATTTTGGTATGTGTGGGGGAGGGGGAAACAAAACCACTGTGGGTATGAAATTCCTCCTGTAGTTCAGTGTGGAGATGCATTAAGCATGTCATCAAAATTGAACTAAGAGGAATTTCACACCCTAAAAGTCAAGAATAGAATTTACAATTCACTTCAAGTGCCTCAACACTTCATTTGAATTTTATTACTTCAATTTGGTTATTTACTGTTCTGTTTTAGAATATAACCTCTCTGTATTTTCAACGAAAGAAAATACCCCAGGAAATGCCTGTTTGAGCAATAGTTTCCAAGAGGTATTTCTCCTGAGCAGTTTTCACCAACTTAACTAGATTGGAAGCTTAATTCATTCAACATATGAATCCCATGCAAAGCACTAGAGGCAACATAGAACAAACTAAATAGAACCAACCACAGCTGCTATGTACAATAGGGTTAATGGCTGAAGCCCACTTACGTTGAAAGCAATTTTCTTTGTGTCTCTCCATGGAAACCGAAGAATGGATGTCCTGACCCCATTACAAACCTCATAAACGATAACCCCTTTAGAGCAAATGCCTAGATTTATCCCAGTGGACGATTTCTTCTCTGGCATAACTCGGTAGAACAGCACGCCATACTCGGACAGTTTTTCACACACCTGAAAGCCAAGTCAAACAGAAAAATAAATAAATAACATAAAAACAAAGTGAGCCTACAGAATTTCACATTGTAGTACTAGAAAATTATAACGTATGCATGTAGATCAGCCATGAGCCGTGCAAATAGTATTTATTTTCTCTTCTCCCCCCGCCCCCCACCCCCCACCCCTTCACCATTTCAGGTTTAAACATCTAAAATTCTGGAATTTGCAGGGTGCAACGAGAATATGTCCGTGACCCCTTAACACTTCCCATAAGTGGATCACGGATATTACCGAAAGCAGTCAAGCCGGGATTCTACTCATCCACCCTACCATAAAACTAACTACCAATCTCTCCACTGTGCAGATAGTAATTATATAGAAGTCTGATGTTCCAGGAAATAGCTTCCACTGCAACCCTGAGCATTCTTTTCATTGCTGCCATTACTAGAGATCCAAACAGCACAAATACAAGAAACTTTGGGATGAATTTCAACCTATTCAATCTCATCCGTCCAGAATACCCACTCTACCTTCTTCCCAAGACATCATCAAGCAATTTGTTAAAGTGTCCTGGGATCACCCCCCATACTCCCCATCCCATTCAATCATTAAGAAAGTTACTGTTGACTGCCCTGATATCACAGTCCTGAAGCTGTGCTGATGCCTTGGTTTATATATTGTTCCTTATCTATTATATTAAGAGTCCCCTCTGAAACATTTAGTATTGAGTCGGTTCCTATTAGAGTGAGAAGACGTAAAAGCCAAAATCTGCATACACACAAGTACATTGTATCTCAACAGCAATAGTTGTCTTTACTAGACAGAAATAACTGCAGCTAGTGTGGAGTTGAGTACTTAATGTAAGTAAAGTTGGATGAGTTCTGTATGACCCTAATGTTTCAATATTAGAAAAAGCCGCAGTTAGCTCTTAGTGCAATACCACTCTGGCCACCAGAGGCCTGAAAGCAGTTTACAGCCTAAACTGTACCATTGCTTCAGTCCATACAAATCTAATAAAAGAATAGTTGATGAAAGAACTTTGGCATCACATGGTTAGAATGCTTAAATGTAGTTTTATTCCACAAGATACATATTATGCTATCCGTTTACCAGCCAGTCGCGCAAAATGTTAGTATGTTTCAATTCTAACCCTCTATATTTTTCCACTTTCTAAACAATACTTGCTCAGAATTGATCCCTTGTCCAAGTTTCAGAAAGCTGTACTTTCAGCACCATCTCACTTGGGTGAAAAAGTGATGGCCTCCATTGAAATGATATTTTAAAGGGAACATTAAATACTAAAGAAAATATTAATTTAACATCAAATACTACAATACAAGGAACTCAGTAAAACTGGGAACAATGAGAAATATTTTAAACAACGCAAATCTGATTTCCCTCTTTCCGCACTAAAAGGCAATACCTTCATAAATTCAAGCTGAGTCTCTGTTTCTGTGGCTCCACAATATGTGCTGTGCATTTTGGTCAGTTCTTCCTTCATGTAGGAGTGGTGCAACGTCTCCATCACTCCGGCTGGTAAATAATGTTCAAGCCGGAAATAATTCTTCCCATGAAGCTATCGAGAGCAAAAATAAATACTGTAGTTCCATATCACACATTAAAAATCAAAAAATAACATTTCACAAAAATTTGGACAAATGTCAGGAGAACCATCCTATTATGTGGCTGTTGAGATCCAGGAAATTCCAACCTGCATTATAAGCAAGGACATTAAAAAAAAACTCATCACCAGTTAACACATCCGGATTTGTTTTGTCACTAGTGATGTTACTGCGGCTCGTTGCGCACCTGCAAGGAAAGCTCTCACATTATGATACTTGCCTGATTGCACTATTCTCATGATGCACAACATAATCTACTAACTGTATTCTTACAATAATGGGATTTTCGGGCTTTGATGTCACAAAATATTGGGGTGCATTACCTACTTGCCTTATAAATGAGGAAGTGCTATATTGAAGGGCATTATATTGGGGTTCACCAATTACTCCCAAATCTATGATCCTATTGTCTCTTCCAGCTTCCTGCCATGTCCAATGAGACAACCACAAACTCCCAGGTCTTACTGACCACAACATTTGAAAACCTTTTTGACTGATAATAAACTCACTAAGAACACCAAATTTTAATTGTGTCAAAAATTTGCAAATGATGTGCTCATTTTATGTGTATATGGTATCTATGTGTGATAGAAATCACAATGAACAAACTAAACCAACGAGTCTCATTGTAACTTTCATCTTCAGATTCATGTTATTCAATCCAATACCACTCAATAGTTACTGTATTTACAGTAATCTACTGCTCTGTCTGCAAGTACATAGAAATGTTTGTCCAACTTCTCAAAAGCCTCAGAATAGAGTTCTTGCAGGTTGGTCTGCTGTATGTGGGGTTCCCTGAAGCAGTCACTTTAACTGCTTAACTGAGGAGCTTTTTCTAAAGTTGAGACATTACTTACAATGCCTTTTTTTCTGATGTGCACATTTTCAACTCTTCTATGAATTTTTTGATTTGGCATATTTATATACAACGGAGGCTGTGCTAAATCTGAGGACTCAGCAAGGCAATGGCATACCATGGCATAATGTGGAGGAAGTACATGTAATTTATGCAGGTTACTACAGATACAGAGCAGTAAATTCAAGTGTACCTCGGGCTGGTAGTCACCAAATTCTGTTTGGAGGGCTAATGATGCAAGTAGCAAGGCAGTTTCTTCATCACAATGTAACCTCTCTTCCAAAATATCTCTTCTCAACTGCAAGTAGTATTGATGCCTGGTCAGCGTGTGACTTCACAAAGTTTATAATTTAGGGAAAAAAAAGAGATTCACTGAGTGATTGACCATTTTAACACATGATAAATCAATATGTACTAATAAACATTACACGACTAATAATAATCCTTATATTTAGTATAGCGCCTTTCAGCTTGGGAAAACATTCCAAAGTGCTTCATTCACAAAGCTCTTCACAAGGTTTTACTATAAAGTGCAGTGCCTGTGTGTTTTGTGGGTGAAAATGGCAGCCAATTTGCATACAGTAATAACCCACTATCAGCCATGTTGTGGATTTGGTGACCAATTTTATTTGCGGGATTATTTGGAAGAAATTCTCTTCTTTTTCTGAATAGTGTTGTTGAATCTCTAACGTCCACCCGAGTAGGCAAACAGAGCCTTGGTTTAACATCTTATCTGAAGGATGGCACCACCAACAATGCAGTACACACCCAACACTGGATTGTAGTGCCAGTTTAGACAATATGAGCTTTAAGTCCCAATTTGGAGCTTGAACCCACAACCTTCTGAGTGAGAAGCAAGTGCACTACCAACTAATATTGGTGATATTATAAAATAGTAATCTGAATTGTAAAAGAATATTACGAATGCTGTTAAAATCATGGATGGGAACTGAGAAGCATCAAGAATTAATGCACCATCCTTTCATCCCTGGAAACTGGGTTTGAATGTAGCTCAGACTGATGAGATAAATGTCGCCTTTTTAGGCCAGCGGTTAAGAAATTTAAAAGGAAACTGATCTGGGCAATTATATTTTAATTCCAAGTGGACCTAGTGCAAATCTACCACAAGTCAGAATTAGATGTTACTAGATTTGTAAGTATGAGATTGTTATGAATATGGTCTTGGGCCTTCAGAATACCATGGGCAGGATTGCAAAAAATTTTAAACACTACCCTTTCATTTGAGATCGGGTCTGAACGCAACTCAGAGTAATGGAATGAAGGCTATTCCTGCTGGTTTTTAACATGAAATAATTCCAGCAGTCACCATTTCAAACATCAGAGATTTTGTTTGTCAGGCTTTTGATGAATATCCACTTTCAACAGGCCAAAGACATCTTTTAAGGACAATTTACAATTCACCAGCTACTGTGAGGTTCAACAAGTCCAAGTCTAATATTATGCCCCAAGCCTACTGGACACCAACTAAGTCAGTGCTCTCATGTAAATACACACACCATTTGTTGAGATACGTAATATGTGCACATCAATAGTCAGCACTAGACAAGACCGTCAGAAGAGTTGATGAGAGACAATTGAAGATAAACAATGGTGGAAAGGTACAGCCACGATTACAGGGAAGGGGAAGGAACATCTTGGAATGAGTTGGTGAATTTTATTTAAAAAACATATTGGGGTATTTCTAGACTAAATTATTAAGGTTAAATATTAGCCACAAATGATCAACGATTAAGCTAGACAGCTGTCTAAAGCACCTGACAGTAACCCAGACAGCTATACAAGTTGCAACAAACCATATCTAATAGTGGAGGTATAATACTTTGGCAAAATCATATATTCTGCAGAGAGAATGGAGCTAACTCACGTGGGATGCTTTGATGCCAGAATTAACAAAACAATGGCAATTTTTTTCTCCCAAGATGTTAATTACTTCACTTTGAATGCAACTTAAAATAACTGTGGACAATTTTGAATTTGGTGTTTTTTTAAGGCAGGGGTTAAAATTACAATCTCTGCCTTGTCTTTTATTTGAATGAACTGGTGAAAAAAGTACCTACAGAGTAGAGATATGGCAATACTTACTGGATTAAGCTGACATCTTCTACAAAAAACTTAATGCGGAGAAAAAGGGTGAAATTTACAGTCATTTTGTTCTTTTTCTTCTCTTCTTTCCATCCCTCTGGTGCCACTTTGGACAATTTTAATTCAGGTTCAACAAAAAATAGTTCATTTTCTACAAAAAAAGGACAGGATATTTGAGCACAAAACGCACCTCAAGTCCTGAGGCACTTATTCCAATATTAGATGCTATTTACAATGACAATTTCCTGACCAGTGCCCTCTTCAACCCCAAAATATGATAAACCCCAGTAGTCATTACTGCACTGCTGATGAGCAAAGAATTAACCCAGCATAAAAAAAATTGAAGATGGCTTGGAGCCAACACAATCTGAAGAACAGGCCAACAGGATAGTCACCCTGAGATGTTTCAATACAGATGGCAACCGAGAACCTATCACCTTTGTGTTGGCTAGAATATCATCCCTGGAACATGACAAACAAAACACTCAAAAGCTTCTAAAATATGCTGTAGGAATGTCAGCACTCCATGGCCTGCAACAAAAGTGCCCGCAATGCAAATAGCATTTCCCCAGGGAATCCACAGCACAGCACGAAGGGTGGTGAATCTTAAGCTATGCTGAAATCTTAGGTCTAAGCTTAAATACCGTGACTCTTCATGCCCGTAGAAGCACTGTTTAAATGCTGTCTAAAACACATTTTGACTACTAGCTAGCTTCCATATCCAAGATCACAGAGGTCAATGTGAAGCAAGCTCTAACATTGACCACAGTATGTGATGTAAAGCAGAAGTACGGAGAACAGCCAGAATTCCAGCTGCAATATTAAAAGTAAACATTAGAAATTCCAACAGTTCACAGTGAGGTGAACTGTGATGCTGGCAAACAAGATGCTGGCAGGAGGGAACCAGCAAATTAGCAACGAGTGTGAGTTCGTCCAAATACATGATGATTTTTGAACAATGATCAACCCAAGCAGTGGGTGTGATATAGATTACTCAATGTAAGCATTTGTCTGAGACATCTGATCTGCAAAATTCTAATGTTCCCAGCTAGCATTTGCTGTCAGTATTGGAAGATAAATGCAGCTTTCAATAAGTTTAGTCAAAATAATATAATAATAATAATAATAATAATCCTTGCATTTGATATAGCGCTTTTCACGTCGGGAGGACGTCCCAAAGCGCTTCACAGAACACACTGTAAAGTGAATCGACTGTATATTTGTGGGTGAACGCGGCAGCCAATTGCGCACAGCAATGTCCCACAAACAGTCGTAGATTGAAAATGACCAATTTATTATTGTTTTGTTTTTTGGAGGGATTATTATTAGGCATGTGGAGTAAGGAAACTTGCCCAAGGTTTCGCCCTGCCTGGAATTGAACTCAGGTCTCTCGCTTGCAAAGCGAGTGCTCTAACCACTGAGCTACAGGACACCAAAAGTCCATCATCATATCAAACCTGAGCATTACTCTTGAAAATTTACTTTCTGGATACTTGTTTAAAATTACTTGAAAACCCAGCATCTACGTCTTGGTCGGATGTAGAAACATAATAGTGTCCAGGTATCCAAAGTATGACACTCCATTACCAACAATCTTGCTTTTAATCATTTGTTGAGGTTTAAATTTACGCATATATATATATATATTGCTGTTTGTTTTTGCAAAAAATATTTTCCAGAAAAACTGGAGGTTAACCCAAGACAAATACAAATGGCCAGAGTTAAATTAATATTTTACAGCTATCTATGTACCTTTTAAATATGCCAAGGCAAAAAAGTGATGTTCCACCAGACCGATGTAGGCAACCACCATATCGAAGACATCCTTACACATCGATTTGGTGTCACACGTCAACTCTAAGCGCTGTCCACTCAGAAGCATGATGTTCAATTTGCGCCGGATATCGTCACCTTTTCCTTTTTTCTGCAAAGGATTAAAGGATTAAAGGATGCTCTTCATTGGATTCTTTGGAGCAAAGCTTTACGGGGAAAGCCAGGCAATTAATGTGCTGTCCATGTTGTCAAGAGTGCAAACTGATAGCTCTCCACCTCTCTGTGAATGCTTTAAACTTACCTGAAAGCACTTTTAAAAATTCTAATTTTTCTGGTCAGCCGGGTGTCTAACACATGCATAAACACATCACCATGCTTACGACTATTCAAACCAAACAGAATTCCATATACATAAATGCCACCTGCACATGGAGCAGAATGTGCACTCTTCTTGGAGGCATGCACTCTGTTGACTCAATTCCAGTGGATATTAGGCGCATATTTGCAAAAGCCATTGGGATACTGGTGGAGTTTAACCAGCTAAAATCACATAGCTTGCCATTGAGAGCATTGGCTGGCAAGTGCCCCACTGCTTGTCCAGCTAGGACCACTGACCCATTAGGGTTTGGGCTTGCAGGGTTAACAGGAGCCAAGTGGGAAGAATCCCTGCCCGTAGAGAGGTTTGCCTATCACAAGTGGTTATGCAAAAGTCAATTTGGTTTGACTTCAAAGCATTGCAGTAATGTGTTTCTTCAATTAAAAAAAACTTGATATAAACTTCCAATCAGATGGGTGTCTTCATACTCGTTTCTACACAAAACTTCACATTATTCCCCTCATTCATTCTTAAAACGTTTCAATTTGTAACCGGAATTATAATAACTAATTCTTATATGAATGTTTTTAAACACAGAGTGAACTGCAACAAGATTACATCTGGCTGTCAACAGATAGCGATGATTCTCATTGTTAATCTTTACCAGAATCGATGTAGGAAGGTCCAGTGCAATAGAAGGCTCGCTGATCATTTTCACAAACTCAGGTCCAAAGAAATTCTGAGTGGCGAAAGTCAAAGAACATTTTAAGTTAGAAATATGGTTACTGGATACATTGTTAAATAAATGTAAAAGAGATATAAATGCTATTGTATCCTGTGACCCAACTTTCCCCTGAACTCAACAAACTTCCCCTCCCTCACTCTGCCCCGCCAACAGTGGGCGAGCTTTCAGACAATCTGCTTCCACTCTTTGAAACTTCATCCTGGAGTTCCTCCTCCTCCCTCTCTCTCCCTGCTTCAGAACATTGGTATGCTTCATGTCCTCCACACTATCCGCCCCACCATCGGCAGGCAGGCTTTCAGATTTTCTCTGGAATTCCATCCCAGAGGCCCTCCACCTTGCTCCATCTCTTCCCTTTTTTTTAAAAAAAAGTCTCAAAATATATTTATTCGACTACACTTTTGGTCATCTTTCCACTCCCCACTTGCACTGGGAAGTGCTTTGCGGCAGTAATTGTAAATTAGTTTAAATTTAGCACACCTTCATTTAATGCAAACATACAGATACATGCCAGTTTCCTTTATGTCTTTCACTTCATGGCTTCTCCTCACACCACACCATATACCACCCAGCCATAACATGGGTAGCTAAACATGGCTTCATGCCTCTGACATTATTCCTCTAAAAACTGTAAGAATAGCTTGTGATGACTCATCTTTCAATTTTCCCCAATCCTTATTAATTATTATTTTACAAATCACTAGTGCTCCATCAGGTGAAAAATGTTAGCCCCACCTAATGGAACATTTTTCTACCAGTTTCAGCCTTGAGCACTGCCTGGTGGGGTGGAGCAAGGGTTAAATGAACTGCTTCATATCACGGCTCTTTCGGTTTTCTACCCACGACTCCACATGCCATGATTTTGGTCATGGATCTCTCATCTGGCTCTTTATCGAAGGTCTTCTGAAATCCAAATACTCTAATCCACTGCATTTCTCTTGTCTACTTTATCTCTTACATCTTCAAATAAATCACTCAGGTTGGTCAAGCATAACAGACCTTCTGTAAATTCATTTTGTAAATAGATTCAAAGTAAGATAGCAACAATTTCAGATAGAAGTAGATCACTGATTCAGTTAACCTAGCCCACAAATCTAGATCTGAGAAATGAAACAACAAACTGTAGTCCAATGCACCAGTAACATTTCTACCAATCGGCTGCATATTTTGCAACAACTCACTGTGCACCAAAAAGTGGATGCATTTAATAATAATAATAATAATAATCCTTGCATTTGATATAGCGCTTTTCACGTCGGGAGGACGTCCCAAAGCGCTTCACAGAATATACTGCAAAGTGAATTGACTGTATATTTGTGGGCGAACACGGCAGCCAATTGCGCACAGCAATGTCCCACAAACAGTCGTAGATTGAAAATGACCAATTTATTATTGTTTTTTGTTTTGGAGGGATTATTATTAGGCTCTGTGTGGAGTAAGGAAACTTGCCCAAGGTTTCGCCCTCTGCCTGGAATTGAACTCAGGTCTCTCACTTGCAAAGCGAGTGCTCTAACCACTGAGCTACAGGACTCCACAATTTAATTTCCTCATTAAATACAAGTGAACTCTTCACCTTCAGTTTTCTTTGTGACATGGATGTTTCCATAGCTACATCTCTCAAGGGGTCCCTGTTGACATCCAACATGGATACTTGGTGAAGTTCCGATTGAAGCTGTTTCTGAGCTAATCTGCTCTGTAGTTGTCTCAATTCTTCTTCCTGACGTTTCAGCATCAACTCCTGGCTCATCATGTTCTCATCTGTCGACATCTCATATGGACTGCTGATTTTTTAATAGGTTAGATTTAGAGAATTATGCAAAAACAACAACTGATCACTCAAGTTTTACACTCGCTTACCTTTGTTTTTTATGAATGAAAAAGGTTTCTCGTTCACCCACTTTCTTTTATATTGAGTTGTTCAATGCAATAAGCCATTCTAACTGAGTAACCTGCTTCCAGTCACTGTCTACACCACTCTGTTGCTAAGTGACAATGTGAAATGGCACAGGTTTGATTTACACATGAATTTTCCCTTGCTTTATAATGAAACTACCATATCAACAACAACAACAACAAAATTACATTTATAGAGCGCTTTTCATGTCGGGAGGACGTCCCAAAGCACTGTATAGTCAGGTGTCGGGGTCCGAGCATGGGGGGAGGGGTGGTGTAGGGGTGAGGGAAAGCAGAGAGGTGGGAGGGCAACCAAAGGCACAATCGAAGAGGCGGATCTTGAGACCGGCCTTGAAGGAGGCAAGGGAGGAAGCAAGGCTCCGACCAGAGATTACATTGGAGGAGACTTCTTGTCGGTCAGTGCGCTATATATGGGGTGTCCTACAGGAGGTGCTCTTTCCAACACTAAGGCAGCATTTCCATTACAAGTCGATTACAAGTCTATTAACAATTCTGAACTAAATTCAAATGGTAGTCAGTAAGCTGCTCTAAACTATTGCATTGGTTGAATAATTCCTAAATCTGTTTTACAAATACAGCAGTGATAACATTTATGGCAGAAGATTCACCTTGCTCTCCTAACCACATTATGACCATCCTCTAAGGACTCATCTCCTGCAGCAAAACCTACTGGAAAACTGTATCTCCGAATTTCTTCACTCCTGGGAACTAGTGGGGGGGAGGAGAGAAAGAAAACAGAAAATTAGAAAGGTATGTCTGTGCTATCTAACATTCAACCATATAAAATGTCCAACATTTTTACTTCAGTTATTTAAGCCTTTGTAGGTTGTTTTTTGTCACATAATTTAAAGCGTAGAAATTGGCAATGGACATCTGGTGCATTTCCATATTAACACCGAAAAAGCGTATTCAACAAGTATGTTTATCGGCAGCCCCCCTCTGCCCCAACACAGCCCCTGTTTGCCTAGAGTAAGTAGGAACCCAGTTGTTAGTTGATAGGTAGATCACTTTTCCAAGGGTAATAATTCCTTCAAAAAATATATAATAAACTGGTCACTCAATCCATGACTGTTTGTGGGACACTGCTGTGCGCAATTAGCTGCCCCATTTCGCCCATCACTTTACAGTACATCCTGTGAAGCGCTTTGAGACATCTCAAAGACGTAATAAGGCACTATATCAAATGGAAGTATTATTATTATTATTACACATTGTCGATGGCACTTGAGAGGGGTGGGGTTTACCACCAAATAAAAGTTGATTATGGTCACATTAGCATCAGAGACTCAGTCAACCGAAGTAACAACTCTTGAAATTCTTCTCTGTCCACAGGGCAGGGTTGGATTCATTCTTCAGTGTTAAATGAGACATAGGAGCAGAAGAAGGCCATTCAGCCCTCGAGTCTGTTCCGCCAGTATGTAAGATCATGGTTCAACTGTACCTCAACTCCAATTTCCCGCTCTTGCCCCATATCTCTTGACACCTAACAAAAATCTATTCATCTCAGTCTTGAAAATTTGAATGGATCCAGCATCCACAGCCTTTTTGGGAGAGAGTTCCAGATTTCCATCACCCTTTGTATCCATGCCACAAACAATATGTAGATTTTAGCTGGTCCTTACCCCCAGTACTAGAGAAATCAAGACACCCAAATTACCGCTTCAGTAGCCCAAAATTTGTTTCCATAACACTGCATACATTTGTATTCCTGGTTGCCTTGCAACCTCCTACCTCTCTGACCTGCTGACTCCCTACTCACCTGCCCGCTCCCTCCGTTCATCAGGCTCCAGTCTGCTCCATGTCTCCCGCCCGACCCGCTTTACCATCGGTGGCCAAGCTTTCAGGCTCTCTGCCCCCACACTCTGGAACTCCATCCCACAGTCCCTTCGCCTCGCTTCCTCCCTCGCCTCCTTCAAGGCCGGTCTCAAGACCCTTCTCTTCAACCGTGCCTTTGGTCTCCCTCTCACCTCTCTGCCTTCCCTCACCCCTACACCACCCCTCCCCCATGCTCGGGATCCGACATCTGCTGTTCAGCGCTTTGGGACATCCTCCCTACGTAAAATGCGCTCTATAAATGTCATTTTGTTGTTGTTGCTATTGCTGGTTGATATTTGAAGATACCAACAAGAGGGGCTTTGAGCAATGGTTTGAAAAACAAAAAGCATTCTTTGTAGTTGACTATCAAATAAATGAAGCATACAATAAGCACGTACACCAGCCTTTGGTGAGCTCACGCACTCATTGGAAATGGAATAATAAATAAATAATCTTTGCATCTGATATAATGCTTTTTCGCGTCTTCTAGACAGCTCAAAACGCTTCACAGAATATACTGTAAAGTGAATTCACTGTATATTTGTAGGTGAATCTTGTGGGATTCTTGAAGAATGCCTCCAATTTATGGGAAATGGAAGGACAAGGCTAATGATGTTAGATTCATCACATTTCTTTTGCTTTTATGAAAAGAAGTTCAAGAAGAGTTATGTTTCAGGTTTTATGATGCTGAGAAATGGGGAATATAGATTTGAGGTCCTTGCATAATTGTGTGATGCAATACTGTGAAGAGGGACTGAAACAAATAGAACAATCACAAAATAAAATGTATAAAGTTAATTTCTGATAAAGTATTATACTGTCTAACATTCTACTATTAACATTACTTGATGACAATAGTCACCAGCAACATCACTAATAAATCAGGGACTCTGGGATATTAGCACATTGTGCACTTCTGACATTGGGAAGTAAAGTTTAGCCCTCCTAAAAACTCCAAAAATATCTGATTCAATTTTCAGATTAGTTTAGTGACACATCAATTTCACCCCCAACTCACACGAAACAAAGCCTTTAACTTTTATATGAAACACACACTCTGGTATTCGAAAATGAAACTGGCCAGACAAACCAAAACGGTCTTTTCCAGCCTTGCACATTCCTTCATCCATATAAACAAAGCAAACTACTTTGTCTGTAAAGTGAAGCAAAAGCAGAAAGCGCTCAGCTAAACACTTTATTTTTTCATTGGGAGAGAAAAGTACAAAACATCTCATGTTCTGGGTAAATCCATCTTTGTTCTCTTAGGTGTTAATTACTCATAAAGGTCTCATTATTGTAATGAATTTTATCAGGGACATCACTAAAAAGTGACAACTTATGCTGACAGGAGGCTCAAATTTAATGCTAGCAGCCAACAAAACACAACTGAAGGGATTGATTTTGTTAAGCCAACATTCCAACTAACCACCCAGCCACACAATGATAACAAGGTGCACGACTCAATGCTTCAATGTTGTAAAAATATGCAGCCTTTGGCCAACTTCCTAACTTGTGATTTTAATTGAGATGATTTTTCTTCAGTAGAAAATTACAACAATTAGGTGATTATAATAAGCACTAGCAAAAAATATATATTACTTATTAAATAGAGGAAATGAAAAGCTACAGATAGGGAAGATAGTTTGTTGTCTCTCACAGCCTCCGCCTACATAAATTATCAATGGTGCTGCAACATGACCAACGATGACAGCACCATTCAACTGCTATGATATAAGGATGATTGATATTCAATGTGACCACAACTGTGCTGCGATACAACTGTGCAACTTTATGGCTTATTATTATGATAAACATTGCATGGTACACAGCCAGGACCACCATTAGGACTTTGGCTCACAAGATTAATGATCTGTTTGCAGACACTCCACGTCTCACAGATGAGCCAGACAGACTTGTCAACCTTCAGCTGCGTTTTCAATTACTGCAGATATGTCTGACTTTCTTATGTGCCATTTAAACCAGGTACTCTCTTTACTTCTTCTCTCCCCTCCCTCTGGAGAAAGTGATCACAGGCGTTAAGTTCTGGAAGGATACGATCAAATGGGCCGAAGGGTTTTATCTAAATCAATCTTCTAATCTTGTGATGTAAGTGTCCAGCAGTAAATAGGGTCCCATTACAATAATATTAGGAGCACAGAACTTTCAAGAGCAAACAAACCATAAAATAAATTAGATCTTTTTTAAGATTTGTAAGAAAACTACTGACTGTACTCAAACACCATTAGTATTGAGAAATCATTAAGAATTTGCTTAGTAAAGGAGCATCAGCTAGCATCTGGATTTTAGAATACCATGTCGAAAATCTGGGTCTGAAGAAACAAGCGATGGACTTTCACTCGATGTACTGTACGCGTCACTGTGGCGTGCTGTGTATTCCACTGCAGGTTCTAGCAAAAAAAGAAAAAGAATGTCAATATTACAGTGTCATATTACAGGGGAAAAATGACATTACATCATCAGTATGTCTTCCTGCTCAAAATCTTTAACCCACATGCCTGCAGTATTGCACCAATCCAACGGATTTAGGTCTGTGAACCAATTCTCAACTGCTTTGGAGAATTCCAGCCTCTCTGGTTCAGAATGAAGATACTAAATACCTCTGTTGCACTTCATGACCCAGTTCCTTTGTGGGCTTAGGAGTTAAAGCAATACACCTCGAAAAAGTTTGCCAAAACTAACTGTGAGCACTGCATTTCTTTTATGTTCAGCAAAATACTGTAGCAATTGCATTTAGTTGAGGTCAATCATAAGCGTAACTTTAACAAAACATCCATATGTATTGAAATTTCCGAATTGGTGATGCTTTTTAATGCTCCGGAGATGCTAGTATCCCCTTCTAGTATCCTCTTCCGCTTCCTCATATTGGCATATAGGTTACATTTCGGGTCATCTATACAGAACTGAGGAGGCAAAATTAATTCTATTTAGTAATCTCACACGTTATTTCACCTGTCTTTTCATCACACATACAGATCACTACAGCGCAGAAAACTGGCTATTCGACCCATTGTTGCGTACAAAATGCTGTCATTACACTTTACAGTAAATCCTGTGAAACATTTTGATGTGTGAAAGTTGCCATTTCAAATGCAAGGATGATAATGAGGATGATTATTATCATCATCATCAATTCTGCACTTTTTTTTTCCCACCTCACATGAGCCGCCAAGCCGAATCCCACCCCCCCCTGGCTTTCTCCACGTACCCATAATAATCTGCTTTTCAATCATCGATCCAATTTCCTTTTAAAATAATTTGTGGTCTCAATAGATTTAAAGAATTCCTCATTCCAAACCCCCTCCATTCCTTCCATTCTTCCTTCTCACATATGAAAAAAGTAACATGCTTGTGATGTATAAAATAATATGGCAACACAAGGATAATATAATAGAAGGAACACAGAGGAATAATATGAGAATCAACAAAATGATATTACACCGTCAGCATGTCTTCCTGCTCAAAATCTTTAACCCATATGCCTGTGGTATTGAACGAATGCAGTGGATTTGAGTCTATGATACAATTTTTAACTGTTTGGGAAAATTACAGGCTTTCTGGCTCAGAATCAGGATACTAAGTACTTCCACTTTATTTCATGACCCATTTCCTTTGTGGACAGCATTTACATAGCATTGGGAGGATGTCCTGAGGGGCTGGACAGTGGAGGGTTTACACCCGAACTGGGGGTTGGATTCAAAAGGGAAAAGGGGCTGAAGGAGGTAAGGGAAGGGGCGAGGCAAATGGATTCCGGATTTTGACAAGGATTTGGGTAAATTTTTCATGCCTCACTTATAAATATTGAATCCAGCAAACCACACTATAATAAGTTTCTTTGTGGTCCAAATCAATTTCCTTCCCAAATCACTTTCTTTCTACCCACTGTCACGCTGCATTTTGAGCATTCATTGAAGGCCATTCATTATTTTCACCAAAACCAATGCTCAAAGTGCAGTACAAATAAGTTTAACTGTAGATTTGTTTTGTGCCTGTACTCTACAAAGGGAAATAATGAAACACGTACTTTAACTCAGATTAAGGAATCTAGAGAATGCCTTGTACCAATTTCATTCTTTGGATGAGTTTTGCTGATGGATAATATAACGTCATGGCAAATAACAAGAAAAATTAAAAATCTGCTTAGATCTATACATTTCATGGTATCAAGCCATGAGTTTTAGATCCACTCATTCCAGTTACCGGTTTCATGAATACATAAAAAAAACATAAAAAATCTCATTAGCTAAAGTTTTTGCAATTTAAAAAAAAACTTTTCAATTGTTGCCAAACCATGATCTCCTAACTCTGCGGAAAATGGGAGTGATAATAGGAAATTAGATATTATACTGGTTCTCTTGAGGCTTTTCTAATGGCCCTTAAATTGTAATGAGGTCAAGGAAAGAAACTGAGGTTAAACCCATGCACAAGTAGTTCTTGGAAATAATACAATTTTTGAAATGGTTTATAGTAAGAGGAAAAAGATAATCTGTGCTCTCATTTTGCAGAATAAGCTGCAAATTGTTATTCTTACAGGATATAGAATTACAAAAAATCCAAGTATCAAAACAGGCCATTTAGCCCAGTCCATATCCGTGATTCCATCTGAGCCTCCAACCATCCGAATTCCCTTCCCCCTGCCCCCGACCAACTTTCCCCCTTACCCCTCATGTATGCATGTAGACTCATAAAGACTTATTAAGTGCTCTGAGATGCTGACCCACATAAAGCTCACTATTTAAATGCAAGTTGTTGTCATACTCTACTGAGGAACTAACAATGAAGAGGGCGATTGGATTTTATTATACAGTGATTTTATTGGGAATAGAGGAATTTTTATTCCAGTGAAGGAGCATATAGAGAAACTAATGCCTTGATTATTTGTGAATATCTTCAATTAGCAGTGATTTGTGTTTGGGGAAGTCTATTTGGTTTTATGCCATTACCATTTCTGGAAATATAAAATAACTGCAAAGGAAAATAGTTACTCTATTGGAAATTGTTAAGTGCTCTGGGACGCTACCTGTGTGAGGGGTGCTATATAAATGCAAGTTGTTGTTGTTTCTAATAGCTTAAGCATATATGCATTATTTACATTATTATTACTTCATTCACCCACAGTATTATTACTGTTATATATAGTTCACTCATAAAAATAGTTGTGAAACTCTATTTTTGTTTCAGATTTTCAAATCCTGTGAAATGTTTTGAGATGTCCTCACGACGTGAAAGGCACTGTATCAGATTTCTACATATGCATTTTATAGTTGGAATTAGTAAGAAAAAGTCTGACTACTTGCAAAATGATCTAGATTACAGATAATATACTAATGAGGAATATTCTTGTTAAATATATTATACAGTCAAGTAAATGATACAAGTGTATATTTCTAGGCTGGGCCAACCATTTGTAGAATAAACATTCTTTCAAAGTGTATTTGATTAAATCTGTTAAATAAAACAAATGGGAAAATGTGAACTTTTTTTTCAATGGTCACAAACATGGCTTAATTTTTTTTAACTATTTGAGAGTTAATCACATCTACTGGATTACTGTGAAGACTCAAATCTTTTTGAGCACGGTTATAGGGTCAGAGATAGTTTCCATGTTTGGTGATTTGTTCTACCAGCAACCAGGTCAATTTAGACATTTACGGACTTCAGCTTTGCTGAAAGTGTCATCTCTAAAAATTAGTCAAAGTGCACTCAAATTAAATTTTAGATTGGGATGTGACTTCACCTTCAGGTTATGCAAAATACAAAGAGGTTTACATTTTTTAAAAAAATCTTGTGAAACATCTGTGGAAATGAATAATGCGATCTGGAGACAGAATTCCAAACAATTGCAAAAATCTGAAAATATGGATGTGGCACTTCGCTCACTGCCACATTGGATGTGGCAATGAACCACACACACCAAGGACAAGGTACAATATCTGTCTAGAGCTGAATTATCCTATCTTGGAACATGAGCAGTTTAAGCGATAAAACTGATTTCAATTTAACTATGCTATCAGAAAAAAAATTATCATTTGCAGGGCCTGACAATTTACTAACAGGACAAAAAAAATTAATACTTGATCTGGTATTTTTGAATCATATCACATTTAGTTAGTGTATGGAATGCGCACTCTCTCCCTGAGGGATGCATCCTGCTTACTTAATTCCGGAAAGTACATCGCTATCTGGCAAACTTTCCTGCTACCTGAGCTGGACCACTGGATCACCAGTAGGGCTTTGGCTGCAGGGTTAACAGGAGTTGAGTGGGATGGTTCCCTGTCCCCAGTGACTCGTCTGCTCTTCCAAGTCTTTCTGATGAGCCTGTGCTGTCATCAGCAGTACCCTGGTAGACTGCAGACCCACTTAGCTCAGGAACAAGACCCTTAAGACTGCCACAGGGGGCTGGCTCGATTCAGATATTCCGTTGCCAAGCATGTCGCCTTGGAGCCAGTTCAGCTCCAAGAAGACCCTACTTGGCGTAATAAAAACAGTCACTTGGGGCAAGGAATCTTCCCACTCAACTCTTGTTAACACTCAAGCCAAAGCCCTAACAAGTAGAGTGGTCCTAGCTGGACAAGCAGCAGGAAAGCTTGCCAGACAGTGCTTTCAATGGCAAGCTAATCAGTTTTAACTGGTTAGAATCCAGCAGTACAACCAGAGGAAATAACACATATTACACGGTTGCAAAAAATATACTAATTGCTGCTTTAACAAAAACTGGGTGGCCTTTCCTTTTTTTGGGTGGGGACGAAGGGGCCACACCAGCTCTCAGTGCCCAGCACCGCACACAGGCCCAGAGAGCGCGACACGCACTCACAGACACAGAGAGAGCGACACGCACTTACAGACACAGAGAGACACACGCACTCACAGACACAGAGAGACACACACACTCACAGACACAGAGAGAGCGACACGCACTTACAGACACAGAGAGACACACGCACTCACAGACACAGAGAGACACACACACTCACAGACACAGAGAGACACACACACTCACAGACACAGAGAGAGCGACACGCACTCACAGACACAGAGAGAGCGACACTCACTCACAGACACAGAGAGCGACACGCACTCACAGACACAGAGAGACACACGCACTCACAGACACAGAGAGAGCGACGCGCACTCACAGACAGAGAGACACACACACTCACAGACACAGAGAGAGCGACACGCACTCATAGACACAGAGAGAGCAACACACACTCACAGACACAGAGAGAGCGACGCGCACTCACAGACAGAGAGACACACACACTCACAGACACAGAGAGAGCGACACGCACTCATAGACACAGAGAGAGCGACACGCACTCACAGACACAGAGAGAGCGACGCGCACTCACAGACAGAGAGACACACACACTCACAGACACAGAGAGAG